CATGATGCTTCACAGCAGTAGCAGAGGCTCAGACTATTCTTATGGAAATTTGAAACGGCAAAACTGAGACAAATCACAGTAACCCAATAAAGCAAAATAATTACTTTTATTCCCTGTATGCATAAATTTACTTTGACATTTTAAAATTAGAGTTTATTTTAAAAGCCAACTGTTGAGGCCACCTTTTATTTAGTGATAGGAATGGGTGTATGACAGCATTACAAGTGGATTAAAGAGTGCTTGTTATTACAGATATTCAGCTGTTAATGCAGGTAATCACTTAGCACATTTTTCCTAGCCAAAATTCACTGTGAGTGACAAATTTGACTATCAAAACATTTGTAACTCCTGCAGACCATCTAACTCTCAAAAATCTAAATTTGGTCCTACATCTTAATTAAGCAAACTATTTGTAAGAAAAGGCTAAAGGAGGTGTGGCTACAAGCCTGATAATACTTACTGTGCCAGATCTGAGGCAGTAAACAAGCACAGTTTATAGACTTTATCAAATTGGACACCTCAAGTGCTCACTGACTGTCAGGCCAAAAGATGAAGCGCTTCCCTGTCCTGCTGACTGCATCGTTCAAGGATTTCAGTCATGAGTCTTTTTTGCTGTGACCACAGGGCCATCAGTGGAGATAATGGAACTAGTATATGGCTATGTACAGCAACAGCATGTTGATGATGATGATGGACTGATCTTAGTTTGATTCATAGCAAATTAAAGTCAACAGGTTTATTGTAATAGCATAACAGTGAAAGCATGTGTAATATTGAAGTTGAGGTACATAATAGGTGCTGAAATGAGAAAGAAATTAGTGTCAAAGCGGCTGGAAAGTAGGCAGGTCCATCCGCAGGAGCAGTTATCCAGAGGAACCTATAGAGTGAGGGAGTTCAGGGACTCCCAGAAAAGACTGTTTTACTTACTGGTTAAACAAAGAGTGTCAAAAGTTTAAAATCCCCTCTGAACTGTGGATTAAAAGGAAAAATTATACAAAAATAATATATCCCACAGATTATCACAGCTAAGGTATGAATGAGAATATAGATGTGCTGTCACAGGGTTCTGGTATAGTTGAAAAAATGCAGTCATGGTGGTATTTATTTACAACGAGCCTCCCAAGATGCAGTGCAAAAATATTTACAATATATGCAAAAAAATACCAAAATTGCAGCATCAAACAAGGTAAGATTTTTGCAATAACTAATGAATTCACACAAAAAGGAAAATAGCAGCAATGCAAAAATCAGGTTTACCGTTACTGTCAGTGCAACCAAATCCAGACTGACTGAAAGGCCCAAGTAGTCTTTTTTTAAACCCTGTAACCCCTCCTAGTGGGCTTTGTTGATTACGTCATTTTTAACTAAACACCCTGTTATTCATACAAATCATTTTAACCCTTTGAAACCTTAAGATCTTTCACTGTAATTTATAATAATTTTAACCAGGATTTTACACCAACTTTAAAAAACAACCAGAGATTAATTTTTCCATGTAAGCACTTTTGTCCACCATACCCATCTATTTATTAGCCCTGTTTCCACGTTGGGACACTTTAACTTCAACTCCAGCTTTATCAAAGCACCTGTGGGGCAACTGGTATTACAGGAAGTAAATAAAGAAAAAACAAAACATTGAGTCAGAGGTCCAAAAGGGAGGGATAATACAGTGTGGTGAAACAACAGTGAATATTGGGACACAGTCATTAAAAGGTTAAATAAAAGGATAAGTTACTGTGCAAAAAGCATAGACAGCAGTATCTAGAATCACATCACAGAGTAACAGTCAAGTACAGCTCTTCCACATGAGCAGGCATGAGAGAGAAAGAGAGAGAAAGAAAGAGAGAGAGAGAGAGAGACAGACAGAGAGACAGAGAGTGTCTGTGTGCAGTTGGTGTCGACAACACTCCTGCCACATTATAGGGTGAATTTCATTCGAAACGCTGTGTGATGAAAAGGCTTATCTGCCTTTGGCATCATGTGATGAATCTTGCTGACTGTAGTTTTGTATCTTGGAGTCGAACACTGATCATCTTGTGTCAGTCTCAAAAAAGGAGACAACTCAGCATGAAATGGTAAATGTAATTACTTTAGTGTCACTCTCGAGATTGCTTCAAATAAACAAGTTTGATTACTGATATTGGATCGTGCTTTAAGGCAGTAAACCTATTGATTTGCTGTGGAGGCTGTCTAATACAAGCAGCATCTCTACAGCAAGTATAATAAAACACAACAGCTACATACCATAATAATCTGAGGAGTTTACGATGTAACTAAAGTTTTGCAAGCTATATAATCTTTCACCAGCACCCTTAAAATCAGAACGTTATCATTTCCATTTTCTTTACTGGTTGAAATAAATCAAATTTGCAGCTGTACAGTCTCTTTTATCCAGTCACTTCTTCACTTCTTTTCTACAGAGCAGCTCTCAATACACCGCTGAGTGCTGTCCATTTTTCCACCCTGACAGTCTTTGTCTTCTCTTGTCTCTGCTTCCCTTCAACACAAACAGGATCTGTGTGTAAGTCTGCTGAATGGAAACACAGCAAAGTATAAAGGCGTATCTCCAACATAATGGGAGGTTAATTGTAGCTGTCTGGAGCTGATAGATTGAAATCGATAGTGAATACACAAACACATGAAGCGTGACGATGGTGTAATAGCCGAGGCTTTAACACTGGACAACACAACCTAATAACTGCTACAATAGAAGGTGTTTGGACGGTTGATGCAAACAACTATTAATAGAGAGCAGATCAGCAGCAGTTGGGTGTGTTTGTGTTAACATGTGAGAGATGTTGTTGTTGTTGGCTGTAAAGGTACAGCAGTCACCATATGGTATATACCCTCTAGCAGGAAGAAAAAGTAATGACTACAGTTCATGAATACAAAATAATGAAATGGGCCAAACCCCAAACAGCCCTGAGCTTGAAAAGAGGCTTTCCTTGTAAAATGTTATGTAATTCTTTTCTCTTTTTTAACAGCTATGTTGTGGTGAGAACATAAGACCAACAACATCCGGGGAAGTTAAAGAAAACTCTTGGCAAATGTGTCAATGAAACAAGACAAAGATTGGATGAATGGGAGATAACCAGATTCTTCAATGTAATGTTGCACTTATACATTTCATTTTAATTTACCTTATAGCATACAGGATAAGACAACAATTTCAGTGACTAGAATTAATAACTCTTCGGGAAACATAAGCCAGTTTTAGTCCAAAGAGGAACTGAGTCTCAGCATTGCAGATTTTGCTGTCTCTTGTCAGCTCCTGCCCAGCTGTCTTCTTTGTCTCGGCTGCTGTCCGTGGTGCTGAATGTGAAACATCCCACTCAAGTACCACAACTGTATAAAGCCCTTCAGAATACCCATCAGCTGTGTGGGTACAGTGAAAGATTAAGAGACAATGGAGGAAATAGTTTTGAGACATTTATAACAAACCATGTCTGACACGAAAAGCCATTAGCAAAGTAGACAGGTCCTCTTTGAAAGCTGCCATACGAAGACCATGGGCGTAATGTATGGAGCTTATATATTAAAAAAATGTTATTTTTGCTTTGCTGCTTACAGTCCAACACATTTAGCTGGCATTGTTAGAGATTCAGGTTTGTGCTATTATTTTATTTCATAAGAATAAAGAACTAAAGTATAGTAACCAATCTGTAAACGTTTTCTATGATGAAGTAGAAATGAGCACTTAAAATTGGTGAATACTGAAGTATCCGTACTTTGGTGGACTCTTAAGAGTATACAGTGTTTTTGCTCTTTGCATCTTTTTATTCTTCAATGCTGCAGGCTGCCACCTGTTGTAGACCGAATATTCGCTCTTGAAGTTATTTTCTAGTTTCAACCCATTTGGAAGGGAGTGTCATTTATTTCAACAAAACTAGCTAGACTTATCTGTGTGCTTTTGTTCAGGAAACCTCCTTACGTTGATTCATACACAGAATTACACTGAACATTTATATCACTAACGATTTCTTTATTTGATGTATTGCATTTTAGCCTGTCTTTATGCTGGGCAGAAAGCGGGACATTTCTTATTTGTTTACTAGCGAAGTCAACAGAGAAAGAAAATGACAAGGAGCTTTTGTGCTGTAGACTGCACGAATCGGAAAAACAAGCAATCGGCAAACATTTTGTTACACAGAACATAAATTTTTCTCCCCCCTGCTTGCGATGTTGACATGTAGTTACAGTAAGACTGGTTTGTGTTCAAGTCCTCTTTTTTTCTGTGAAGCTCCATTTTTAAAAGTTATTAGGGGGTTCATGTTTTCTATGATTGACACCTGATACAGCCTATTGGCATTCAGCGATTGCGTAGCTCGTCCGGGGGATACGCTGTTTGAGCTGAGCATCATCACAGTGACTCTCCTGCCGAATGTGCACATCGCTACTGCGCGACGCTGTTTTCAGGAAATGAAGAAAAATTGTGGAAATACCGAGAGCTATTTGGCTTCAAATCCGTATACAGGCAGGAGGCGGAACCAAGTTGTCCATAGTATATACAGTCTATGGTTGAAGCAGTTGGCCCCACAAAATTAAATTGGAAATTGCTAAAATAGTGAAACAGATTGCTCATAACTTCTTTGATTTTTGTAAACCATTGTTTCCATTTTGAACCATATCATAGAAATATTTTCAGATTTTTAAGCTTTAAACGTTATTATTTTATTTTTATTAGTACTGAGCTTGCACTCCTGGGCACTGGCTAAGTGCTAGTCCCTCTTTTTTGCTCAATTTACCCCAAGATAGGTCAAAATCACCTCCATAATGAAATATATCTCCACATTTTATTGTGTTTACAACTACAATAGGACTTGAATGCATGTTCCTTTCAGACTGCCAACCCAAATGTAGAAAAAAATAATGTAAATATGCTCATTATTATGCTGTTTAGTCAGACAAAGGAAATGGGAATTCCTTCTTGGCATAGGCCTAACGCAAACAGTGTGTGTATGTGTGAGTGTGTGTATGTGTGTGTGTGTTAGTGTATGTGTGTGTGGCAGGCGGGCGGGGGGTCGGAAAGGGGCGTGGAATGAGCCAACATCACAGGCTAATGCAGCTTCCCACCATGCCATTAATCTCCGTCTGTGGACCGTCTGATCGTCACCCAGGTTGCCTACATCTATCCTGTCACCCTTAGGACTGCGTGTCGGACCTGATCTCTGGAAGTCTAACGCAGCGGGATGAAAGCGGCACAGTGATAAAAGGAGCATCTCCTCCTTGTCCTTTTCTCCTCCAGAAGCGGGGCTCGGCTCTCCTTCTCCTACCGGCGGAGAGATGAGGAATCCACTGGCCGGTTTAGCGCTGACATTATGCCTATTTCTAGAGGTGAGCGGTGATTTCTCTTATTACCATGAGATATTTATAGAGCTTTGATGGACTCGAGACCGTCTGCCTAACAGGATAGCACTGTCCTGTAAGTGTATTTACTATGTAAAGACAGTAAGTCGCTGTCTTTTAAGGGCTTATCGGACTGACAGCGGGCTGCCTGTGATGAAGCTCTGATATGCGCCGCTTGCTATTGTTTTGAGAGCGTTCCTCACCACATCCCATTCAAAACTAGTTTAATTCAATATTTATTGGCTTATCATCAAAAGTGCACACAACTAAAACAATTAAATAGTGTTTTTATCATAAGTATGCCATCTCCTGATAACTTCGGCATGCAAGTGATCCACAAAGAAGCACTCAATAGCAGAAAATCTTAACTTGTGGATTGATAGGCAAGATGCTGTATCTTTCCACCCTCTCATCGTGATGTAAATAGCATGAGAGGAGATAAGTAATATGAAGGAGGTGATCCTGGTTGCATCATATCAAGGCTGAAAGAGGATCAAAGACTACAAAATTCCTTTTCTGAGACTGATCACTGGACATGTTTTGTTTGCATTGTCTGTGAAAAGAGAGGAGGCCAGCTGAGCTACCTGGGATTGTTTCATCCTTTGTCCTTGTGCCTAGACCTCCATAACTACTCAATGGGTTACTGGCCATGTAGGACAAACAGCATCAGACAAGGTAGATAAACAGAGGGCAGGAGGTTGAAACCAAGAGGAAGCCGATTTATTTTCCTTTTTTTGAGTCACGTTTTTTTCTTTATCTTCTTATTTTCTAAAACAGATTTTTTTTATGCCTTATTTTGCAAGGCCAAGTTGGCGCCACAAGAAGTCTCTTTTAAAACATGCACTTTGGAAATAGACTGGTTGTCACATTTTTCCTTTTGATGCGTGTTAGAGATGTAAGGATCATTTAAGGAGACTAAGGGCATGACAAGGCCTCCTAATTTTATTTCACAGGCCTGTAAAGGTAGCACGAAGTGGTCACGATCCCCACTCTTCCTGCCAGTCCTGTACCGCTGACACTCATGTCTATTCATATATTATTAACTCTGATCATTATTATTTTATTTCATTCAGCTGACTTAGTGAGCACATCCATTTTGGATGTGAGCATACAGCCTAGAGGGAATGAAGCCCTCAGTCCACGTCTCCTTGGTGCTGCTGTGCTCACTTTGATAAGTGCTTAAGACAAACTCTGTGTTTAGATTAAGATGGATGTTCTTGCCTTTCATTTCCAGCAACTTTGACCAACAAAAGTTTGATATGGTTGCTTCAAAACTGCAGTTAAACACTGTGGCAAGACTCTTGAATGCAGCCAGGATCTTGTGTTGACTATAGCTAAAGATGTCCTTGTAAATTCAACTTCAGATGTAAATCTAAACAATATCAAGATGAAAGCTAACTCTTTGTAAGAAAAATTTATGCCAAGTCTCATGAAAGCACAGATTAGAGGCACATTCTTCATGTCTCTTGTTGTACTCCTTGCAGCTTAAGATTTATATCACCATAATGAAGTGTCACGCCTTGGAGCAGCTACAAGTGTCATTTTCTGTCTTGCAAGATAGCAATTTGTAAGTGGGTACTTTTGCATAGTGAATGAGAAGGCATGAAACTGCTCTTGTAGCTAATTGCTGTGCAAAAACTGTTGTCAGTTTAAGCTCTGATTTTGGCTTGACAGTACAAAATTTTATGAGGGTCAATGATAGTTACAGGGTTGTCTGTGGTTAGGACAGGGCTCCCATGCATGAACACACCATATGCAGGCATTTCCTGTAAACAGTCAGCTTCACATTCTTAAATTAGCAGTTAGTTACTGCAGTTTAGACCACAGATGTACTTGGGAATACAACAAAATCTTTAGGGAATAATTGCTTCAGGCAATTGAGTTAAATATAGCTGCGTTCACTTTATACAGTGCAGAACAAGAAAGCACACAATGAGCTCAAAGACTTTTATACAGGAGTAGACTGTATAAAAGCATGGATAACTAAACATGTCCGTAAGAGTGCGGTGAGTCTCAGATGTAACTTTGATCCTTAAAGACTGCAGACCTGTGAGGCAATGGGAGGTTTTTTTTTCATCTAATATGTTTCACAGTTGAGAAAACCATCTCCCCAACTCTAAATGCATATTTTATTATTTCATCTACTTGTCAGAGATAGCATTAAATGTTTCAAATGCTGCTTTTTCAGGTTTTGAAGGGTTTTCAGCTGTTACATGTGTGGTCTTGTGTGAGAGTTAGGCTTGAGTAGGAAATATCTAAAAGTCATCTGGCACCGTACAATAGATGCAGGATATGATGCACACTAAAGTAAACAGAAATTTATGGATAATATTTTGGCATAAAGGCTCCACTTTTTTTCTTTGTTTTTTACAAGAAGATGTTGAATGAGGAAAATCTTACGGAGTAAAATTGCAATAAAGTCATAGAAAAGTCAAAATGTTAGGAGAAAGTCATTGCAAAGTCATGACTGAGATATGGTTTCCCTTTCAAAACAGCATTAATGAAGTAAACAACTTTAATCTTGTAATATAACAAAATTGATTAGATTTTAAACATTAAATATTCACCAAAAAATGATGGATTTAACCCTCATAATTCAGCAGGATGAGGGTTTTGCATAAAGAAGCAGAGTTGAGCAGTCCGTTCTGTCCACAAGGGGCAATAGAGAGCAAACTGAAGTTCCTCACAGAAGCTTTAATCTTGGAATGCAATGACTTTTATTTCATTATATCGTGAGATTTAATCTTGTAATATGTTGAATTAATATTCAAAATTTTGATTTTTTTTTTTTATGTGGCTCCAATACTCTGTCATAACAGGGGGCCACTGAATAGGGCCAAAAAGCTGTACTCTGCCCCATAGCTATACAGGTAAGAGGTATGACCTAAATCCCATGTCATTTGTGTAGGGGGCTGTTGTGCTCCTTAAAAGGAGGAGCTGTCGTGGAGACATCTCCACCAACTGCAGCATCTTCAGCCAGTTAGTTTACTTTAAAACATACATTAAATGTGTAAGTATCACCCTGATAGCTGAGTGTAGTAAAAGATTGAACAATTTTTGTGTCTACCTAGAAAAAAAAACAACAAAAAAAAACAAAACAGTATGTCCTATCATTTACTGGATACACAATTAATTGCCATCCATTCCCAGCAACCATCTTGGCGGTATTCCAGCTTCATTGCTGATGCTTGACATATGTATAAGCAGTTAATGTTCAGCACACCTTACATAGTAATAAATAAATAAATACAGCGATATCTAAACTAGAGCACAACTGGTGTGTTGAAATGTTATGACAAATGTATGTCGATGCATTGGTTAGGACCAAACAAGTTCAATTTTCACCATTTAAAGTGCACATTGGACCACAGCAGCCTTTCCATTTGCAGGAGCAATAATACTAATCTGGCCAATTTGAAAGCCGGGTCAGCAGTCAGTGCCGGAGAAGTGGCTACAAAACACTGCTTACAGGGATGATGAAAGAAAGAAAGTTCACTGAAGTGCCTCAGCTGGGATTTGTGTCAAAATTCGCCCGGTGTATCTGAGACATGACTTGAAGGAAACATTCAGAAAGAAAGAAGTAATTTTAGAGTGAATGTGTCAGGGTTTTTTTACATAGTGGACCTTGAGTTATCCACAACTGTCAAAGAGAGAGTCATCAGATTTTCCAGAATGTTTTTGTGTTAATGAAATGGAGTGTCAAATGAAAGTATATCCATTGGTGCAAAATGGAAAGTAGTTCATGTAGCTTGAATTGTCACAGAAGAGCTGCAGTTATTATCATATGGTGTTACTCACTGAATCCAGGTTCAGGTCATATCTAGTGTTAACACACCCAAAGGTATTATGGGAATGTTTGTTTCAAAATTTAGCGCCTGATTATTTTTCAGATAGAAGGACTCAAAGACTAATTTAAAAAAATTTAGTCAGTACCGGTGACAGCTGTATCCATGCCACAGGGCTTTTTTTTACATATTTAATTTCTTTTTTTCATTCACAATAAAGAGAAACTCCGATGTAATTTTGACCTTTCTCAGCCACCATTTCCCCCCCTTGTGCTAGAACATGCTCGTAATGTGCAGTCATCCAGGCTATAAACCAAGCTCCAGGCGTGCAAAGCTGTCTCAGCTGTGCCTACAATTAAAACATAATTGCATTATCACACAGCAATATGATCAAGCTTTTGTCTCTACTGTTAGTCTCTTGTTTTCTGAGGGCCTTTGAAATCAAGTGAAAGCAAATAGCTCACATTATGAACGCTGTGTAGATTTTGTAGTATAAATAAATATTTCCAAATTAATTTGAAAAGAATAAAAGTGTAATCAGAATTTGGGGTTTCGTCCCAGAATTAAAGAAACTTTAATAAAAATTGAATCAATATTTAAAAAAAAAGAAACTTCACTGTTCTGTCCTGTGTTTGATATCAGTTTATTTTGTAGTTGGCTGTTTTTCTTAGAAATGGGTAAAATCAGATTTTATGTTGGTATTCACTTTTAATGGCACCGAAATATGTCTGCAAACTGGGGAATGGACATTAAAATCATGGAGGATGACATGGCCTAAGAGGTGTGGGTGACTTCAGACAAACAAGAAAACGGTTTTCTCTACTTAAAGCTGTCTGTAACCCCACTGGATCCTTTGTAATGCAAATACTTAAAGTAAAATAAAAAACAATAAATACATGAATGATGATGATTATAAAATGTCCTTGTTATGTATTCTGTGGATGTTTCCACCATGTTGCTATTGGCCTCAACTGGTCTCCACACAGTGAGGATGGACGTTTTTAAGGCTTCACTTTGGAGAAACTTTAGGGTGAAGTCACTCAGATTACACTACAGCTGTTTGATTACAGCAAAAATCATAGTCACAACTATGGTATCACAGTTATTAAAAACAATTATCCATGATTTGTAATCTTAAACTTTATGTAACTTGAAACCTCTTTCAAACTTCAAAACTCTTAATTTCTGGCATGTGAGTATTAACCTGTATAGAGGACAGATGGCTGGTTGTGCACATGGCAGACCTATTTGACCTTTTCCACCTACAGACTCTTATGATCCTGTGTCAACCTAGTGTGGATAAATTAGGCCTAATTATGATTGTTTTCAGACCTTTGTCCCGTTCCCAATTTTAATGATAGAATTGGGCCAATCTTTGCATTTTTTTAATGGTAATATAAAAATGAAATCCTGGCCATCTTTACCTGCCACAAAAGTTGATGGGAAACCTAAATCAGCACTACCCTCCTGTATCTCCTGTATCTTAAACACAGGGGATAGTTATTTAAAATTGGTGTCCCATGTTGAATTTGGCTGTTCCTCCACTTGTGTTGATGTTTAGGTCTGTTATAGTTATTATATTATATAATAATTATAGTTGGTGTTCATTTTTGTGTTAATTTTACATTACATGGGAAAAGCTGACGTCTCTTAAACTGCTGACAAGAATTTGATAACATTTATTAACATCTTTTTACCACCTGTACAGAAAGACCCAAAGAATATGTTGTGCTAACCTAGCTTACACATTTTATGGCAAAGATAGGAAAAACACTGGAATGATTTAAGAGCCTATGAGAGCCTCAAGAAAAGGCTGCTGCACTGAAGCGAATACCTGTGGACTTAAAATAAAAGAAGGAGGAACAACCCGGTGGGAGTTTAAAGGCCAAACGGATTACAGAGATGGTGGTTAAAGTCACCACTTTGGTGGTTCTAGCCGTCTTTTGTATCCGTGGTAAGTCCTGCCATTTCGACACTACAGGTCAGACACTGTGGAGCTGTAGAGCAGAGTTTGTGACAACACTGGAGCGGATTTAGAGCATGATGTGACTGCTGACAGTTTTACAACAGACATTTAGAGCTGCTGAGTCTCACTGCACACCAGATTAATTCCTCCAATTTAAAGTTATCCAGGTCAGTTGATGCTACACTCCAGTTTGAGAAAAAACAGACACGAGTAAAGGGAGACAGAAAGTGAGAGGGCTGAGTTAAGTTGAATGTTTCCATTCTCTGTCTTGCGTTAGCATTGATTTAAGACGGGCATGCTAGTTACACAGCAGACCATGTAAAAACAGATTGTGTGTTCCTTGCCTTCCCACCTCTTCTGTCCTGGTGTGGATGTAACATGTCTTCATCTGCTCAGCTCAGGTCTTTTGTAAATCACTTCAGCACCTTTCCCCTGTTATTTACCTAGCCTATCTGTCTAGCCAGATGATTTTGATACCACTTAGTGGCTCTTGTGAATTATGCTTCCACTTCCTCACCCTGACCCCTGCCCTTGGCTGAGAAACCTTGAAAATCCTCCTGGCAGGACAAAGTTCTCTGCCTCTAAGATTTACACCCCTCTGGTGGCTTTATAGCCTCTAATAGTAGGTACTGGCAGAGCTCACTTGCTGACAGTATTAAGTAGTCATAAGTCCTGTCCTCATTTCAGTAACAGTGAAAGACAAAAGTTAACTTGAGGTGAAAATGATCTACAATAAAAAGAAAGTGGACTGTAGCTAATAAATACTTCCTGGAAATGAATGAGAGAAGTGTCAAAATAAACAAGAGTAGGGTGTAAATGAGGGCTGTAATTTGTAAAATTCAAACCTAAGTACTTGTTGGACTTTGTGACAATCACAAAGAGCTACAAATCTTTCAGCAAGTATTACTTACAAATATTCTAATTTTCAGAGAGACAGAATTCTGGGTTTTCGTTACCTGTATGTCATAGTCATCAAAATGAAAAGAAATAAACCCTTGAAATATATCAGTCTGTGTGTTATCAATCCATATAATCTATGAGTTTCACTTGAATTTCTGAAATAAATCCACTTTGAGACAATATTCTTTGTTGAGATACACCTGTAGACTAAATTTACAGTTATAGTGTTGCCAGTATCCTCAGGCAGACACACGATTTCAATGTCAGAGATGTTTGGGTGTCCACAGTTACAGAGTTATTTGGACAAATGCATCTCTGTCACTTTTACAGCTCTGTACTGTTTGTTCATTAGTAAAGTATCATAATGTTTACGTTTTCTCCTCATTTGTTGAGGTTTTGTTTACTGCCTAGCTTTGATTTAGCGCAATTTCAGTTGAACTAATGTTTTAACTTTTTTTTTTTAAGTCCAGTTTCAGTCAGTCCAAGGCAACAAATCCTTTTTACTTGGGGATGCATGTAAATGTACTGAGCGACTGCTTGAAAAGACTGAGAGAATACTGAACTATAGAGATCTGAAGGCTTTCATGGTGGACTGGAGACCTGATGCTGTGTGAGGTGAACGGGGGCAGGTCTGTGTTCTAAAAATAACTGGTTTGTGATGAAGTTTGGCCCTCTGGATTGATCCAATCATAAACTCAGTCATTGGTCACAAAGCAGTAAGGAAAGCAAAAGAAAGTCTCTTCTTTATACTCTCAACATCTGATTGATGCACTTTGTATTTTATGACAAAGACAACCATGAGATCACATTTACTTAAATTGAAGTCTTCATATCTGATTTGATTTATTTAGGTTTTATTTATTGGAGAATTTCTGCCGACTGAGTCATATATCAGGTGTAAGAACTCTATAAAATGAGGAGGTTGCCACCATAATGTCACTTGTTGGTTTATAGACTGCAAGCCTGATTACTATAAATGGAGAAAGATGTGACAACAAGGTTGGGGGGCTGCAGCAGAGCTAGGGAGCTGTCAACACAAATCCAAGCTGAAATCTAACACCTTAGGTCACTAAAAGGAAAAAAAAACAAACAAACAGAAAACTATTGTAAAACAGAAGTGAAAGAGTTTGGTGAAGAGTTGGTGAAACAAATACTCTTCCCCAGGGACACTTGTCTACAAGGCATGTGGATAGCAGGACCTGGGATTGAACCCCCCACCTTCTGATAGGGAGTCAACCAACTCTACTACTGAGCCACAGCCTTCCCTTACTGTGTCTTTATCACAAACAAAACCACTTACAACTAAAACGAACAACTAAAATTTCCCTATTATTATTTCTAATGTCTGAAATCAGCAGTTGAGGGAAGGGTAGAAATCACACCAATTGATTAACTGCATGCAGCTGAAACTGTGTTTTTTGACTCATGCAGTTAATTGTTTTTAATTAATAGATGGATTATCAACTAGGGACAATATGTGGCGTTTGGCCAATTATCTGTATCAGCCTTTAATTTTACAGATGGCAGCTGCACGGCTTTGTCTCCACCGCCAATATGTCTTTCCCACTGGGCCTGTTTGTCTCATCTAGTTGGCAGCACACAGTACTGTCTGATTGGCTAGATGTGACACGACAACCCTGCAACTTAACTGTACTGAGTGTAACTGGAGAGTTGATGTAGATTAAATATTTGCTGGAGGCATTTAAGCAAAGTTTCGTGTTGGAGTTTGTAATATTCTAAATTCTGAATCATTGCTACTGTCAAACATTGGTTCCCAACTTTGGTTGTTGGTCTCATGAACCACTAATAATTGGCCCTGCCCACTAAGTGTTTTTTGGTCTAAAAAAGGTTGAATAAATGTCTAAATGTAACAGAGACGACTGGTCTAAATCAGGCTACCACAGGTCAAAAATGAAAGTTTTTTAGACGCCTAAATTTAAACCAAGTTTAGACCAGGTCTAAATCTGGGCTATATCTATACAACACTATATATTGCTCAATGGCTATCATAATTATTTTGGTTAAGTATTTGGAGATCAGTTATGCAACTCACAGTTGCTTTTTGAAATACATAGTTATTGAATAATGGGTTAAAGTGCAACGTCCAAATTCCATCTAAAAATATACAGAATCTAGGCGGTTGAAATTAGGTCTAATAAAGAGCTAGACACCTATTAGCCGTCTACTACTCAGTGGGTATAAAACTAATATCATTCAACCCTTACTGTAAATCATATGTAAGTCGTAATTGTCCCACTCTGCCTGTAGATGAAGAGTAACAACAGTTTACTAATAAGTAAAAGCAAAGTAGAGGTTAAACATCCGTACTTGTAGATGTCAGAAAAAGTGCCAACATCCCTCAGCTATGTTTTCTCCTAATTATTGCCTTTGCTTCAGGCCAAACACACACTGACAATCAGATGATGTTTGTGGGTCTGTTGCCGCTTACTAATGGCAGAGGTTGCTGTGCGGTCAGCAGAGATCAATAAGACAGGAAGCAGAGGGAGATGAGGTTCACTGGGAAATGGAGGGAAAGGAAGAGAGGGATGAATTATAGAGGAGGAGAGGAAGTGAACCAGTGTCAGAATCAAGTAAAGGAAATGGTGGAAAACAAATACGATTAGAGTTTTCAGAGGTTGTTATAAATGTAGTGTCAAATTTAGTCCACGTTTTTTTTTCTTTTCAAGACAGCAAAGCACTTTTACAATATCATCACAAACCCACAAAGAACTAAGATCTATTTTTTGTAGGGTTGCAAGAAAATTCAGACCAAATTGAGAAATTGCAAAGCTTTTATATCGAGGTCAATAAGATATTTCGATTCTTCTTCTGCAATTGGTTGAACATCTCCAGTTCAAAAGACCCACTCTAGAGCAAAGCTGTGTTCAGTTATATCTGACTCTTCATGTGAGTATCTTTATTGACCCTTCTACTTTTGCATTCTCATCTACAGCTGCCGTAGCCTCAAAGACAAGCACATCCTGATCACCACACACACACACACACACACACACACACACACACACACACACACACACACACACTCACTCACTCCAGTTTTAAAAGCTTTAATGGGTGGTGTAAAACCTTTTGAACTATTCATCCCCTGAACGTCCTCCAGCCAAAACCCATCTGAGCTGCTTTTAAAGCAGGGAAAACACAATTCTCTGGTTATGTAACGGTCATTTTTGTCCCGCAGGAGCACAGAGGGACATTTTACTCTGCTGTCAGCGCTTTCACTGAGTTCCAATTAGAGAGAGACAATGAACAGAGCTGGATGGTAACCATGGCTGGGAGAGAGTTGGAAACTGGATTACAATTTGGTCCAACAAATGTAGATGGAGAGAAACCTTATTGTAAAATAAAAGCTTGGTCAATCGTATGATATTTAGAAATCCAACAGCAGCACTGACGTTTCTGTTAATGGTATGCATGAATAAAATAGACCCCATTTTTCTTGCCTGCGCTCATATCCATCCAGCTTGAGGTGATATTATTAACTGAGTCATACAAAGGCCAATGCTGGCTTGGCTGTTGTGAGATAAGAGGCCAAAAAGTATTAGATTTTGAGGAGGATTGAGAGGGAAGATAAAGGACTGGGATACCAAAGACTGCACTGTTCATAGGATCTGCTTCAGTAGCACTGAACCCAAAAACTCCAGCCAGAGGGGTGGATGAGCTGAAGCAGGGAGGGAGAGGAACAGAAGGATAGTACTTCCTCTCTCAAGCATTAGTAGTAGGGTTTGTTTAGAAGTGTTATTTATCATGGCTTAACACTGTAGGTAAACAGTGTCCAGTTTGGCTAATGTTAGCAGAGCTAGCGCCACCAGCTGTAGGTCAACATCTACATACGTCGATTGCATTACCTTATCAATGTTTTCTGGATCAAAATTCTTCCAAATCACAACTCATGATAAGATTCTAATTGTCATCTTTGCTTGGTTACATCTGAATGGTAGAGAATAAGTCAATTATGGTGGGAGCTACATGGACATAATTTATTAGCAAAATATTTATGAACATACAGATCCCTGATCATCTTACCCATGTTCTCAAGAAGATGGCATTACTGTCTTTGAAACACACTGTTATAATTTGGTTTGACTAAAATAGCCCAACAGCTAACCCCTGGGTTGTTGTTCGACATAAGCGGCTCCTCTAAGATGTTCATTTATTCATAAATGGAAACCTTACATTACTGTAAGCTTCACAACAAAGTTGAGCATTTTCAAAAACTTTTCGTTGGATATTCAGGATCTCCAGAGGTTGAATCATGATAATAACTCTAGTCCAAGGTTACCTTTAGACAAAAAGAGCTATGACTGGTTTAACACCAGTACATATAGGACATGTCCCCCAGAGGATGAGTCCTGATGATCGTGGCGATCCCTGTCTTGTTTTGTAGTGTTTGTGTTGTTTTCATTGACCTTAAGTTCAAATGCTGGGTGGTAAATCCAGCTGTTCTAGTTTTTAGAAGATGAAAAGACAGACAAAAGATTTAGTGCCTCAAATGCAGTTTCATCTGAGGATTTGATCATACACTTGCTGTGTGGATAAGATTTCCCACTATTGACCACAGTGGTAGAAGAAAACAAATGGGGGTCCATGTACTTTGTCTCAGTGAAAGCAGACTGGATGCTCTGCTGCGGTTCTACTTTAACATGTCCCCTGCCATCTTTCTCTCTGTCCCTCTCCCTGTGTGAGTGTTCCTGGCATTTCCCCTCTGCCCAAGTGTCACAGTATGGCCCCATCCTCCCCCAGAAGCCTGACAAATAACCTATTGTGTTGCCATGTTGTGTACCAGAGAAACAGCTCGACCTGGCATGCCACCCTGCTGCTCTGGTGCGATCTCTACACAGAGCACAGAGATAGGATCTGATATTGTCATGTTTTTTGAGGGCCTGTATTTATCAAAATTCTGCTGGGAAATGTAGATTTGTGGAAAAGGGTAAAAGAAGAAATGAGTCATTCATACCCCAGCTCCATAAACTGAAGGACAAAACTATTTATAAGATACTTGCAGGTAAAAAATGACTCCAGCAGTGAGCTTCAGGGTGTCTCTGCAAAAGATAATGGCACTGAGCAAACAAGGGCATGGACCTGAAGCAAATACTCGAGGGTTCTTGTGTATGAAGAGTAGAGAAAGGTCCTTTTATATTAGCGTTAGTAAGGAATAAACATGCTAAAGATAGCTTTGGATTCAGCGTCAGAGGGAGAAGCTAAATGGTACTTTATGCTTGGCTTGAAGGCTAATGTGAAAGTGTGAGCTTGTAAAAAAAAAAAAGGATGACATTATTTTGTTATGATTGTCTCTGTTTTAGAGACATTTTAGTAAGTTTACAGTGAGTTTAATTGATATTAAAAATTGCAGTGGTTTAAAGTAGGGGTGGGTGATATGGCAAACACATCATATCTTGAGTTTTTTAAGGCAGAATCAATGTCTCCATTTTATAAGCATTTATTTATGTTTATTTGAAGACTATATAGCAAATGACTGAGCAGTAAAACCAAACTTCTTCCTTATTAAAACTGTACAGAAAAAAAGAGGAAGACTTCAAGTGAAAGTATCCGTTTAATCTGTGTGTAAAAATTGGCCAACTCACGCCAAGTACAATTAACATGAAAATGACCTCAAGTTTACTTTTATTTAAGTTTTTATTATTTTGTATTTTTTTGCTTTATTTAAAAGTTAGCATTAGCTTGAAAATGTTAACAGCACTGCAGTTAAACATAAACTGTCTGGAGAAGAAACAAAACATTGATTCTTTTTTGGACAGTGTGAGACTGTCTTTGTGTTTACCATCTTCACAGCGCATTGCGGGTAAATGTAATCTTAGACTTAATCCCATAATTTTATGAAATAATCTTATAAAATCTATTACTTTTATAGTGAGAGTGTACAGCTCGATGCTGTGGATTCAGCCTATGGACTGCATCAGAGTGCTTACTCTGTGCATAAAAACATGTCCAAATGCATCCTTGAGTTAGCACAGAACTGCAACTGCTGACAAAAGACTATGATGATACTACTGTCTCTTTGGATTTGCACAATTTGAACACATTCTGATTCTTTGCAATCTGATATTATCACCCCTAGTTTGAAGAACATGTTCTTGTAAAGCTCAGCAACATATTATGTGGAGCAGTGGACACAATAGATACCATTGTGTTCAGCTGAATTCATCTAAATGTTTTTGCTGAAAATAAAAAAATAATATTTCGCCTAGTGCATGTCTATCTTATCATAGTAGATGTATGGTATGGCACTCATCATTACACAGCAGATATATGGCTAGTATGTTTCTTTCTGATCCGCTCTTCTTTCTTTGGGAATAATAGGATCTTCAATGAGCAGCTCTGAGAGGCCATTCTTCTGTGGAGACAGTAAGAAAAGCTGCTTGATAGTCTGTGTCAAAGAGACACTCTGCTCAGTCTGAGCTGTAATAAATCTAATTGTAGCGTTGCAGCATACAGCCTAAATCATAGAATTTTGAATAATTCAGGCCATGAGCTGCACTTTCTCTGTAAAGCATCACCTCACACAAACCCTGACTGCACTTGAGAGGCTGCAGCAGCGTTTCTGCTAGACTAATCTGAGAGACTGCAGTGAGCTGGGATGAGCTAAGGACTGAGAGGGTTACATATCCTCACCATATTACGGGATTTAAAAGCCAGTATTGATATTATAAGTAGTGAAGTAATCTGATAAAGAAATGATGGTCAGTAACACATTTGATAATAACAATTAATCATGCAGGGAGGCTTTCATTAGAATAATGTAGAATCAAGACTCAATTAAAGCTCCTCTGAGGAACTTTGGGGATGTGTTGATTTTGGTACCCCTTATGGAAAAAACTGGATGACTTATCCCATTTCTGGCTTTGACCTCTGCATGTTTAAAGCTCCTGAAATGACCTGAAAAAGTAATCTCACTTGGTTTTAAGAGTCCCGCCGAATCGCTCCGTCCCGGGCGACTTTTAACCCAATTTTAACCGGTTTTAAGCAACTTTTTAGACTGCATTCTTAACAGTTTGTTGGCTTTTAAGTTGAATTTTTACCGTGTATGGGTTTTATCGGCTATTTTAAGACGGCCCTCAGACGATCCACGCTGCATTACGCACGGAACTCTGCGCGGGACCCGGAAGAGTGGGAATTTTAAATGGCTGTGTGTGCGGACTGCAAAATAAAAAACTCACGGTTGGAAGAGAAGCTTTGTCGTTTGCAAAATGATCTCCGTGAGAAGGATAGGCTGCTGGAGGGCTTCATATCCGTAGCTTCAGCTCAAGCCAAACATATATCCCTGAGTCAGGCCTCCAGGATCACCGGTCTTTCGCCCTCGGCTCTGGCACCACAGCTGGTTTCGGCCTCCGCTGCCACTCTGCCCTGGTTGGCCTCCCTGCATTCTCCGATCGGGCCGGCCGAGGGCCCTGCAGCCGGGGGTCCAGCCGGCTCACCCGTGCCGCACAGCGCAAAGCCGGCAGGCTGTCTCTCCACCTCTCCTCCTGCGCATCGGTACAGTCAGGATCTGAGACCGCTGGACGATCCTGACACTGGCATGGTAGCGGGGCTCCCAGCGCTCCCTACTCACAGCTCGACTCCAAAGCTGAAGGGGCAGCAAACCTGGCTCGAGGTGGCGCAACGCGGACGGAGGACGACTGCAGCGGAGAGAGTCCCTTCACCACCACGGCTCTCTCTCTCCAACCGCTTCTTGGCCCTGAGGGATGAGGCTCCCGCTGTCCCAGTCCCTGCTCCGGCTCCACCTCTCCTGACGGTCCCAGCTCCTTCAGAGGCGGCTCCGCGGATGTCCAACTCGGACCAGGCACCGCGGCCCTCCTCGACCGGGATACTGCGTCGCAGGCTGCTGAAGGAGGCCGTCTCCAGGCGCTCGGAGAGGCTCCCCCGGGCCGGCAACAACCTCACTCCACCTGCGTCCGCTCACTGCCGACAATCGCCGTCTCCTGCACAGGTGGAGCGCCCAACTTCCGAAGGCTTCAGCGCCTGCACACCAGCTCCTCGTCCCCTTTTTCCCCCGACCACGCTCATCATCGGAGACTCCATAACCAGGTACATCAGGTTTTTTAATGCCATCACTCACTGTTTTCCCGGCGCCACGGTACCTGTCATCCTGGACAAACTTCTTAATCTACTCCCCTCTCTCCCCTCCTCTGTCACTAAGATTGTGCTCCATGTTGGTTCAAACGACATGTCCCTTAAGCAGTCAGAAATCACAAAGAAGGATTTTAACTTGCTTTTTAACGTTTTAAAGGACACTGGAAAGACTGTTTTTATCTCTGGCCCGATCTCCACTCTCGGTCGTGGAGGGGAACGTTTTAGCAGGATCCTCAGCCTCCACACCTGGCTCCAATCCACATGCCCCACCCTCAACTTCGGTTTTATTGACAATTTTAATCTGTTTTGGGACCGAGCATCACTTTTCAGCCATGATGGGATCCACCCCAACAGGCGGGGTAGCCGAATGCTCTCTTGCAACATCCAGTATATGATCCACTCCTCACCCGTCTGACAGTCTGCACTCAGCAGCCCATCTTTCCACAACCAGGCCACCCCCCCTCCTCCTCACAATAACCTCTGGTCATCTCAAAACAGTCCCACAATCCCCGCTCATTCACCTGCCAACCCCCACCTTCCTCCACCCCCCCCCCCCCCCACTAGTACTATCAGTAAATCCGTGATTCCAGTCCGCATCACATCCTCACGTCCTCCCCGTCCTCCAGCCAGACTTTGTCCCCCCACCAATCTCGTCCACATCCCCCTGCTTCCTCGGCTACCCCGCCCTGCTTTTAACAGCAAACCTGCAAACTTTGGACTTTTAAACATCAGATCCCTCAACAACAAAACATTTTTATGCCATGATTTTATTTCACAAAACAGTCTGGACTTTTTTATTCTGACTGAAACTTGGCTGACTCCGGACAATTGTATTTCTCTTATAGAAGCCACCCCCCCTGATTCTACTCACCTCCATCAGCCCCGGCAGTCAGGCCGGGGAGGGGGGGGTGGCTGTCATATACAAGAAGGATTTTAAATGCACCCCCATCACCTTCAGCACTTTTAGTTCATTTGAGCACCTTGCTTTTATTGTTAAATTGAAAGAACTTGTTTTAATCATAATCATTTATCGACCACCCAAACACAATGCTGTTTTTATTCAGGAGTTTTCAGAGTTTCTATCCCTTTTTATTTGTAAATATGACAAAGTTCTTATTTTGGGTGATTTTAATGTACATGTCTGTTGTCCCTCTCAACCCTTAACTGTTGATTTTATTGAAACTCTGGACTCCTTTAATCTTACCCAGGCAATACAGGAACCCACTCATGTAAAGGGACACTGCTTAGATTTGGTTTTATTTACTGGACTTAGTCCTGGGGAGTTTTTAACTAAGGATATCTGTGTGTCAGATCACAAACTGGTTTTATTCTCCATGGTTTTATCCCAGCCCTCTTTTACCGATCACACTCCTGTTCTTAGAAGGGTTTTTAATGCATCGTCTGCTAGCAAGTTTTCGGAGCTTTTTATCTCTGCATCTTTAACTGCCCTCAACCCAGATTTTAATCCAGTTTTTAACACTGAAGAGCTTGTCTCTCTTTTTAACAGTATGTGTGGAACCATCCTGGACTCTGTAGCTCCTCTGAAAAAGAAAAGATCTAACAGAGAACCCCAACCCTGGCTCACAGAGTCCACCCATGAACTAAAGAGAATTTGTAGACGAAATGAACGCAAATGGAAGAAAACTGGGTTGGTGGTTTTCCTCGAAATTTGGAGAGACTCCTTGAAAAACTACCAGAAGGCAGTTAAGGATGCAAGGGCAGCATTTTACTCAAATTTGATTTTAGCTAATTATTCAAACCCCAGAATTTTATTCAAGGTTTTAGAGTCTCTTTCAAACCCTTCCCCCTCTTATTTTACTGATGCTTCTCAAGAAACCTGTGAGAAGTTTTTAATTCATTTTATTAACAAGGTTATGGACATCAGGCATCAAATCACCCCTCCCAGTCTCCCTGTACTCTTAAGTCGGGAAGTTAAGCACTTTTTTAGTAGTTTTGAGCCGGTGTCCTTAAAATTTTTATCTGATATTTTAGCCAAAATGAAACCAGCTACGTGCAGTCTTGATTCTATCCCCACCAGATTTCTCAAAGAGGTTTTTAACGTGGTTGGGCCTAGCATTTTATCCATCATTAATAGCTCTCTAGTGGAGGGAGTATTTCCCTCTGCTTTTAAACACGCTGTGGTCCAACCCCTTTTAAAGAAGCCAAACCTTGACCCCTCTGATTTTAACAATTTTAGACCAATTTCAAAACTTCCATTTTTATCCAAACTTTTAGAGAAGGTGGTTTCTAAACAGCTTTTAGGTTTTATGTCCGAAAACAACCTCTTTGAGAAATTTCAGTCTGGTTTTAGAGCAGGTCACAGCACTGAGACTGCCCTCCTCCGTGTGACCAATGACCTTCTTTTAGCAGCAGATAGAGGGGAGGGCTCAATTTTAATTCTTTTAGATCTCAGTGCAGCTTTTGATACAGTTGATCATACCATTTTAATTGAACGTCTTAAAAACTGGGTGGGTGTCAGGGGCACTGCACTTGGCTGGTTTCAGTCGTATCTTTTAGAACGAACCTTTGCGGTCACCATAGGCAATCACACCTCCTCTACTTCTGCTATCGCCTGTGGTGTTCCGCAAGGTTCAGTTTTAGGTCCAATTTTATTTTCTATATACATGCTGCCCCTCAGCCAATTAATTCAGCGCCACAAAGTCTCCTTTCACTGCTATGCAGACGACACACAGATATACCTTCCTTTGAGACCTGAGGACCCAAGAGGCCTAGCTGCTGTCATGGACTGTCTAAGTGACATTAACTGTTGGATGGCACAAAATTTCCTTCAGCTAAATTATTCAAAATCTGAAATAATTCTCTGTAACATACAAAACTCCCCCTCATTCAGTCTTGTCTCGGTCCACACTCAGTAATCATCAAACCAACAGCCAGAAATCTGGGAGTAACCTTTGATTCAGACCTCACCTTCTCCACCCATATCAACAAGATTGTCCAGTCCTGTTTCCTTCACCTGCGCTCCATTTCAAAGATTAAACAAATACTCACCCAACCAGATCTCGAAAAGATAATCCACGCCTTCATTTTCTCAAGACTGGACTATTGTAACTCTCTCCTCCCTGGTCTAAACAAGAAATCACTCTCTCGCCTCCAACTAGTTCAGAATGCAGCAGCTAGACTTTTAACTGGTTTTAGTCGACGGCATCACATCACCCCAATTTTAGCCTCCCTTCACTGGCTTCCTGTCAGCTTTAGAATTGATTTTAAGATTTTATTGATTACTTTTAAAGCGCTCAAAGGACTTGCTCCAAGCTACATTTCAGAGCTTTTAATATCTTATGAGCCAACTCGCAGCCTCAGATCCTCTGGCGAAGGCCTCCTGGTCGTTCCAAAGTCGAGGCTCAAGACTAAAGGTGATAGAGCTTTCTCCATCAGAGCTCCTCGACTTTGGAACGACCTGCCAGAGGAGATAAGGCGTGCAGAGACAGTCGCTTCTTTTAAGTCAATTTTAAAAACTCACTTTTACAGACTTGCCTTTATGTGATGCCATCTTTCATCTTTTATTGCCTTTTACCGTTTTTATTTTTCTCCTTTTTCTTTTACCTCTTTCACCTCTTTCTTATTTAGACTTACTGCCTTTTTAGCCTTTGTTTTACTTATAATCTTTTTATTGATTTTAATGTTTTCATTTTCCTTTATTTTATATATATATATTTAATTCCACTTTATCATTTATATTACCATCATTTTATTTTATTATGATTTTATTATTATTATTAATATCCTCTTTCATACTTACTAGCCTGTTTTCTTCCCTCCTTTTCTATTTCTTTTTTTTGCTTTTATTTTGGTCCTCATGGTCCCATTTATTTTGTAGGGTTCTTGTATTGCCTGGGTTTCTTACGAAAAGTGAAACAGGCCTACAATTCAGATGCCTGTTTTTTAACTGAGCTTTTGTTTTTATGTGTTTTTATTTTCAATGTGCTGATGCTCTGTGCTTACAACTGTTGTCTAAGCACTTTGTAAACTTCTGTTTTTAAAGGTGCTATATAAATAAAATTATTATTATTATTATTATTATTATTATTAATATAAGGTATTAATGTATGCCTGTTTCAGTTCCCATTAAAATGTCCTTACTGGAGCTTTAACCTTGAGCAGACCATACAGTCAAAGATCTATAGTAATCTAGAAGCCTTGTATTAGACTGGCCCATACATATATAGAGTCTTGTATTACTGTATTTTTTAATTCAGTACAATCCTAAACAACAATACCTTCTCTTTTTGGTCAAAGGCTGTGGCCACACATACTGTTTTGCACTGAAAGCACCCACAACCTCAATTTTAAAACCTTTCTAACTGGTACACACAGTTGCTTGGTTACAAAAGTTGTCCCATGGCACTTCTACTTCCCTGTTGAGTGAATGTTGAGCCTTTTTTTTAAACAATGGTGTGTATATGCCTCATATTTGCTTTCATTCTGTAGCACTAAAGGGATAATCCAGTGTAAATTTAAGTATTGGTCAAACACAACTTAACACTGAGTTAGACACCCCCTCGAGAGATAAAAGTTGCCAACCGCTTGCTTCTTTAGTTATACCAACTCCATCAAAGCCTGCACCATAGCAATACACAGCGGTCTATGTCTCCACAACCTCAACCAAAAAGCCACTATATAGCCACAAATAATGCTCAGAACAGCACCTAACTTCATCAACAGTACATAAAGGGTCTTAGCCATAGCATTAGCCACCAAACATGTTGGGGGTGCCCTGAAGAGTCGATCACTGGGTGCTGCAGAGTTTCGCAGCTCAAGAACATTTATGATCATTACTTTGTGGAACTGCAATCAGACCGAGACATGAAGGCAGAAGAACTACTGGGTCTGCAGTCCAAAATGATTATTATGATGATTTGTTACTTCATGGAAATGATCTGCTGCACTCGATGATCGACTCGTCAGGGCTCCCCCACAAACAAGAAGCTGCTGGAGGAGAGTGGGTGAGTCATGTTTGGTCTCTATTTTTTTTTATTAATAAAAACAATCAAGAAATAATGTCTTGGCATGAGACGCCACTATGAAAGTGTATCATAGAATAATAGTTGTTTCCTCTTCCATACATATACCACTGTGGTCCAATTAAGTAAAACAGAAGTAATTTAATGGAAAGAAGACGTAAGGTCTGTAGGATCGATAGCGTCGCACACAGTTGTTGGGTGTGTGAACATGGTGTGAAGTATTTTACTGACACAAAAGTGAAGCTAAAGCATCAGTGTGGATGCTGGCTGGGCAAGGAGGTAGGGCGAGGGAGTAAGAGAGACCAAGGCTACAGGAAGACAGTTTTCATATCAGATATGGAGCACATGGCCAAGTTGGTGCTACACATCTAAAAGGATGAGGCCTATCAACACTCTTGGAACCTCATGATAATTATATCCCGCCACCACAATCTTAACACACAAAGGGTGTCACAGGTCATGTTTCAAAAGTTGAACTATTTTTAATTGACAATGCCAAGAACACGGCATTGTTAAAAACAGGAGATCTACAAGTGACCACATGTAGGCTTTGCTGTCAGTGTATGAATGTGGTGTGAATGAGTTAATGTGGCTCGAAATGTAAAACTGCCTTGAGTGGTCGCAGGAATTAAGAGTAATACAGTTAGTTAGTAATACAGCCTATTTCCCAAATATCATATCAGGTCAGACTGGATGTGTTTAATTAGTTAAAGGGAGTAATAGGCCCTCATCAGAATGCAACACATGGAGGGAACCAAGGCCATTTTATCAGATTAGCCTTTTATTTCACAGGGAATAAAATCTAACTAGGCTTATGAATAATTTTAACATCAAGCACACATCAGGGCTCATTACGAAGTTCAGAAAATGAAGAAAATATCACATTTTTAATTATCCAGTAAAGATGATCCCTTTACCTTTTAGTACAATTCTGGGACTCACAGTGTGACTGTCCTTTTATGACTCCTGCCTCTAAGTCTGACGAGGTTGTTACACAGTGAGCCAGACTATAAGAAAAAAAAAAGGAAACCTGATGTGACCCTGATGGTATCGGAGCTAGACAATAGAACATTGACAGAAAATATGTTATTTACTGATAAAATGATGTATCCTAGAATATAACTCCCTCCATTATCTCTATTTTGGTCCCTCTTTCTCACTGTCAGCTCTTTTAATGTCATCTCTCTTCTTTCTTTGCCTCCAGATCTGTCTCTTTTATGAGTCTGTAGACTTCTGTTTCCTCTTTTGTCAAGGCGTAATTTTGTCTTTAGGCTCTTCAGTCCACAAGCAGCGAATTATTGTACATCTTTCAAGATGTGACAGGATCTTTTGTTATAAAACGCCGCTTTAGAGCATGTAGGGAAAAGACTGCTGTCAAAATTAGAATCAGCTCAAACTGACTTAGACTGTGCTGTTCTGTGATGGCTTTCATTACTACTGTGGCAGTCAAGGACACAGCTTCTTTATAAGCAGGCACACTCTCTTAGGAGAATGGATGTTAGCCATGAGCAGTTTAAGGTCATGTTTTTTCTAAATTTTCTATTTTTACAATTTTTTCAAATTGGTTTAAGTCAATAACACGCCACAAATCGGTCGCTCTAAGCAGACAGTTTGAAGAGAAGTATTTACGCAGAGCTGTGACACAAAGAAAAAGAAAGAAAGAGGATAGCTTGCCCAACAGCTGAATGACAACCGTATTACAGAACAATGCAACAAAACGTTATTCATTTTTTTAGTAGTGCTTGAAAAATGCTGGACAAAGATAACATGGTCATGCTAAGACCCAAAGTAGTATGATAGCTTGCTGAAAATTGTCATAACCAGCATGTATCTTTAACTTTTGTCTCAGTGAAGACTGGTGCATGCACATCTTGCAAACCTCATAAATGTTTGTTGCACTAACTTTCTTCTGTTCTATGATGTCTCCTCTGCCAACCTCACTGGACAAACAGTTGATTTTATTTTCCATTATCATTGATTTGACTTCATATTAGCAATTAATTTGAAAAATCGATTCTTGGTAAACGAGATGATATGATATATCACCAGACAAAATATTGTGATACCATGCTGTATCGATTTTTTCCCAACCTAATTGATACATTGGCGACCTGTTCAGAGTTGACCCTGTCTCTGGCCCAGTGATGGATGGAGTAAGTACCAGTTAGTCAACTAGTCACAAAGGGAAGATGGTCCAGGTCAGAGAGAAGAGGCATAAGTTCTTTTTTTTTTTTTTTTTTTTCAAATAAAATACAAAAGAAAAAAAAAAAAACAAAACAGAAAAAACAGAAAAAAGTTTCTGGTACTAGTGCCTGCAATAGACCTTTTTCACAGTACCCGGAAGTTAGCATTCTGCTCACTTCCGGTGTTAGCGTGTGGTGGAGCCACTTAGCATCGCCCATAGATGGCCATTCATTTTTCACGATATTAACAAGCTTGCGACTCATTATTTTGAACTGTCTGGATTTTGTACTTTACTTTTTGGGAATTATGTTTAATAAGTCATTACTGAAGAGCAATGGTTACCATCATCAGAAAATTTCCAGACCTATTAAACATAATTCCCGAAAAGTACAAAATCCGGACAGTATTATGAAGAACAGGAGTTAGTAAAACAGCACAGAGCATAAAATTTTACTTTACTTTTCAAAAAAAACGAGTTGCGAGCTTGTTAATATTGTGAAAAATGAATGGCCGTCTATGGGCAATGTTAAGTGGCTCCACCACACGCTAACACCGGAAGTGAGCAGAATGCTAACTTCTGCGTACTGTGAAAAAGGTCTATAATGTAAAACCACTTTCACCCCTGTGCATGTGCATGGAAAGACTGTGGAGACTGGTTGAAAAGGCCCTGTCAGCTTATTCACCGGACACCAATAATCTCTGAGTTGATTAAAATGAACTAGTTTAAGATGGATATATGAGTGACAGTTTTAAGATTTAAAAAACTATGAAACTTTTCTATGAAATGGCACGGCCTTTATTAGTTGAGCAGTTATTGGACAAAGTAGCTCATGAGCTCACCTCGTCATATGTCAAATTTCTAAAGTTCAACATTGAAGACAAAAGAGAGGGGATTGCACTCATACTACTTTTAGTAATCAGATGCACACCAAAGATAGACAACCAAGTTAAGAAGAAGAAGCCCTGAATAAGGATGTTTCAGAGTTTTTAATGCAATTTTGTTGCAAGGGTGGGGGAGAGAGACAGGGGACATGCTTTCCAGGGAGTAAAGGATGTGTGGTAATAAGGTTCAGCCTTCTTTGGCTTCAAAACAAGTCTTGAAATATGAAGCCAAACACACATTTTTGAAGCAGCTTCACAGAAGAAACATATTTGCACATCCTGTACTGCACCAGTAAGAGCTAAGGCATAATTAAGACAAATTAAGTCTTATTGCTCTGAAGGAAAAAAAAAAACAGATGCAGTCAGCCAGTCACTCCAGTAATATTCTTTCTTTGGTCGTATTGCAGACAGGTGTTTGATCATGAAATAGAAAAACCTGTGGAAAGCTGCAGATGAAACACCACATTTGCCCTTGAAAACTGCGGCAGTTTCTCTTCATGTAATTATGGAAGTGACTTTGTTCTTTCACACTCAGCAGGAGTTAATAGAGTTTAGTGCACATCCACATGATACGAGTGGATGTCTTATCCGTTTCACAACCATATCCAAAAGCTGCATATTTTCATTTGCATCCAGACTTCAACTAATCTTTGAGAAAATGTCCCCACTTCAATAAAAATGATGCTATGTATGCTGCCTGCCACCCTGAGGCAAGGCATGTCCCTGCAGTATGATACACTTCATTTAGCACGCTCTCCTCTATCCTGCTCCTCTTCTCTGCTATCTCACCTTCCCTCTCAGTCTTTTCAACAAGCTTAGCCCAACCCATACCGCTTTTCAGCAGGGAGCGGAATGATAAAGCTGAAAATTCTCAGTATGGCACTACAAAGCTGGCTGTATTTCTACAGCTGGAGATCATTTCAAAGGCAGTTAATTAAAGGCGCTCTTCAGTCGCCAGTGCCCCAGTGTCAGAGCTCCACGCATTGTGGGCTGAAGAAAGAAATATAGAAAGGAGGATGCAGGGGATCCTCCTTGAGTGTGCTGCTCTGCATGTCTGGAGATAGGAATAGAATTTAAACAGAGCTGTTTCATGATTGAAGGACACCTGAATGTATCAAGTATTTTTTTTTTTTTAGCATGCTTTAAAGATTATTGTCCATTTGTTGAGTTACACCATGAAAAATAGTTGTTCTGTCCTCAATGCGTAGCTTGCTTGTGTTGACAGGCAGCTAAACACTTCACTCCAAAAAATAACACAGAAGGTATCATTTTTCTGCCAGGTTTATGATGAAGTAATGTGTGGAACTAAAAGAGATAAACAAAATAATACAATCATGAATACTGCATTTATGAAGATGCATAAACCATAAAATAAACAATTCCACATCTGTGAACAATACAAACCAAAGCCTAGCATGGCTTACTAAAATAGCTCACTCAAAGTAGGCTAATTACATGTGATACAAACGATAACACAAATGAGTACATAATATGCTAAGACTCGAGCATGTAACCATAAATTCACATGTAAACACATACCAACGATGAAACTCGTAGAAGATGTATGCTGAAGTGGCTAGAAGCTGGCAAATGTGTTTCTCTGAGCTTCTTTGTTGTTTTTTTTCCTGTCACTTCCTGGATGAAGGTTATATTCAGCATTGACAAAGCCTAACCGCTGAAGCAAAATCTTCCAGTAGATGGCGGTACGGCTATTTTGACTCGTTCATTTTTTTAACTCACTCAAATGAAACATGAAATGTATGAAATTAAACACATCAAGTCCTTTTTTAACTGGTTTTAACTTTTTATCTGAATCTTGTGAATTAAGCTGAACAATAGTCTACATGCATAAAATATGAAACTACACCATCCTTTACTTAAAGAGCTGCAAAAAAAAAAGTATGTTCATCACTCAAAAAGGTGTTTTGTCGATTAAATGCCAAAGGGCATTGGGTGTTTAGTTTTTACTGTAGCAGTTACTCCAAGTAAGTTTCAGACTTTTGATTCAGGTAGCTTCAAGAATTTGTGTTCACACATGGATGAAAAGCATCTATAAACATCCTGCTTCAGCTCTTTACAATCATCCAGGTAGTCTGTTTGGGTTTGTAAGATCTTAAAATAAGATTCATGTCTGTTGTCAGGTCAAGATTTAAGCGCCTATATTTTTATCATCATACGAGTTTTTCTCTAAGTCAGACCAAGATACCTTTATGGTGTGGTTGGGGATTGATTTTCTTCCATATGTATGTGGCTCAGTCAAACAGAAACTGGCTCTAGCATCAGGATTTGCATGCTGAGGTTTAATCTGGAAGCTGAATGACTTAACTGTGTTGCTATGAAGCGGAGTGGTCTAATGGTATCGAATGGTACATTTAATAAATAACCTTACATGTCATCATCAATTTTTTTTTATGATATTCAACTTTATGATTTATCATCAGCCCTGTGACTGAAACATCTTTGGAAAGGGTATTGCCTCATTTAACCATTCTTTTCCATGTTTTAATGTTGATATTAGTCTGTCTTGTGTTTGGATCACTTTATTTCCTGCAGTGTCAAACTGTGATTTTAATTTGAAGTTTACTCCCTCTGATAGATTATGAGTTCTAGAGCTGGGGAAAAAAAACAGTGAAAATAAAAGCTGGAAGTAATAAATGTTAAATTGATTTGTAACCAAAAGAGGTGTGCAGTTGCTTCAAGAGCCACTAGTTTTAATAGTGCACAGTCCTCTCATAGAAGGCTGCTACAGCTAGCTTGCTGCTGGCTGGTGCTGCTTCTTCTGATTCATGATGTGTGGCAACCAAGGACCACTTCTTTGAACTCTTGATATTACCTAATGCTTATTTTAACACAATATCTCTCTTTTTTTTTAAATATAGTTTTTGGGGTTATTTTGGCGAGTTCATACAAGGTCCAGGTTTGTTTTTTTGTGTGTCAAACCTGGAAGTGGATCCAAGAATAACCACAATCACACTGCAAACTTGTGTGAGTCTAGCTTATGATTAGGATTCAGGAGTAAAAGTGAAGTGTAAAGATACATAAAGCTGCAGACTCCACATAAAAAAGCAGTAGAGAAGAGAAAAGGTAATCACAGAGTTTAATTGAAGCTTCAAAAGATTTAAGAGGTTAAAGCTAGCATCAACCCTTTTCTCTGAGCCTCTTTATTTACTATTTTGTGAAATATGGGTCAAAATGTTTCGGGGGCCTATCAAAATCTATAAAGGTTAAACCTTTTCTGTTGGTTTCAGGCCAGCTCTGATTTCCTATTAAAGATATTTTCATTGTTTTTTTTTTTTTTGTTGTTTTGTTGTTTTGTTTTCTTTTTTCCTGTGGTGTTGTTATGTATGTTTGCAGCCTTAATCTCTTTCTTTTTTTTTTTTACAGTGTGTAGAGGCCAAAAAGTACTGCTGGTATTTCGAAGGTGGATATCCCATCTACTTCATGTAAGTACCATCATGATAAACACTACAGTCCACTCAAACATTTGACAAAGCAACAAAAACGTGCACTTGTATTTACTACTAATGCTAAAAATGTATTTTTGATGAAAGATGAAACATCGGTCCTGGGTTGTATCATGGTTGAGTCATGGAGCTGTGTAGTTTGGCATTTTATTGTCACTGAAGCTAAAATGTTAACCCTTTCGATACTCTTAGTATGTATAAATCACATAGGATTGAATGTTTTCATTTGACCAACCATTATACCATTATAATTTGACCAACACTCTAAAAGGAGGGTTCCTCCAGTAGTATAAGGAACATCCCTAAACTGTTTGTGTTTGTCACAGCTTTGGCAAAGTGGAGTTTGTTTTCTACGATCCACACACAGGAAAGGTCTTCTCCTCCTTTCTGTCTTTCTCTCTTTTCAGTTGGTGTTCCTTGCTTTGTTTTTATAAAACCAGGAGTCCAGTTTTTTTTATTCCTGAAAACAAACCAGTATATTTTTCCAGTTTTCCTTTAGTTTTCAACCAGCTACATAGTCAATCATTTGTATATTTTTATCATCATACTAATTTTTCTTGTAGTCAGACCAACATACCTTTATGGTGTGGTTAGGGATCGATTGTCTCTCCCTTGTATATGACTCAATCAAACAGAAACTGGCTGTAGTGTTGGGATCTGCACACTGGGGTTTATCTGAAAGTTGAATGTCTTTACTGTGTTGTTAGGAAGAGGACTGGTCAACCAAAATTTGACAGAAGAAAAAGGGATGAAAAATAAATAACGCTTCCATATTGTATTGTACATTTATAAATAACCTTACATGTAATATTCTCGTAATATTCACACACAAAAAAATGCTTGTAATGGTTGAGAAATGATGATAAAGTCAAGAGCAAAAACAAATAACTTTTCAAGTCTGTGAAAACAAATGGAAGGAGATCACAGGTGAGGTTCATCAGCTAACAGTCATTTCCCCAGATGCAGAAAAAGCTGTGTGCTGCTGAAACAACAATGACTAAACAGAAGAGAAAAGACAGATGACAAATGGATGATCAACAGACTGTTCAATTTTTGTGTTGTCATGTATTGCATACATGTCTCATCGATCAAGCTTATTTCAAAGAAATTGGATGATCTAGTCACAGAGTTGTGTGGTGTCTGAATGTAGCCGGCCTCCCTGACTCATTGAAAATCAGCATGCTGGATGAAAAATAAAACACAGTGTACATGTTTTTGGATGTTTTTGTTTTAAACTGATATCATTTACAACACTCCATTTAATCTATAAAATGCATATACATTTAAAATTATCATGAAATTTAAGTTTCATTTGCAAAAAATACAGTAAACACCTGTGTACCAAAATGAGGGGTTAAATCTGCAGTTCTTTGCGGAGGTAAACAATAAATATATTTATTAAAATGTAGGATGATCACACAGAAGATATAGAAGACATCACCATTTCTTATTCACAGTTTAATGGTTGACTAAACTGTTGCAGTGACTTTATACAGAGAAGTGAAACTATAGGGACTCGAATTCATCTCCATTTCAAACAGCTGACACATTTATCCACAGGCTTTTTGCGGGGTTCACACAGTAAGACTCTAAACATCTCTCTGCCTCAACCTCCGTCTTTTCCTTGGTGCTGTGTTTATTTGCCTGCAGCAGCCTGACAGATTAATAGGAGGATTTAAGATCTCGCTGTTTAGGTCTCATGAGAAAACTCCTCAGTCCCCTCCTTTCCCTGATGCCTGTTTCAGTGTGACTATTTTCGTGGTCCCGGTCATCTATCTTTACAAGGACAAAACACTGAAATAACAGTGGACACCTAGAAAACGATTACATGTAATCAGGGTTAAAAACTGGAATTAACACAGGATAAATACGAGTGACTTAACCTTCTGTCTCTTGCTGTGTTTGCCCCACTTTCCTGTTTCTCCTCTGTTCTAGCAAGTAATCCCAAAATGGCCCACAGAGTAACTTGGATAAACAAGTGTCAAAGCTGTGACAAACACGGCACGCCGGAAAGATGAAGATGGGTCAAAAGGGAGATCATGAACCTAAAAAAGCTGAGATGGATAAAAAAAAGATCCACGCCATGCCAGGGGGAGTTATGAGGCTTTGCATATGATCAATGAAAGTCGCCACAGCAGCAGCCTTGAATCACTGAGGGTCTGACTCACAAATATTGTCTTTTTCCGGTTGCTGCTCTAAAAAAACAGGTGGTCCTGTTCAAGAATAGTACTACTAAAATGCATTCTAACATGAGTGCCTACTGTATTTATCCTTCATATTGTTTGTTACTGAGACCAGCTTGAGAGCAGCCTCTTGTCTGTCTAAACTCAGTCATTTTCATTGTAATTGATAAAAAATTTCCAGTAATTTCAGTTTTAAAAAGTAGTATTACAAATTTAGATTGAGTAGTAATGTCTTTGGCTGTGATAGTTAAGGCTACTATCCTCATGAATCCTACTTGTTTTGGCAATAAAAGTAGAGAGAAAGGGATCAGGCCTACAGTGCCACAACTTACTGTAGTCTGCAGGTCAAAATATTGTGCTTATTTGGATATGGGTAATTTGCGTAGACTTGTTCAGGAGTGTGTATTTGTTGTCTTGTCAGCTGAGCTGTGCAGAACTTTTTTTTAGCCTTCTGGTCATAAATTTGCTGAGCAAGCTCAAGAAAGTTCCCTGAGTTTGAAGATGTGCTGCTTTCATTATGGACACTGAATGCTATATTTTTCTAGCAAGATACAATCTTAAGTCTGAAAGTTTGGCCTTCTTTTCTGTGTTTTGCTGTCTTTCTTGTTTGTTTTTTTTTGCTTTGTTTTCCAAATCTGCTCGGCCCAGGGGTCTCTGTCTCAAGTTGCTCTATCTAACCACGCCCATCATATGTGCGTCTGTTTCTTTATGTTCCTCTATTTTATTTCTTTGCCGTTTTTCTAGTTGTTAACTCCCACAGTCTGTGAAGTTGAAAGAGCCTGTATCTAAAACAAAGCATGGGGCCGTTTTCCACAGAGTAGTCTAGCGGGGGGGTTTGTGGGATGAGCGCCCTCTGCCTGGGGACACCTCCATTCCAGAAACTTGTCCAAGTAGCATGTGTTGTACTTTTGAACATATGCAGGATTGGTAATGCAGACAGAAGTGTGAAGTCTGTGTTATTTAAAGCAGTGTCATGTGAATTTTCAGCGGTTTTCATTTCATGATACTTACTTCTGTGTCTTTTTACTCCAGGCTGTTCTTCTTCATAATGTCATTCCCTGCTTTCTTCACCAGTATCACTCTTCTCATAAACATAATCTCTGACCTTGATACCTTCATTTTCATCATTTTCATGTCTAACCATTTTAGACTGTTCCTTCTCATAATCTTTCTCCCTCTGATATAATTCTCTTCTTCAACTTCTCAGTCCTTGGCATCACCACTATCTCTCTCTCTCTGATATGATCTTGATTCTCATGATCACTTTCTCCTGAATCTTCATCATCATCATCATGATCATTTCTCTCCCTGGCACCCCTTAGCTCTCTGTTTCCTCCATCCACACTGTTATATGGGCATTTGCTGGTGGAGTGTACACACTTAAAACAGCTGGGCTGAGAGGTAACCCAACTTTAACCCAACCAGGTGTGACCAATTGGAATGTGTGTGTTCAGTTGATTATGAGAACAAATTCCTGTATCCACGAGAACTGGAGAAAAAAGACTAACAGAAGACTGTCCGATGTTCAAGAGTTTCTGTCTGGCAAAGGTTATCAGAGAGGAAGAGCAGAAAACCAAACAAAAAAACAAAAAGTACGTGAGGGCTGTAATCAACCAAAAATCTTGGTCGACTAAAACCCTAAAAATTTAGACTAAAAAATCCACTAATGGAAGGGTGGGGGGCACAGCTCAGCGGAGTAAAAATATAGTAGACATCGAAGCTCTTCAATCTTCCTGTCTCCAGCTGGTCTCCAGTGGGTTGGGTGAATCCAACATGGTAAAAACAAGGGGGGTGTTCTGAGACAGGCTGTTACCTTTGAAACGGGGGTGCTCTGAAAACACCCCCATTAGACCAATCAGAATTTTGGTTGACTCAGCACATATTGACCAATAAGTCCACCAGTCCACTAGGACTTTACAGCCCTAGAGGGCTGAAAATTGAGTTGCCCTGGCACTACACCATCTTGGTATTATAGGCCCATACTGTAAGGCTGCATGATATTGGAAAAAACTAACACTGTGATTATTTTTCAACCCTGCGATATACATTGAAATATTAAAAAATACTGGAATTTTCACCAGATGAGCTGAATAGCACTTTATCTTATGCTGCACTGCTGAAATCTTGTGGACAGTTAACCTGCACTGATCTTACCTCTTTTTGTGAATGTTAGTAGAATGGTGTCTGTCTGTCTTTGAGATATTTTTAGCTTGCTTTTATTGTGTACTGGGATGTTATTGTGGCAACAGATGAAGGCACTGCCCACACAGAACACGTATTTTGGTCAACATCATCTTTCTTGTAACCAAAATAATTCCAGATAACTGACTTTCCTTTTCTTATTGGCAACAAATCTTCATTTTCAGTGGTTTTCTCTTGTTTGTTGCTCATTTTGCAATTGTTGTTGTTGTTACCGGTGTTGTGCCAAGAAACGCATGCCCGCCAAGAATGCATAAAATTAAAACCCATACAATTCCTATTTGTTAGGCTAAACAGTGAAGAGTAATGTTCTGACAGTAATTCTCAGTGGACATGCATTTCTTGGCACAACACCGGTAGCGCCAGCAACTCACTCCATGTGGAGGCCATGTGCAGGGGCGTGGTTTCCTCCTCTCTGATTTTGATTGATGGCTGGCAGGGTAGTCTGATTGGCGACTGAGTAAAGAACAAATGTGATAAGCGGATCACTGCACAGCACAGCAGAGTCACATGGAGTGTATCTCAGTCAGTTACCCTTGAAATTAGATGAGTTCATTTGCCTCCTTCATCACAGGCTCTGCAATGTGACTATCATGCACACGTACATTGCGATGACGATGCTCAAACGATATATCGTACAGCTCTACCTTACTGCCAGTCATCTGTTGGGTCTTTGCGGATTTAGGAAGTCACCGTAGAATGGAAAAACTTCCTCTAACAGGCAGAAACCTTAAGCAGAACCAGACTCATGTTAGACAGTCATCTTCTGCTCCTGCGTTGGGATTAGAGAGAGGATAGAGGGAGATGCAGGAAGAGATAGATGAATAGAGACCAACAACAACAGCAGTACTAGTCTACACAGACGTGGTTATAGTGCCAAAAATAATGGAACTAGCTTGTGTGCTATTTACAGGAGCAGCGTGTTAATAATAATAATAATAATAACTTGATTAACGGCAGATTGAAGACAACTGATGCAGATAGCCTGCCAAATGCAAATGCAATAAGAAAATAAAAATAAAAAACACTAACTACAGCACCCTCAACTTCAGGCCTCTTCCTACAGCTCTACTATTTAACACTGAACTTACTTGTGTCAGAGTATTGCTATGTTCTTGGCACTCGTACTTTAAAGAGGACTTGTGGGCTCAAGCTCTAACTCTTAGAGTAACCAGCTGAACTTGTGCAAACATAATGCTTTAATTTACATCGCAAGAGCAGCCTGGACAGTTGTTTCGAACCCTTAGACTGAACCCTTCCCCAGTCTAAGAAAGACAAAGAAGAGTTTCATGAATGACAAATCTTTTTAATCTCACATAAACTATGTTTTATATGGCTTTTACAGCACTTAATGTGTTGTACATTTACCAAAGAGAATAAAGATTGAGGCAGTATTTGATAATTGTGACTTCTGTCTTGCATAATCAGATTCTTGTTGAAGCCTTCAGATAACTGTGGTCTAAATTTACATGAACTTCTCCACCATGCCTCCAGGAAAAGAACATATATAGATAAAAACATTCAAGGACGGCTGCAGGGATTGGCACAATATGGAACAGAGCAAAGCCTCTCCTGGCCCTGGGTCTCCAGAGACGATGGTTGCGCATCCTTGTTCTGGTTTTAAAATGCCAGACAGGAGTGAGGGTCAGAGGGATGCACGGTCATGCTGGCGACCCACAGTGATCTATCACACAAACACACACACTGTTATTTCCATAGACTGATCTATGGAGAGTAGAGGCAGTTGGCCTCTAGTCTGAGCACCTCGCTCTCAGGCTGCCATTGAAACATTTTTTTTTTGTTTACAAAGCAGAAATCAGGATTAATGGTGGCATTATGACCCACCTGTGTGCTGCCTGAAGGCTTGTTACCGTAAAAGAAATGTCAGAGCACTATAATGAGGCTTTCTGTGCCACTACAGTACATACTGAAGAGGACACTGTTAGCTCTATACTCTTTTTATGGCAAGCTTAAAAAATAAGAAATGAATCCAAGAAAATCAAAGTAAACAAAGTCAATTCTGTGAACATGGAAGTAGTTCAAGATGCAAAACTGAGCTAAAAGACTGAACAGAGGGACTTTTATCAGCTATTTAACATCAACTGATGTTTTTGTCACAATGATATCACAAGTCATACTAATTGTCAAGGCACTTTGGATTTGCTAGTTATTGGATCTAGTTATTCCGGGTGTTACTTTTGACCAATCAGAATTGAGTTGTAAACACAGCCAGGTAATAAGATGAAAAAAATGTTGCTTTTGGGGCTGTAGAACAGCTTGATTTATCACCCAAAAGCTTGTTGACGGCAGCTTTTAACACAGATTAATGTCAAGAAGGAAGTATTGAATCCAGCGTGCTTTAAATTTATGACACCTAATTAGAGTTAAAACTGAGAGAGAATATTGCTGTGGTTAACTGTAGGGGAATTAGTTGAGTGTCTGTGCCAAGAAAGCCAGATGTTCTACCTGCTGCATGATGCTAGTTTCAGTCTCTGAATGGTCTTACTGATTCAAAATTCATAGTTTTCACAGATTGGTTTAAGTGCAGAAAATTAAACTTGTTTAGGTAAGTTTCTTGCTGTAGTTCATCTGCTGCAGTGATCTTTTATACTGCATTGAAAGTGTGACAAAGCCAAAGTCATGACCTGAGAGTCCAATTTGATTTTTTCAAACTGATTATTTTAGTTTTTTTGGTGAATTTGTTGAATTATATGTTTTTTTACTCTTTAAACTTTTGATGAACACTGAAAATGTACTTTTCAATTCATTTCTTTTTTCCAAAATAAAAGGGTTGAAATTGAAACCTCAACTTCTCCTGCATGTTTTATTTGAAGTATAAAATCTTTAGTCTATGAGTTATAAAGCTAAGAGGTTATGTGAGTTTCTTTCTGTGTACACTTGTGTCTAATTGTATTGGTTCCTTGGTGTGTGTGTGTTCTTTTGTTGTAGATGCCGCTCCTATGAGGACTGCTGTGGGACTCGCTGCTGTGTGAGAGCCCTGTCCATCCAGAGACTATGGTACTTCTGGTGAGTCACAGTTAGGCCTTTGTCTCTTGTCTCCGCTCATAGATAAGGACAGAGCAAACTTCCCTCTTGACAGCCTACTCAGTACCACACTTGAACTCCTCTGCATGACTCATAACTCCTTTGCTAAATTCATAGTTCTGAAAATTTGATGTATTTCCTTTAAAAAAGAATGAATGAAATCTTTTGCAGCCGGTAAGCAAAGCACAAGCATGCTACTCTGCAGGGACCTGCTGACGTTATACTCCTGGATCCCTAAGAAGGTCCTTGAGTTATTAATGTTTCATCTCTACTGTGCTGTCTCTATCCGTGTCTGAAAAATAAATAAATAAATGCTTCACAATCTGTTATATTTTAACATTAGCTTGGTCTGTAAATACTCAAATATGTGTGTGTTGGTTAGAAACTGATTCAAACAGCTGTGAGAAGATTTGCAATATAAATTGAATTCATGCCTTCAGCTGTGCAACCCCGCAAAAATAATTAGGGAGTATTGTTTAATACTTGAAGCAGAATTCAGCGTGCTTAAACAGAGATTGTATAATTAGCTTTCATTTGCACTTATCAAAAACTGGTTTAAAACAGTCGTTGGAGAGATTTCCTGCTGCACACTGTTGGTTTTGGATAAAAACAGCATTTAACTTTATTTTAAGTAGAAGCAGCATTGTTTATATCTCAACAGACACGATATTATCCTAACCCTGTTATCATAGTTCTAACACTCACAGTTTTATAAGATGAGATAAAACAGCACACACAGTCCTGCTCTGCTCAGTTGACCCAATTTGAAATGAAACAAAAAGGCTGACAGTGAAAGTCAAGAGTATTAAAACAGAAGTATGACAGCTATATTTTACCGTTAGCTTCACTTCCACCAACAGTGAGTGACTCACATGTTAAATGTGAAAGTCATTTATTGCAGAGTCACTTGTAAAATTGCTTCCCCTTGAAAAGTGGCTTGTTGGTTTTATTTATAGATTGCTAAAACACATTGAAGTACTTTAATGGATTTAACAGTTCAAAAGACAAACAAAATTGTGAGCAAAGAATATATCAGGTAGTGTGTAAACAGATGTAGGGGAGAGTGGGGTAAGATGAGCCATTTCTCATATTTCTCAGTTAAGCCACTGGCTCAACTTACCCCAGAACTACTATGATGACTTTATTAGTCATCTAAGCTCAAATGGTGGACTTTTATGCTAGGTTTTTGACCTCATATTGTCGCTCATAGATACCACAATCAATGTATAAAACAAATTTAAAATGATCTTTTTTGGTCTGATCAAAATTGTAATAAAACCTTTGACAGACTAAATTCACTTTCAAGGGTGAAAAATGTTTTTTTGTAAATAAATGTCTAACCCCTTCACCCATGTGCTTCTAACCTTCACAGACTCCATGAATTGATGCCCATCTCCTAAATATTTGGTCACATGATCAATTTCCTTCACCATTTCCAAGCAACAGGGGGTGGCTCAACTTACCCCACTCTCCCCTACTTTATGTGACACATGAATGACGTAAAACAATCAAACCACCAAAGGATGGGGGGCTGGAGTATGTACATGTATTGTAACAGCTACACTGACAGTTCCCTGATATTTGACTCAAAACTGACCATTTTGTTGTGTTAAATGAAAGCAAAATCAGTCATTCCACAGAAGCAAGCCATATTTTTGCAGACGAGTAATTTGATTGATGCAGTGAGATTGTAATCCACAGGAGATAGATAGAGAGGGGCATCTATTTTAACTAGTAAAACATCAGTGTGGATATTGGCTGTTCCTGAGTAGCTGAAAGCAACTTTATAGTCAATTTAGACTCAGACTTCATTGCAGGCAGTCTTATTTATTGAGCCGTGCTCCTGTAATTGATACTAGTGACCCGAGATGAACAGCATTTAAAGTCAACAGAAACAAACACAAATCATTGCTTAGCCCAACCTGCAACTAAGACAGGGTAAAATTTATTTATTTTCTTTTACAAATATGCCAGTGATTGCATTTCTGACAAGATGGTTAGAAGTCTGAATTTCACAGTGAAACACACTTTTAACATTTTTTTGCCTTTAGCCTAGAGATAACACGACTGTGGACTTTACTGATTCAAACATGTAAGCCAGTGAATGCAAAGTTTGGTATAGAAAGCAGCTGTGCTTGGTTTAGTCCTACTTTTCAATAAGCATCGATTTACAATGATGTATTGGATATGCCTGAAAATATTCACAGACATAATGACAGGGGATCAATGTGGACACTCAATTAACAGGGCAGCTGTCTTGTTGGGATATTAATGTCATTTTGTCATTCTGTGGTTTAATATGTCAGTTAAAGGGTCCTAAAGAGAGGTTATATAACAATAAAACCACAAATCAAACATACGTCTTACTCATACACTACATTTACACATCCTGTCCTCACCACTGTGGCACTGAGCTCCAAACAAAATGTTTTTATTTCTTTTTTAATATTGAAAGAGTTGACTACTCTCTTTTCACACAGGGTGCTGCTGATGATGGGAGTGTTGTTCTGCTGCGGTGCCGGCTTTTTAATCCGCAGAAGGATGTATCCGTCCCCGCTGAGAGACGAGCCAGCTTTCAATGTCTCCTTCACCAGACACCCTGTCACCACACCAGGTACCGTAGTACTGTTACAACCCTGCTCGTGAGGGGAAAGGACGCAACATAAAACCCCGGTTCCGTGATGTAAAACTTGTTATTTATTGCGAAAAGAAATAACAAAGTGCTGCTCAATATAAAGTTGAGGCGAGGAACAGAGGGATGTAGAGTTCTGCTCAAAGAAACAAATAAACACAACAAAAGGCGACTTTAAACTAGAGAGGGAAAATGACACTTTCTGAGGGGTTAGCAGCTCCCCATCCCTTACAATTCCACAAAAAAAAATGTAAGGATGCCTAGCCCAGGTTCACACTTTAAAGAAATGAAGGTCCACATAAATGATCATTTTGACAAGTTTTACTGGTTGCAGATCTTGGTTACAGCTTCTGCATGCAACAAGTGTAACAAAGACTGGTCTGAGACTGTTCAGGTATATATAGCTGTCCACGTTTCCAAACAGTCTGCTTACATCTTGTTGACCTGAGGGAGAGTCCATGTAGGGTAAGAACAAAGCACAACTTATTCTGGGAGCCTGAGTGATGTTAAACAGCTGTAGAAGGTCCTTATTTTATGATACTTTCAGAGGCCCATGGCTCCAGAAATCTAGCACCAAAGTATCCAAGGTATTTGTGTGACACAGCTCCATCACCCTTAAGGCTGACATGACTGGCTAAAGAAAATCATCCTCACAAAAGATATACGATTAAATCGCCTCCACATACGAATGCTGACACAGATTTCCTGACAAAGAATCTAGTGAACGCGAGTGTCTACCTCCGAAGCGCTCCAATCATCCCTGATTGGTTCTGCGGACTCAGCCCATTAACCAATCAGCAGCTGGTTCCCGTAGTATCAACATCCTCTCACAGTCACACACAGACACTACCAAACAAGGTAGATGGGGCAACACATGTAGTAAACACCCAGAGCAGGGGCGCAAAGCACACAAAGAGGCACCCTGTTGAAAAGGTGGCAAACACTGTGCCTAATCTGCCTCTAAAAAATGATAGAATAAAAAGAGTAAACAAAACAAACAAACAAAAAAAGGTTTTATGAGTCAGGGTATTCCAGGTATAAAATATTGTGAACATGGGGTGAATCTGCTCAGATTTACATTCCAACTCTTGGAGCTGAATAATTTCCCAGACTAATCTCATCCTGTTCATTCAGATCCACACAGTGGTCTGAAAAGAAAGTTGGGATTTTAGAGAGAAGTGGAGCGGCTGATAATAAAATGAATGAGATTTTCTTCTGTGATTCAGCCAAGCAGAAAATGAAGCGCTCTGAGAATAACCGCAGTGTAAAACCAAATTCTGCAGAAAGTCTGAATAGCAGAAAGGTGGCTCAGAGGAGGTCGCACTTGCTTCTTCTCCCTTTTAAACTCCAAAAATAAATTCCCCTTTATGAGCGTCTGGTTCCAGTTATTACAGACAGTTGGCCTAAGGATGTGTAAGGACTTTGTTAGAGTCCTTTTGGGGTTTTGGGTTGTAGTCAAAATGTAATTACCAAAGTAATAGTAAGGAATTTAAATAACTGTGCAAACGCAGAATATTACATAATTAAATTGATGGGAAAATTATTAGATGAAACACTTTTTTCTGTCCACCAAAGTCTTTCCATCAACCAGATTTGAAACTTGGGTAAAGCAAAGTCCTTCGGAGAAAATCAATAGTTTTCAATCTGATGTTGTCATGTCAACACAGAAACTACTGAGACAGAGTGATGGAGCACAGCCGGACATTTGACTCATTCTTCTGCTACACCTCTGACACACAAACTTCTTAAGGTGTCAGCCCTGATCTCTGTATTTTGTATATCTAAAAGTGCAAAATCCTTCTAAGCTGGGCTGGGGGGTCACCAAGCTTCAATCAGGACCAAATACTATGTTTTGTAAAGTCGAAGAAATGTTGTGGCAAAAAAAGCTTAATTAATCACATCATTTGCGTACAATGCGTAGTGAAGCACTTTTAAACTGCAAATAAATGTATCAACTTTAAGATCTTGATACTCAAATGAATAACGTTATTGGAAAGCTGCTGCAAATAAGGCTGCACGATTCATCACACAAGTCTAGATTGAAATGAATTGAACGCTATCAGACTCTTTCACCACATTACAGAGCAGGAAAAGTGACATTGCTTCATCTCGCTCTGGTTCAAACTGAGCTCTTAGTAAACATGTGACAGATGACCCAAGAGGTTCCACAGACAAGTAAACTAGATCAGTTTTTAGGCCAAAGACCATGATTATCATTTAAAGATGAGGAATAAGACAGTTAAAACAGTATTTACGACTGTATTTCACATCGCCTTGATAAAAAATATCTATGACTTGATGATTACAATGTTTTTTTTGTGTTGCATCTTATTTGTTAATGTTCTTCTTGTAAAGGTATATTTTTATAAGAAAATGCTGATATGTGGAGTTGTGTATTATCTGCAGAAGCATGATAGACTATGTTGGATCATTCAGCAGCTTGTAGACTAGCACATAATTTAGCTCCTTTTAAAGAACGGATAACTAAACTTAGGCATGAGTGGCAAATGAAAGATGTATAAAGTCAGTCAGGGTTAAAGGGTTCCTTGCCTGGTTTCCTTAGCAAAGAGACCAAACACAACTCACCCACTCACCTCCAGCAGCCGCTTGTTTGTGGGGGAGCCCTGGCGCGTCGATCACTGAGTGCAGCGGAGTTTAGCAGCTCAAGTAAGAGCATTTATGATTACTACTTCATGGAAACGCAATCAGAGTTCTTGTGTATCTTATATGTGCACTGCAGACGCGGTACTTCTTCTGCCTTAGCGTCTCAGTCTGATTGCATTTCCATTAAGTAATAATCATAAATTTTCCACTGCGCTCAGTGATAAACTCGTCAGTGCTCCCCCACAAACAAGCGGCTGGAGGAGAGTGGCTGAGTTGTGTTTAGAAACCAGGCAAAGCTGAAAGATGTTTGATGACTAGTGCTCTGGCTGGGACCCTATATGTACTGTTGATGAAGTTAGGTGCTGTTCTGGGGCCTCATTTATAAAGCTTGCTTACGCACAAAACCTGGCTAGAAATTGCGTACGCCACTTCTTACGCAAGAGTTGGGATTTATAAAAGAAAAACTTGTGTAGGAATGTGCGCAACTTTAAGCAAACTCCACACCTTGCTTACGCACTTTTTGGAGACAATCGGAGCAAGGTGAGAATAGTCCGGGTGATGCGTTCAGCACAACGGATGACTCCATGCAGCCTTTCTGTCCTGAGAGCTGCAGCTGCCGTACCAGGCAGTGATGCTCGCAGAAAGCACAGACCCCACTGTGGCGGTGTAGATAGTTTGCCAATTTGAATTTACAAATGTGCAAAAAAACAAATTCCATTTACATGCATTTGTTTTAAGATTAATATGACTAAATCTTTTTGGTTTACGAACTTTCACCACATAAGCAGCGGTGGATAACGGAACGTTTTTTTTTTTTGAACACATGCACGAGTGTCACACGTGCATGTTTTTTTTTATTCTCACCTGTCGCCGCCACGCTCTGATGGTGCAAAGCCACTTTTTTCTTTGCCTCCACCTTTAGATCAGACCACTTCTTCTTGATTTCGGCACAGTGTTGTTTTCGTCTACGTCATCGTCAACGAAAACAAAACTCCACGTGTTTGCGCGCGCGTGCGTGTGTGTCTCTGTGTTGGAGGAGCACAGCAGGCTGATGACAGCTGTCAGAGCGGACAGAAGCTGCTCCTATATGTTTAGCGTGTAACTGACTGAGTTTTGCAACTCTGTTCGTCATTTTCGTCTCGTCCCATCAACGTAAACGCACTTTCGTCTCGTCACATTTTAGTCATCTCCGACTTATGTTTAGCTCGTCAACGTTACGTCTTCGTCGTGGAAGAAAAGGGAAATATTTCCGTCAACAAAAACAACCAGTGTTGTTCTCGTTGATGAAAATATTTCTTTTTGACGCTGGTGTTGACGAAAATATTTGACGAAATATGACGAAAACAACACTGTTTCGGCAACGCTGCGCTCAGTGCCAGCCGCAATTGCCACCACGGCAACGGCGTTTTTATTGGTGATGCCACTCGAATGGCCGCCGAATAAGGTCTCCCGTCTCGCCGCCACCTCATTTACAAGAACCTCCACCTCGATCTCTGAAAAGTTTCTTTTTCTACGACTTGCTGATGCCATGGTCAAGCGTGAAATGCCGTGGATCCATCAGGCTTATCTACATGCAAATCACATTCATGAGGTAATTTGCATGACCATACATGGTGAATTTTGGGTGTGGAGAGGGCGGGGAAGAATCAAATCCCTGCTGAGCAACTTTCCAGCTGGTCTGTGATTTATAAAGGGAAAGTGCGTGCAGGTGTGCGTAGGCAGGGTTTTATAAATCAGATTTTTTTTTTGCCTACGCACTTTTCAGCTTTTCAACTTACGTACACTTTTAGTATGGATTCTACGCCAGGTTTTATAAATGAGGCCCCAGAGCATTATTTGTGGCTATAGAGTGGCTTTCTGATTGAGGTTTGTGCGCAGAGATGTAGACCGCTGTGTGTTGCTATTGTGCGGTCGTTACTAAAGTTGGTATAACTAGAGAAACAAGCAGTTGGCAACATTCATCTCTCGAGGGGGTGTCTGACTCGGTGTTACAGTGTGTTGGACCATAACTTGAATTACGCCAGAATATCCCTTTAATACCAAGTTTTTATTTGTTCCCTCCTTACAGTTTCCCAGCAGCCAGGGAGTATGCAAGGCTTCGGGGTCAACGGGATGACAGGAGGGGACCCAGGGATGACCATGACACACCCTGCATACCCAGCACAGCCTGGCGCTGCACACATGATGATGGCATCCTACCCTCCACCTCCTTCATACTGCAACCATCCTCCTCCATCATATGAACAAATATTTCAAAACAGCGACAAGAAGTAGGCTAATAATCCCAAGAAACTTGGACAATGGAACTTGTAAGAAAAGGATGGCAAATGATGATGAAGAGGAAAACTTGCCGATTATTTACAAGTGAACCGTTTGTGGATACAAGACTTTCAAAACACAACTCCTTGTCCCCGTGGAAAAGACCAAAAGACACAGTAACCAGAATCAAGATGCACAGAAATACTTTACTCACACACACACAGACACACACACACAAACACTGCTTCATCTAAAGCGCTTATTTACCCTCCATCTATGTGGATCCATGTGTACAGTGACTGTGCCAGTGATCGGTGTTGATCCGACTTGCAAGAATGGACCTGTTCAGTTGGAGGTTTCAGACTCACCCACTGTCACCTGTCTCCTCCTCCTCTTCCTCCTCCTCTTCCTCCACCCCTCTCAACCTGACTAAAGCTAAAACTGTGCAGAACAGAATAGGACATCCCAAACTCATAATGTAGTAAAATGCTGGGTATGGTTTGTCTTAGAGGGCAGTTTTTCAATCACTGTCAACACAAAGAAGAGAGAAACAACAAACCTAGATAGAACTCTTATCATACAGATAGTTCAAAAAATTAGTTTCTTGGATAACACCGACTTATTTTCTATCCAGCATTTTACTGCAAGATGGGCTCTTAACTAAATGATGAGTTCTTGATGAATTTTTTATTACAGTGTATGTAGTTCCATTATGTAATGGCATGATGAGTTGTACCAATAGTCACAGGCTTGTTCTCCTGTTAGGAGCAACGTTCACCGCAAGATGAGTCAGATATGAGCTGAGATGAAGAGAAGCTGATTGTAAGGCAGTCAAGTTTTAATAAAACATGCCGAGTCTTAGTGGTGCCTCATTTGGTGATTGATATGCTGCTGCTTTTGCACCGGTATAATGGATGTGAAAAAGCTTCATATCCTGCTGACATACACCACTTTCTTCATATTAGATTCTGCGTAACACATTTGGCCTCTACCTTACATGGGAAAACTGTCAAACCTCTGATGAGTTCTGGGGGTAATCCAGTGAAAAGCCTGTTCTCCTTGGTCCTGGATGGCTGTTACAGCAGATGTAGCCTGAGAAAAAGTTTTATAATTACTACTGACAATATGTGCTTGGAAAAACTTTTGCTATTCTTTTACTGAAAACATTTTGGGGCTTTTTGTGTCGTTTTTAATGGAATAGGGCAGTGGATAAAGTAGGAAACTTAGAAGAGAGAACTGACAGCAAAAGACCAAGATTCAAAGACCAAGGCCATCTTTTTCAAGTACTGAAGCCTATGCAATCCATTTTTTTTTTTTGATCCAATCTTGAGCGTATTGGCCGATATCCGATACTGATCCAATACTGCTGTTGAATGAATGAACTGTATACTTTGCCCTGTGAGTGAAGGCATCAGGTTTCACATTAGCCTTGTTAAAAAAAGGTAATAAATTAACACAGATCTAAATTTACTTAATATTATTTATTAACAAAAACAAATTGCACATTAGCACACAGCAAAAAGAAGCAATACTTCCATGTATTAAAAGGAAAATCAAAAGATAAAAAAAAACTGGATCGGAACACTGGATTGGCGTTATTCATCAGATATCCGATCCAGTTAATTTGTCAATCACAATCAAATCAAATGAAATCACAATAATTGACTATTATCACCCATGTAGAAAGTTGAGCACAGACACATCAGAGGCGGTGGGTGGATAAACACATGGGAAGGAGGTATGGTGTGGAGAGTTTAATGGGCACAGACAGTACACTATGGGGGTGTGATAAAAAAGGATGCAAATGGATCAGTGATAGGAGCATTTATAGATGATAGGGGATTAGTTTGTGTAAATGATGGGACAGGCACCAGGTATAATAGTGCAGAAAACACAGCGAGTGCAATAGACTTGACACTGGTAGCTAATGAAAAAGCAGGCATAACAGCATGGGAGGTTTTAAACTAGGCACCGGTTGGTAGCAATTGCTATCCAATCAGAATCAAAATAGGGGTGGAGGTACACTAAGAACAAAAGTAAGTGGAGTATTTTTCAAGATGTGATGAAGAAATAATTTGAGCAATTACTGAAGGAGGATTTAGTGAGTGTGGAATAATTTAATAAAGCTTGACTTTGTCTAGGAATATCAGTAGCTGAAAAAGAAACACCAAAAAGTACTGGATGCAGTAAAAAGAGTGCACCATGGTGGGATAGTCATTACAAGGATGTCAATAAAAGGAGGAATGGGATTTTTAGATGACTTAAAAAAATTAAAAAAAATAAAAATATTGGAATTTCCTTTAGAATATAAAAAAGCTCAAGCAGAAGTGAAACGAGTAATAAAAAAGCCAAATGAACCTACTGTAGGAAGATAATGAAATGAATCATGAAAAACATTTCCTTACCAACAAGTGTCAATAAAACAGCAATTGGCAATAGTGAAAAAGCAGAAATATTGTCAGAAACCCTGGTTTAAGTCCATAGTTCACCCAATTTATCAGATAATGCAAGACACAATCTTTTTCCAGATAGTGTTTTGTTTTCATTAAGCGTATCTTGGGCCATCGTAGCCGCAGCTGGCTCTGTGTCATCACCGTCCATAATGTTCTCGTTTAGTTTATTATGTTCCATAACGTATGTCTATTACAAATGCTGCAGTTTATCACAAAGTTCAGTTTTTTTTTGGTGCCAATATTGTTTATTATGTAGCGACCAATGCATCGAGAGTAGGGTTCCGGTAAATTTCCAGAAACTTTCCATGGGAAGTTAAGCTTGGGAATTTTGGAAATATTCAAAATTGGAAACTTTCCATGGGAATTATGGGAATTTATGGGGATTATTGGGAATTTATGGGAATTAACTGAATATTAAACGAACTGTATCATATCCAAACATTAATGAAAATATTTTTCCTTAAACATTAGCTTGTGTGAAATGCTTCCAAACATCAGATGGTGAACTTGGCATTTTTTTCTGTCGAATAAATTTTTTTTTAAAAGCTGGTAAAAACATTAATGCAATTGCATGAACAAAAATATAGTTGGCTAAACAACTGCAATGGTTTTCAAAATATTGGACAATTGATGTATAATTTATTGTATGGTTTTAGAAAACCGTCTTGCAGGAGTCAGGAGAAACAGCATCACATTTGAGGTAGCTACCACCACCATGATAAGCTAGTCCCTTAAATGGTCAATGAAATGAAATGAAAAGTAGCTTACATGTAGCACTTATTTTTGTTTTTACTATTATAGATCAAACATATTTACTCCATAATATTATCAAAACTTACTTGACTTTATATAGTCTCTGGGCTCAAAAGTGTGGCCTCTAGGGTCTGTACATGTGATGGAGGAATGCACAGTGCATGTAGGTGTTGTGGCCTCAATAGTCCTGCAGGAAGCAGTGTGCTGTGTGCATGTGCTTGAGAAGTATACTTGCATTAAATCTGGTTGTTTTAGTCAAGATTATGTTACACTATATTTTCCTCAACTATGTTTAAGTTCCCTGTTGAGGGCCAACCTTCAATTTTTGTAAATTTCAGATTTATTCCCTTTAATTCCCATATATTCCCATTAATTCCCATGGACAGTTTCCAACTTTGAAAATTCCTGGAATTTTGCAACCCTACTTGGGATTACGCTCGCAAAGTAGTGTGCACACATTCAAACATGGCCATAAAGTTAGTAACGCTACACGTACCTCATCGAAGCCGTTGAGCGCATTGAAGGTGGCACTTCATTTTGTCGGATGCATCACCTGATGATCCCGTCCTCCTCCGAAAACCACCACTGCAACCGGCGAACCAAACAGAGTCTCCGAAACCCCACGCTGCGTCTTCCTCCATAGACCGGTTGTGTCCATTAACATTCCAATGTCCCACTTGAAGCGCAGTTTTTTGACCTAATGTAGTGACTTAATTCGCCTGCCGAGATTATCCCGAGATCTACTGATGTGTGTTATAGCCAGGTACACAGATGACCCATCTCACGCGCCTACTTGTTTCCAACGTGTAAATAAAACAGTTCGTCCAAGTCACATTTTTCTTGTTTATTCTTCTTTTGTTAAAAAAAACAAATGCCAAATAAAGACAAAAGCAAATGGCGACTACTTCCAACAAATGGCGACTACACTGATGTTAATGATGATGGTCAAAAAACTGTTCGCTTCCCCAGCTACCTACACACCTGCCACTAATTGCGTCTTCTTCTACTTATCGTGAACAAAAACACAGGACTTCACGCCACCTGGTGTGGCACCAGGACAATTACAAATTAAATAAAGGAAAAGAAAATACAACAAATGCCTCTAACAATGGACATCAAAGAGTGTAACTTTGCATTTTCTTTTGTAAATGTGGAAAAGCATAAGCATTCATGTAAGGGAATCATGAAGGAGTCTGGTAAAGAGAGTTTGAATGACAGAATAAATCAATCAAAATCGGACACTCAAAACTTAAACCTTGCCTCAAAATGTTGTGTATTAACCATCGTGCCAAGAAGGACATTGACAGCATAATAAAGACATCCGACTATGCACTGCTGCAGCTCAGGAGTTTAATAGGGAAACAAAGAAATCAAATACACAGACAGTGATCAATGTAAAACACTCCATTACAAATTACCACCAAACACTTAAGGACCAGTCAAAGAAGACACTGCATGAGAGAGATGTCACAAAAGGAAATGTGTGTGTCTGTTGGAGACATTCATAACAAACCTCTGCAGGATATTTGTGTGCATTCATTGGCTGTCTAAGTTCATGGAAATACTGGTTGGTTTTGATATTAATAATTATTAAACCATTACCAAAAACAGCAAGGTCCTCCTAAAAGCAAAATGTTTAAATCAAAAAGAGCAAGAAGATTAGTTTTAATGAGAAATTGAACACTCTGAGCCTCCAAAAGCTTTATGATCTCTTTGTAAAATGAACAACTTAGCTCATTCCATTAAAAACAAAACAAAATAAACCAAACTTACATTGATACAATGTTTAACTTGAGAAAAGTCTGGTGATCTTATAAAGGGTACTTTGAGAGAATCTGTCCCCGACGTGTGACGAATACTTGAAGAACTGAAAGAGCACACCTAAAAAGCACTAAACTGACAGCATATGAGGCACCGAGAGCCAATACAGTGAGCATGCAGAGGCATAGAAATACCAAAACAGTATAGTTCACTTATACAGATGCACACATACACACAAACATCCACACACTATCACACATACACCCTCTTTCTTGCGTAGGTGCTACGATAAGGCTGAGGGTGTCAACTGTATTTTTTTGTTCCACACTGAGAGGATGAAATCGTTCCTTTCTGATATGTACCACAGGATGAAGAGTCCTTTATCAAGAGGAGTAACAGCCATCGTCATCATCTTGTTTTTCCAGACCAGCGACTTAAATTTTTTTTTTTTTTTGCCAGCTTGACAACATTCAGCCTGTCTTGTCTGAAAATAACCCCCCCTCTTCTCTATGTACATATTTAAAATTTATACAACAAACCACAAACACTGAACTCATTCTGTATTATGGCTAATTCTGAAATCCAAGGTTGAATGCTGCCACACAAACACATCCTCCCCCTTCATCATCCTCAGTCCCATCAACTCGCAGGTCAGAGTTCAAACGCAGGGAAACAGCAAGCTTCAGGCTGCGCTATCTCTGACAGATAGTAGATGGCCCCTGCCATACCTGAGAGGAAAAACACATCCGTTACTCTGGATTCATCAGAATCAAAGTTGGCATTTTCCTCTGATGCTCCAGTGAGGGTGGAGAGCTTTAGTGTTTGTATTACAGAACAATGTGGGGTGTGGGTTGCCAATTGTGTTTGTCAGTCACATCTGATAAATTGTAGGCATTTTACATCTGACAGAGTCATTAGCAAGTAAAAATAGACTGAATTTGAGGGCACAGAGACTTATTTTAAAGAAAAAAACAAGTTATTGGCAAACAATACTTCTTTTGATTATCAAATCCGTTGATCTAGCTTGAAGGCCTTTCACACTGGGAGCGTTTTTTTCGTGCGATTATTTTGGACGTCAATATTTTTTTCAAACCCGTATCCTGTCAATACAAGCGTTCACATCAGCGACATTTTCCCGTACTGCGATATTGCGGCATTTATTTTTTCAGATCATGGTCGATTTTTCTAAAGTTTTGCAGACTGTGTGTCCACTTCGGACCAATCAGATTGCGTCTTGTTGCGACGTCTGATTCACCGGTATATCCAACATGGCCGACCGGCTGATTGTTTACATATCGGAGAACAGAGTGCTTTATGATGCAAAACTCAAATATTACAAAGATAACAACCTGAAGGACAACGTGTGGAGAGTCATAGCGTCGGATTTCTCATGTGACGATAGTTTGTATGCTTTAACAGTTTGCTAAATGTCTTTGTTTTAACTTTCATCTGTGCTAACGTAAGCTAACGGCTGTCATTTTTGTTTCATTTTGTTTCATTCCATAGTTTCATGTGCTTGTCTTATCGCCTCTGATTGGCTATAAGTGCTGACTGTTTGGTTTAAGCGTGTGATGATGTTTCCAGCTTTTCTAGCCAATCAAAGGCGAAGGAGGCGGGACTTTCCCCGGGAAAAGTCTTCCCCGGGATGCGTCTTTTTCCCCGCGGAAAGTTGCTAAATCGCATGATCGGCTTGATGTGTATAGTCAGGTGCGTCAAAATTCATCTCCGAATATTTCGTAATTTCGTGTTCTATATTCACGTCAGCCCCAGTGTGTAAGGATCTTAAGGCTGTTAATGGTTTCCTTGCAAATTTGGGATTTTTTTGTATTTTGAAAAAAGGTGGGTTGTTTGTGCACACTGGTCGGCAAGAACTGTGGCACACAGTGTCCAAAAGCTGTGACACACCACCACCTTTGCATCTTGCAAATTTCATTAGAGTCAGTAGTACTCACTTTGCTAGCCTTGGGACGCCAATAGAACAATAACATATCTATTGTATATTATCTTGTTTGTTTAAAATGTCTAAAAAGAGAGCAGCTCCAGGAACTCTGTGAGCTTTGTTTGAACGCATAAGGACACACAGTGTAGGTAGTCTAAGTCAAGGCATTGCTGTGTAGCAGTGATTTTCTATCGTAATGGTTTTAGTTATTTGTCATATTCAAAGACTTCTGTGATAATGATAGTGGAGGTAAACAGACGCTTTCAAGACACTGGGTACATCCTGCAAAATCACCCATAATTGTTCTCTAACACCTTAGTTAAAGGGCACTCTCATTTTCCATGTACAGATTAAACTACATCCCATGGATACAGGATGCAGTTTAATTGGCTGTTGGTGGGAGAGGATGTGCCGTTAGCAAATGTTAGCAAATATATTTTTGCCAGCAGGCACCAAGAACAGACGAAGCAAGCAACTTCAATTACTGAAGCAGTAATAAGTTCATCTTTTGGAGAGCCACAAAAAATGTCTGTTACCTTCAAAAAGGGAGTAAGGTCTGTCTGGGATGCGACAGCCGTGGGTCCCGTACGCCAAACACCACTCTGCAAACTAGAGGGAGATAATAACATTTAAAAACACATTCATGCAACATAATGTGTTAAGAAAGAGAAATATATTAAAAAGTGAATAAAACAGAATGAATTAGTTGCAGATTGACATCACATGCAATTGTCAAAACAACAAAAAACAAATATGATTAATTCAGCGCAGGTTGTAGTTGGATCCTCTTTAAATCAAAATTTGTTCTTCTGTCCCATTTACATCATTATAAAGATGTTACAGTACCTGAACAGCACTGATACAGCTGATTCATGAGCCTATTATAGAATTTATTTTTATTTTTTCCTTTTTTTTTTTGTTCGTTTTGTTTCATTTTTTTGTTTTTTTACTCTCCTTTATCTAAGGTGTTTGTTTTGTTCCTTACAGTGACAGTGAGAGTGGAGGTAAACAGACCCTGTTTATTAGTTATAAAAAGTTAAAGCCACCTCCAGGTCTAAAGATAACTGCTTTAGACTTCCAGGGGGACTTAAGGTCAGAGTTCCAGCCAGCAGAAGGTAAAATAAAAAATAATAATAATAAAAAAAAGTAATAATAATAATAATAATAACTTAAAAATAACAGATGATCTTGAACTCATTGACAAAAAAGGTATAATGTATAAATGAATGAGGTATTGACAACCACATGCAAAGAGCTAATGTTGAGGCATTGCATGAGGAGCTAACTAGCATAACGAAGAGAATAAGAGAACTCAAGACATAAGAGACGACATTGCAACATCTGAAGAAGAATTTAAAGCTGACTTGAGGTGGGAATTCAACACTTTTACAGAAAAAACTGACATAAAACTGTCAGCTACCAATCGGGAATTACAGGAGCAAAAGCAAAACATCAAGAGGTTCAAACACGTATGGAGGAACTTGAAGAATGGAACATGACGGTTAAAGAAGCTCTGCACTCAAAAAACAAAGAGGCTGCAGAAAACAAGTGACTGACAAAGGGAAGAAACATGCGCATTTTTAGAGTCCCAGAAGGTAAAGAAGAAGGATCGGATTCTGAAGTCCAATGAAGAGGATGAAAGTGCATTGGACCCTCGACACTACAAGACTCCGCAGAAGAGAAAATCAGTGGGCGGGTGAGACACACCAATAAAGGAGTCCTGCTGGACGACTGAATACAAACAACATTTACATGGCGATGGGCTTACAGCCTGACAGCGCAGAGGGATGTGGTCAGTGACCAAGAGAAAAGCTACGGGACATGTAAGGTGTTATATTTGGGAAATCTGAAAAAGGAAAACATCCAAAGCAAAGACAGATGTCTGGATGAAATACTTTCAGTGGCATCAAAGAAAGCTATCACAAGAAAATGGTGCAAGGTCCCCCGACACAAAGAACCATGTCAGGGAGAGATTTCTTTTCAAGCTCCAAGAACATTCAAATGTCAGTCGAAATGGAGAGAGGGGACTGACTCTAAAACCCTTCACAAAGTTTGAAGAGAACAGACAATCTATAATGTAGCTAAGCTGTCTTTTAAATGATGCCAAGTTTTAGATTTTTTGTATGCTTTATCGTTACTTTATGAAAAGCATATAAAAAATAAGTTGAATAAAAGGGATGACTCTGCCAGATGCCAGGAGCTCAATTATGCAAGGCTTTATGAGAAAATAACCATAATATAGAGGCAGTGATCACTACAGCAGACGCTTTCAGCAGTGGCACAGATACAGTGTTTAGAAACTTTTTTAGTATGGCACGATCATCATTTTGTGAAAAGGGATCGCATCTTTACTAGTTTGAATACAGTCATACTTAAAGCGGATGAGCAGTCTGTTTATTTGAAAATAAAATATCGTCTGAGCTCCTTATCAACATCAGAGCTAATCCTGTATAATCCTAGACAACCAACCCTGCTTCACTAACAGCGACAGCTGAGTGATTTATCAGATATTCATTTCTATTATGATTATGGCTCCCCCACAATCATAAAAATATAATAATTTAGACTTTATTTAGACTGAACAATTATTTATTACTTTCAGTAAATGAAGTGCACCCTCCCTCCTTCTCCTCTACAGGCAAAGCGCAGTCATGGCCCCCTTTCTCTTCAACAGGACTCTACAGCATCCACTAAGAGTAAGTGTGGGCAGCGGCATCTATAACACGATAGTGGTACAAGCTATTTGGCAAAACTGCTGATGGCTGGGATAAAAAAGTGAGACATCGTTCTGTAGTGTGTCTAGGGGTGTCCCAATACAACTTTTTTACTTCCGATATGATACAGATATTGTAGCCTTCAGTATCGGCCGATACTGATATTGATCCAATATTGGCACAAACTTGTGTATGAAAAGTTTTGCACTCAGCTGCAATGTCTTTTTCGGACTATAAAAATACTGCCACACGGCTGACATCACTCCCACCCCTTGCTACTTTGTTTGAACCTTAGTACACACTTTTGTTGTGATCACATGGGCTCTGCATACTGGATCCAGGAGGTCCTGCTAGCTGGAGGTGGCAGAGTGGAATCTAGAATGGACTGCTTGTATTGGATTGCCGATACCAGAGATTTTAGATGCAGGCCGATATAATCCAATATTTGTTTTTTTATCTGATATTGGACCAATATCTGATATCAATATCAGACCGGGACAGCTCTGAATGTATCCACATTGCAATGAGTAGTTTCATAGCATCTAGAATGTACTACTTAGCTTAATTTACATGAAAAAATCTATTTTAGGCAGGCTGACTTTTGATCTTACCTTGCATGCCCGGTACAGATATTTCTTCTCCTGGGTGAGCTTGTAAAGGGACAGGAAGGCATAGCCGTTTCCAGCAGTACCGTGGCAGATCCCGTAGCCTTTTCTGAGCAGCCCTCTCTGCCAGATCACCTCAGAACATTCAGCTGCGTCCTTTAAATACTTCTCTTCTTTGAACACCTGTCAAAGAGGACAAAAGAAGAGCTCACAACAACCGTAATTAAACTTAAATGTGACAGCAGTGCGGCACAGATTTACGACAGACATCTGCAAACCTGAGCTATTGTGGGAAACTTACGTTATATGTTAAATTCAAATGCCAGTCTTTGATTATGTAGCTGCTTTATCTACTGTTAACATTGTTTCTTTACACCCTTGACATGAAAACATGTGTCAGGGCAACATCTCTTCCAAAAACAACCAGCAAGAGCCACAAATGTCAGCATCAATCAAGCTGTACCATGGAGAAACATCTTCCTGACAGGCTGCTTGCTGTATGATATCTTTCCCCAGGGAGGAGGAAAGAGTTGTGCCCACACAAAGGACGAGACGTTCCCACATGCCCAGACCTCATTAGAAGGTAATGAATCCTATCCAGTGTAAAGCCATGCCGCTCCATTTCATAAGAGCTGACAGATGACCTGTCTGACACACATGAAGCCAATGAGACAAACTGAGACACAGTGTGAACAAAGTGGAAATCTGATTAGGTGAGATAATAAAAAGACAGCCTCCTCCAGCAGACTGAGGTCCCAGATGGCTCTGGGAAGAAGAAGCAGGAGTAGCAAAAGAAGAAGCAGGTTGTAGAGCTGCTGTGTAATGTTGCTTGTGTCAATGAGTGGATGTGCCTGTGCTTTGAGGTCAGTTATTAAAAGCTTAATGACTGACCTGCTGTGTCCAACACGGCTCACTCAGCGTTACTTTATAGTCCTTACTATCAATTAGGTAATTAGTTAAATCTCAGCTCCTTTCCAATTAATCCATGTACTAATTTAGGAAAAATGCACTTCACTCCCTCTAGCTGATCACTGAAAAATGGTTGCATTTTGAAAATTACACAAGGGTAGTGTTCAATGATACAATACAATACGATGCAAATCAATATAACTTTGGCAAAGACCACTGGCTACACTAGGGCTGGGCGATATGGCCTCAAATCAATATCACGATCCATTGAGCAGTTCACCTCAATAATGATAAATGGACGATAACTACTCCACAAGCCGCTCACCTCCTCCAACATTAACTTTGTCTACTTCAACCGCCGCTCCAGCTGCTCCAGCCGCTCCAACTTTTGAACCGTCCTCCATCTCCATACCTGTCTTTCCCTCTTTGTTAGGGAATGGGTGAAGTCACGTTTCCGACATCTTAAAGGGACATGAGACCATAGCCTTCCTACACACATCCAAAACCAACTTTTATTTACCTATTTATTTGACATTGAATATACCGATATGGGCAAAATGACATCCGTTATTTTCGTAAATTTCGTAAATTTCGGTATTGGTAAATTTTCGATTTATCACCCAGCCCTAGACTTCACAGAGTTTACTACAACAGCTGTTCTTCATCTTAGTGAAAAGGTTATTTGTAAGGATCCTTAAACTTTAAATTTGTGCTGTAAATCCGATTTTGTGACACATTAATCGCATGTAATTGTATGTATCAATAATGTCAGAAGCCTAAGGTTGCAGATTGCATAACCCATTTCTATATGGGTTTCATACCTCATAAAGTTGTCTGTCTTTGAATTGCATCCTCACTCCTAAACTAGCCTTCTGATCACTTTGCCTCACACTTTCCTGTACACATATTCCTGCCCTTTGCACAGCTGCTGCTGCTGCAGAATGCCTTGTAATTTACAAAAAAATAAGTTTTTTTCTCCTCTCTAATCGATTTTCACAGCACATGAGGCCCATTTGGAGGAGGGTTATTGTTTAATTCATGATCGAGTGTTTCAGCTTCGGGTCTGTTGCCTGCAGAGAAACAGAAGCCTCGAGTCTGTGCAGTGTTTCAGGGTGCATCCACAGTGCTGAGCATTATCATATTTACAAAAGACGATTTTAAAATGAAGCATGGTTTATGTGTTTTCGCATGATTTTTGCTCATTATAGGAGGCACACTAAAAAGAAAACAAATCAGACACAACAAACCTTATCCCATTTTATTGGTTCCATGGCAACCAGCCACCCCCAACTTCCTTTATTAATTTGGAGGTTTTATCCTTTTACAGAAGAGACTAAGCTGTGGATAGAGCAGGAGTAACACATGTTAAAGAGTGGCAGGGAAGGAGCGAACCAGCGTTGGCTGTTTTGAGAGCGACAGTCTCTGTACAGAGGAGATTCAATTTAACTACAAAGTCAAACCACTGGACTGGTACTGCTCAATATTGGTGTTTAACCCCCAAGAGAGCACTAGTGAGCTCTGCAATTAGCTCTTTCTACAGATTTCAGAGACTTCCTAATTACCTGCTTGGGAAAAGAAATAAAAGAAAGCATTGGGATTCAAGACGACAAAATACTGCACACTGTCAGTTGATGCTTCAAAACATGCAGAAAGAAACTAACTGGATGATGGAAGAGTTAAGCAAATTCCAAAATAAAAGTAAGATTTGTTCGAGCTGAGGCTATCACAATGTGTTCGAGAACAGACTGAATATTGGTGCTACATTTTCGTATTGCCTCATCTTGATCAGCTGGTTCTCTTTTTCCGTTGGGCTGTAAGCTGAAATTGTCTCAAAGGAGCGGGTGTAAACATGAGTTGGAGACATCTGTGGTTGTGTACCATACTCTGTGATTAGCTTGATAATACCAAAGTATATTATTTTACAGGTGAATGTGGCAGCCCTACATGTTTTTACCTTTCCTATTGATGTTCATAACTTATGATTCATACATGTAAGCAGTCCAACTTTCAGGGAAGATGTTGCACAATGGACCAAATGTTTGTCATGTTTTAATTTTGATATTTCGTTTGTCATGCTTTGGGGTCGCTTCATTTCCTGAATTGCTTTGGAGTGTACTACCTCTGATAGAGCATTGGTTGTGGGACTAAAAAGAAAACCTAAATGCTTGATTGATCATCCAATTAGTGGGCACTGCAACTTGTTTCAAAAGAAGTCTCCAGCTTACTGTAGATCGATATCTGGTGGCTAAAAAAGAAATTCAAGTGCTTTAAATAGAGGATAATGTCTATGACTGCTGTAGGAGCTGACCTGGAATGATCACTTACACTGAAATGCTCCTGCTGCTAAGACAAATGGAAGACGTGTTTTTTTTTTCTGTTCTGTTAAGAGAGGGACAGAGATAAGCGATCGCATCTCCCTTTGTGCTTTGTTCTCTGTGTGGTGCCAAAGAGGCTCTGCATTAGTGAGAGGGATGTAAATGGCAAGATAGCAGCACATTAGCTGCCAAGTGGCTCCCTAATGGGCCAAGGAAAGAAAAATTTAGCCTTCAGTGCATTACTGCAGGATGTGTCTGTATGCACACATCCAGGCTTTTTACCAGCTGCTGTTTAATCTGGAGGGGAGGGGGTGTCTTTTCCTGTCTTTGTCACAGTATTCTTACAAGTTCATCAATGACAAAGATAAAGCCAAATAAATTGTTCACTTTTATTTTGTGTTTCTTATTGTATGTGGCTGAACACAGGGTGCAGTCCATGCAGTGCAGAGTCATGCCACAAGGTGTCAGTGTTGTTCATGTGTTATATCTGTGATTGACAGAGAGAGCAGCAGGCAAGAACAGAACAGTAGGGGGTAGCAGTGGTTACAGCTCTTGCCTACTGCTACCCCCCCATGTGAGTCTGCTCTAACACTGAACAGACAACAAAGAATACTCTGATCTCACCTTATAGGCCATGATGAGCATGTGGATGACACCAGGGGCTCCATGGCACCAGTGAACCAACCGGTCACTCTCATTGCTCAGAGATGATGGGAAGTTTCCCGAGCGAAACTTCTTGTGGCGGACGTAGTCGATACAGGGACGGATCAGCTCCGACTGCATGTCTGGATGAACCTTCGCTGCTGGCTGGAGAGAAACAGAGACAGATTTAGGGTTAATTCAGCTAGTAGTGAGCTGCTTTGACAGCCCAGTACTCGCTTACTTAAAACAAAACCGTAAAAAGAAGTACACTGAACAGGAGAAGGAAGAGGAAGGAAAAAAGCTTCACATTTAGAGACACGTGTGCATTGTTGTATGACTCAAAGTCTCTCTTATTGAAGCAAGCAGTTATCAGAATTAAAATTAAAAAGCTAATTTGAAAATTAAAATGTAATAATTTCAGAATTTGACTCGTAGATAAACTCACTATTCAATCAGGTCAGCTGTTTTTTAACATGTTATCTTCTGTGGTTGTTAAGTGAATTGTTCACTTCACTTTAGTGAATTGTTTGCTCCAGGAAGAGAGCCCACATCACACCAATTTTAAAATTTCTGCATTGGCTACCTGTGTCTTTTAGAGTAGATTTTACGGTTCTTTTATTAGTTTTTTTTAAAGCTCTTAATGGTCTTGGCCCTTTTTATTTATGTGATTTGCTTTAACCATGTGAACCTAGTAGAGCCCTCAGGTCCTCAGGTAGTGGTCTTTTAATTGTTCCCAAAGTAAAAACTAAAACATATGGTGAATACAACTACTATTCATATTTTCAAAAGTAAACTCAAGACCTACCTTTTTAGTCTGGCTTTTAGCTGAATTTTGTTTCAACCTTTTAATCTGCATTATGTGATTTTACCCTACTTTAGTTGTAGAGTAGCAATTTTGTGCTTTATTACCTCTTTTTAATTTACTTTCTTTTATTGTTTGATTTTAAGACCGTTTTATTTAATTAACTTTTAGTGCTTTATCACCTTTATTATATTTTATCATGGTTTTATTGTTTTAGTCCTAGATCCAGTGTTTCATCATTTCTTTTAACTCAAGATAGAGTTTTCTCAGTCATCTATGGCAAGTTGAAGAGTCCTCACCTTTGCTTATACTGTGCGTGAGTGCTGTATGTGTTGAATGGGTGTTGGGGTGGGGTCTGGTATTTGTATTTTTATTTATTTTATTTCATTGTTTTAATATCCTGCTTGAATGGACAGCACTTTGTTCTACATTATATGTATGAAAAGTGCTTTATAAATAAAGTCTGATTGATTGATTGTTTTTTTAGCTCTGGCTTTTTGAGTGTTGGGATCATAAACTGTATCAAAAATAGACACAGTATTTCAATCACACTGAAGCAGAGTTTTGATCATAGCTCTCATTTTGACAATGCTAAAATCCTGACAGTAAACTGTAGCTTTGAGGGAAAGAAGCTGAGTTGAGGAGCCACAGTGGCCTTAGCCTCCTGGTGAACAGCTACAATATGCAACAATGTGCTCCAAGCCAGCCATGCCCTAACCACGTCTAGTCAACTGACCAGTAAACAAAACCTCTATGGATGACAAAAGAATGTAAAAAAATTAACTTTTCCTATTCTATAAACAATAAATACAGAGCTGTACAAATGACAGCTTTCATTGTCCGAAACATAACCTGTTCACCTCTTGCTAATGTGTTTGTTTTGATGCATAATAGGTCAACTGGGACCTCCAACTCCAAAATTATAAGGTAAGAGGGGGGCAGTCACCATCTATCATAGCAGAGTCAGACATGCTTTTGTCCATTTTATTTTAAAATAGTTTCTTTGTTTATTGATTCTTTCCCTTTCTTGTGTAAGAGTGCGTGGGTGCATGTGTTTTTTATGTGTATGTGTTTCTGCATATGTCTGAGCACAAATGCAGTGAGAATGTAAAAGCATTGTTTCTTTGTTTTGGGACATATGGTGGGTTGGAAATCAGGCAACAGTAGCAGTGAGTTTGTTGATGAATAGGATGACCAGGTTTTGCTGAAGTCGTGTGTTTTTTGATAAGTGAAGCTGTCATTTTGTCCACGGATATACAGTATGATCTATTAAAAGATGTTTCCAGTGTATGGCTGAGAGGGTTTTCTGTTCAAGAGGAGAACTTGCTGTTTTAGTGATAGGTGGCTTTTTTAGTGATGGTAAGATGGATGTATGATGATGCATATTTAAAGTAGACATGTCCCAATAGGCAGATCTGGGAGGACAGGAGGGTGTGGTGGCCCAGTATGTGAGAGAGGTAATCTGTTACTTAGACCCGACATAGTCTTAGTGGTGCATGCTCTCAGGCACAACAAAGTGCATTTGTCAGAGTCAATGAGGTCTGTTTTGTGTAATTTTATACCTGTGTGGTGTACTCTAGTATTGAACAATTTAAAGGTTGGAGGTTTTACAGATGAAGATGCTTCTACGGATTTGAATACAGAAGTCAGTATTGACATTTACGGATAAGTCACGTTCCCATTTAGACATAGGAAGAGAGACAGAGTTATTTAAAGGGATATTCCGGCGTAAAATTAATTTAGGGTCAAACACACCGTAGCACCAAGTTAGACACCCCTGAGAGATGAATGTTGCTGACTGCTTGCTTCTCTAGTTATACCAACTTTAGTAACGACAACATGATAGCAATACACAGCAGTCTCAGGAGCCACAAACAAACCTGAACCAAAAAGCCACTCTATAGCCACAAATAATGCTCAGAACAGCACCTAACTTCATCAACAGTACATATAGGGTCCCAGCCACAGCACCAGCCACCAAACATCTTTCTGCAGTGCAAAATGATAAATATGGTGATTATTACTTCAAGGAAATGATTAAGTAATGATCATAAATGATGAAGTTAGGTGCTGTAAAAGATGAATGTTGCAGTCGGCAACATTCATCTCTCAAGGGGGTGTCTAACTCGGTGTTACGGCGTGTTTGACCCTGACTTAATTTTACACCGGAATATCCCTTTAAGCTATTAAGGAAAATGTTACCTCTTGAAAGTAGCTTTTTTAGGGCAAGAATGAAGCAAAGTGTGAATCTTTTGTGAGGAAATTTTTGACAATGTTTTTTGGATTGGTGGAATGCTTTGTAGACTCAGGGATACCAGTTAAAATTAGTTATCATGCATTTCTTCTATACTGTATATTTGAAAACATTATGTGTTACTTTAAGCTAGGGCTGGGCTTTAAACCGAAAATTTACCAAAACCCAAATTTACAACAATAACCAATGTCATTTTGCCCTTGTCAGTATATTTGGTGTAAAAAATAAATTAAGTAAGGTTGGTTTTGGATGTGTGTAGGTAGGCTATGGTCTCATGTCCCCTTTAGACTCTCTCCTATGTCAGAGACGTGACTCCACCTCCAGAGGGAAACACAGGTGAGGAGATGGAGGACGGTTCAAAAGTTGTAGCGGCTAATGTGGGAGGGGGTGAGCAGCTTGTGGAGTAGTTATCATCAATTCATTGTTATCGAGGTGAACTGCTCAATATATCGTGATATTGATTTGAGGCCATATCGCCCAGCCCTACCTCTAGCTGAAGTGGTGAAGCACAAGCTCAGTCAACTAAGAGAGCTCCCATAGCGTACGCACTCTGTTCAAATCACTCCAAATTGTGGCTGGTACTTAAGCGCAGGCTACAAGAACCCTGAAACAATTGTGTGGCATCAAATTCTGCAGGCTACATCTTTATTCCCTAACAATTGCTTCAGGAAATGGCCTGTTTTTAGCAGTAATTTAACACGATCCAAACAGAGAGGCAGAAAAGCAATAAAAACTCAGATCTCAGAGATTCTGTTATAAACTACGGTACATGTATGGATTTCTGAGCACACAGTCATTTATAAAACCATCTTTTTCCGCTATCGGGCACAGACAGGGTTGAGTTTATGCATTGTTTAAGAGGTAGAGGGGGTTGTAGTGAGAGTTGTATGCTTACATGCTTGATTATTTTATATTTTCTGATATTACAAATAAATACTGTTACCACAAAAAGCAAAATTAATACAGTGACAGAATTTTCCAGTCATACCACCCACTTCAAAAACTTTGAGTCTGTCCCTTTAAACTGGGAGAAGCTCTCGAAAAACAGCTCAGATTCTGTTACTGGTTTTAATGGACTCAAAACACACACACACACACACACACACACACACACACACACACACACACACACACACACTGAAACTGATGTAGGAATGAATTATTTATTTCTAGCAAGATGTTCGGTGTGTTAATGAGAACATCTGTGTACTGGAATAGAGACACAGCACAGTCAAATCTTTGCTTTGATAAAATCTACAACTTTTTATTTTAAATATGTAAAACAATGAAAAAATAGGAAAACTAGGAGAAACACCAAAAAATAATATACTGTCTTTTTAACTGTACTATTTTTGGATGTTCATCTAAGCTCACATTTAAAGGTGTTACCCATAAATCTAACAACACTTCACCGTGTCGATGCTTTATGGTACAGGCAGGTTAAAATATCCCCCCCTGGGTGGATTTGCGGACCACAGTTTGATCAGATCTCACCAAAGAACTGTTTTAGTCAGCAGCACAGTGATGTGATGTGTGGCCGTAGGAGTTATCAGCTCCTCTTGCTGGCTCTCATCCCAGAACAGTGAGACTCTACATCAGACCAACATTAGAGCACTGATCTGCAGATTAATGTCTCCCGCTGCACTGTGTACTGGCATGGGTCCACTAATGGAAAAATGTGTCTTTGACCAAATAATGATGCTGAATCACTGGAGAGTTACTGATTGAAGGGGTGTAAACAGCTTATTCCTAAACATCTCTAAATCTTAAACTCAACATCATGCATAAAATGAGTAACTCTGGGCTTTATTGCCTTGACTTTAATGGAAGGCTGGCTTGCACACTGTCGACTATGTTTCACCCATGTTTTATGTTTGTTTCTATAATCTATAAAACTGTTGTCTCCCTGAAATGAGAGATGTACATTTGGGACCCATCTGGTGTTTACTGAAACTTTAGAAATGGAAAAAAAAGCATGGGAGCTCTGACAAAAAGGCTCAGAGATAAAAGCTTTAATGTAGTCAGTATGGCTGTTCAAGCTGATGATGATAGGCATAAAGGAAAAAAACTATTAAATCCTTTTTGGGTACCTTTTCAGAAAAGACTTATACACATTTATCTTTCTACATATTGCCAGAATATAATTTATGACCAGTGACATTCAAGTGGAGCTTTTGATAGGCAAGTTTAAATTCATTTATATTAATAGTTTCAGTATTTTTAACCTGTAAAAACAAACGTCACCTTGAGACTTGACTTTTGTATCACAGAGCAGTAGAGAACAGAAAGTAACAAAAGCAGGAAAGGATCTGATTTCAGTCAGAATGAATAAATTACCTGGGTGAATAAGTGATAATTGACAGTACGGCTCTGTTCTGAGGGCTTCCCGCACCTTCCATGTGCTTACACTTATTGCCAAAGACCACGCCTTCCCTCTGTTTCATGTGCAAGCATACATGGAAAGCCAAGGCAGGGAGAGCAGAAGCAGTAAAGTCTCTAGACCAGAACAGAGCCGACATCAGTGACAACACTTACGTATGACACTGTGGAGGAAGCAGCAAGAGAAGGCAGACTGGTTATGAGCTGATAACTCAGCAAATAACCTTTCAGTCAGTTCACTGTGGGCCAAGCTTGACATTGTGTCCTACCTGAATTACAACTACCCTTAATATTTGGATGACTTTGAGGGACAGTATTTGCCTTTGCTGCCATCCTACTTCAGTAGAGCCTTTATCTTCTCAGATAAAGTTATCCTTCAGTATCTAATGGGAACATTTTATCATTATTTATTTATCTTATGACATTTTCTCATCCAACAGAAATGTACTGTGTTTATAAAGCACTTTCTCTGGTTTTCTAATCACTTAAAGTGCTTTAAATTCACTCTACGACTCACACCACATCCACACAAACTAACAGCAGAGGCTGCAACATAAAGCAGGCCTAATCCCAGTGTTACCTAATCCCATTTACACACCGCTGGAAGCAGCCGGAGAGGGCAGTTTGGGTCAAGTGAAGTTTATCATGGTTCCAGAGAGGGGGGAACACAGTTGCAGTTCGCAAAACATGAACCAATTGTATTCCCAATGGAGTAAAACAGGTGGCTGGTATCTACATGGTGCTTCCCTGCTTACACGCAGTTCAACTTGTTACTAATAACACAAGTCTGGAGGTTGGGATTTGCAAGATAGCTCAAGGTAGGCCTGACTGTGTCATCACTGTTTGGCTTTTGGATTCTGTGCTCCTCCTCCATATTGGGTTGGAGGGTTTTGCAAAGCTGACAACTCCTTTATAAGGACACGTCAATCAATTAACATAAAGTAACTCAAACTGTATTGAAAGCAAAGATTACAAAATAAAAATAAAACTGACCAAAATATGACAAGATCACATCACAAGTCCAGTGGGTGATTTTCCAGCCTCTTACCTGCATGAGCATGTAATATATGCCAGCCAGGCCATGGGCAGCACCTATGTACTGTTTCTTGTGCCATTCATAGAGAAGAGGGCAGCGATCTGTCTTCTTCTGCTCTGCTGACATGTTCTTCCCGGATTCTATGATGGCCGTCACCACCTGAAGATTAGAAAAGAGGAGGAGTTGCAAAAGGTTAATGAGTGCTTTGACTGAGTCATGGATGTTCATTTTAATGAACAAAGTTAAAAGGACTGAAATATTTTGTCTTCATGTAGAGAAACATCTCCTGAAACATCAACCTGAAATGAGATATCCCGCAGCATTCAAATGTGACACAATCTACACTTTCTTCACTTGTGGTTGGCACATAGAGGGTCACCCATAGATTTAGTTTAAAAAAATCATCTGTTTCAATTTATCTTAATCTATTTATCTTCATTTGTCTTAATGTACAGCATCTGTTAACGGACCTGATGCAGAAATTAATTATTGTCAGGTCAATTTGACCATTCATCAAGATGATCACAGTACTGTAGATTTCCATATTGAGATCTTTGTGTCCTTGAGTCCAACCAAAATTGAAGGATTGAGGATCCCCGTTGGTTTTATGCTTTAAAGTCTCATGTAAGTGTAGTTACTATGTTTGGTAGAGGAGTTCATGATATTGGAAAGTTGATGTGGACATCACCAGAATGACAACTCTTTTTGCATCTTAAATAGTTATTTGAGCGGTAGACCACAGCATTGGATTTTATTTTGGAGAGATTGTTTCAAAAATCTTACGATTAAAGAGAGTTGTTTGATAGCTTCTCTGATCAAGGGATGGAAGTCTAAAGAGAGACCCTAACACTTCACAGTGGTACTATGTTGTAATACAATATAATTATATTACAACATAAAGTATTCACTGATTTAAACTTAAAGGCACAGAGATACTACAAATGTGTTCCTTCACAGTGTATTCAGTTGTCCCAATTGGGCTTTTAAAACTTATAAAAAATTCTCTCTCCCCTGATATAATGTGAGGAAACCTAATAAAGCTCTTCTGGATGAGCTATTTTGGATGATAATGTAAATCCCTAAATAAAATCAGGTACTGAGTGAATAAGATTTTGAAAGAGTGTTGCAGCCTGAGCAGACCACTCTGTATGTCTGTAACTGTGCAGGAGTGGTAGTACTCTTCCTTGAGAGGGTTTTAAGGTCCTGTATAGGGCAGAAATGTTTGTTCCAGGAGTTTGAAATAATCTCCTTTCAGCTCATTTCTGGCACATACATCAAGTCCTGGAACATGTTCAGATCTGTGCTAAATTTTCAATACTGTCAAGCCTGTGCTCCTTTTTTCTCTTGTGCTATAACTCCCAGATGTAGAGTTTTAAAAGGAAAAAAATATTACTTTATCTATTGTAGGAGACAACCTCTGACATAGGGTGTTCAGAGGTTAGTATCTTCAGATTTGCAGAACTGTGCACAGAGCACAAACCAGATTCCAATGAAGTTGTAGCGTTGTGTAAAATGTGAGTAAAAACAGAAAACAATAATTTGCTAATCCTACAAACTGATACATTTTATTTTATTTTTTGCAAATATTCACTCTTTTTTAATCTGATGTCTACAAAAAATATTTTAAAAAGTTGGGACAGGAATGACAGAAGACTAGGAAAATTGTGAACAGTTTGTTGAGTTTGAATTTGAACTTGCCAGGTGAGCAAAGCATAGGAGTATGAGCAGGTAGGTCACATTAGCTAAAATGACATCAGACCCATTGTCCCCGCCCAATCCGGGTAGATTAAAAACTAAAAGTAATAATCAGGCTTAGAATTGATGGCTAGTTTAGGTCCTCGGGACCATAAAACAACTTAAAAACACACAAAGAACAAATTAGACTAACAGACCTGCAAACACTTATGCTGCCATCTTGGAGTATAGCATCAAAACTGCAGTTTTTGTACCACACTTTAAGTCTGTTTCTAGTTTACATTTTTACATAACTTTACATTTTCCTACAATCAAACTAAAGCTAAAGCTGAATAAAAACTAAAGCAATGCCAAATCATAGCCCTGTGTAACTTTAATATGATGAAGATGAAGTACAGCAGCCCCTGAAATATTTAAATGTTCAAATCTGCATTTTTTCTTACTTCAGCAACATCATTTCGATCTATTTCCAACAGCTAGATGATATTAAGGTCAGTTCAGGACATGGTTGCCTCCCCTGACCTTTTAGATTTGTTTAAGGGTATCTGAGCCCAACAAACATACATCAGTGTCTCACATAATGTATAGGCCAATATGGAAAAATAACAGAAGGCCAAGTCAGTCCTGGAGGAGCAACTTATCTTGAAAGGTCAACAGCTAAATTCAATAACAGTAAAGTGAGAAATCAAATAAGTTCCCGGTTCAAAGGAGGTCTAGTCAAAGTCCATACTCAAAAGACCGGAGGGTCCACTCGAATCAAATTTTCTCAGGCTTTAGTGTTCAGATCTGGGTTACAGCTTCACATCCGACAAGTATAACAAGAATATGTCAAAGATGTAGATCAGGTACATATAGATTGTCACATCCATTAGACATTATGTTGACCTCATACAGAAATACAAAGAATCCATCTATCATGACAGCACAGTCTATTTTAGGCTCATATGTTGATATACAGATAATGGGGTCCCTTCACTCCTTATCGCCTCCTGACGCACTCTTAATGACTTCCATCTGGTGCCATAATGTCTTCCTGAGGTCTTCAAATGACAACTCAATCATCATAAATAATCACATGTACAATTATGGTAACACCCGTGAACCTAAATGTGGTCCCTATAAATATGTAATCTTCTGCACTTCAACCTGCTGGGAACTCTATAGTTTTAAGTAAAAGGTCTGGTTTGAACAATGAACAGAGAGCCGTTTCCTTTAATATTTGACTTGAACGTTCAGCTGCTTTCTTCTTTATCATCACAGCAAGTAGACAATGAATGTGATGTTTCAGCTGAAGCAAAGCCCAGTTCAATCACAAATATGTAAATACTACAAGATTCATCTGGTCCTAAAAATGCAGGTATAAGCAGGATCACCTACGAAGCTCTGGTAGCTTATAACCATCATCAAAGCTGTCTGTGACCTTTCCAAATCTGACATGTCCTCAATTAAAAAAGAAATAGCTGCACTAAAAATTACCTATCATATTTCATCAAGAAGCTGCATCACTGGAGTTTTTTTTTCTTTCTTTTTTGTTTAATTATTAAAACTGGGCTGGCGATTAATAATGAAAGCTCTGACAGTTTCTAGAGTGCAGATTCAGGCTTATCTTGTTATATGGTGTGGGACCATGGACTGTTAAATACTGCCATGGTCTTAGTGGCATCGTCCATTAGAGAATAGATGCTCTAAAGCCAAATAATGAGGGTTGTAATAATGGAAATGCTGACACACCATAACTTTTGGTCCACTCAGAAACAGAATAACTATTGGAGTTGTTAGCAAAACTCTTATTCTTAATTGCAGGATGGGTCATGGGTTTTAAATATTGGTTGTATAATAATAACCAGGACAGTGGCTGGAGTACATCTGAAAGCTGTTTGCTAATAGCCATTACATAACAGAAAAGGAAAACCTAAGCGAGACTTCCAGAGCTTTGGAAAAGTTCAGGAGTGTACCAGATTGAGTACAGGTTTTGATGGGAGCTAGCTGGTCAAGACAAAAAGAGAATGTATTGTTGGAGCAGATCACTAAATCGGTAGAGTCATCCGAAGTGAGGGAAGAGAAGCAGATATTTCACTTCTTATAGAGGCCAAGAAAACAGAGGGGGAAATGGACTTGAGGTTTCTAAAGGATTTACTGCGAGTGTGTCTAGGGGTGGGGGTGGAGATGTCAATATCTGTGACAATGGATAAATGATCAGAGATGTGAAGGTTACAATAAAATACAATACACAACATTATTGATCCCCAAAGGGAAATTCATTATGAGTGGAAAGGTGGACAATTTTGAGACCAGTGGAGCAGACCAGATCCAGAATGTGTTTAGAGGTTTATGCCATGTTTCAGTGAGACAGAGGAAGAACTGGTTAGTGTCAAGAATGAAATGATTCAGAAGAAATATCCTTTCACACTGTGACCGTTTTTATCTGCGATTATTTCGGACGTCAATATTTTTTTTCGACCCCGTATTCTGTCAATACAAGCATTCACATCAGCGACGTTATCCCGTCATGCGATTTTGCTGCATTTATTTTTCGGAACACAGTCGACTTTTCTTAAGTTTCGCAGACTGTGTGTCCACTTCTGAATAATCAGATTGCGTATTGTTGCAACATCAGATTCACCGGTATATCCAACATCGCCGACTGGCTGATTGTTTACATGTCGGAGAACAGAGTGATTTTTGATAAAAGACACACAAACATTACAAAGATAACGACATGAAGGACAACTTGTGGAGTCATAGCGTCAGATCTCTCATATGACGATGGTTTGTGTGCTTTAACAGTTTGCTAGACGTCTTTGTTTTAACTTTCATCTGTGCTAATGTAAGCTAACGGCTGTCATTTTTGTCCTCTCGCTTCCACCCGGGATGCTGTCGGATGGGAAGGGAAGGTCCCACCCTCCTTCGCCTCTGATTGGCTTTAAGTGCTGACCTTTTGGCTTGAGTGTGTGGTCACGTTTCCATCTTTTCTAACCAATCAGAGGCGAAGGAGGCTGGACTTTCCCTGGGAAAAGTCTTCCCCGGGATGCGTCTTTTTCCCCCCGGAAAGTCGCAAAATCACATCAGGCTTGATGTGTATAGTCAGACGCGTCAAAATTTGCCTCCGAATATTTCGTTATTTCGCATTCTCTATTTGCGTCGGCCCCAGTGTGTTAGGACCTTAAGGCAGGTGTTGACTGAAGCCAATTTCAGGTGGCAATGTGAAGTTGCTGGATATGAGGAGTAAGAAGGTAAGTGAGGAGGAAGAGGTCGTGGCTGAAGGGAGACCTTTACCAAAGGACGAATTCATACACTTTGTGGATGCTATTTTGTTCTGCTGGTAATAAAAGTCCCTATTTGGGACATGTAGAGATGATGGATGGGGCCTGTGGGGGAGCCAATGTTCAGTGTTGCTGCTGGGATCGGAGGGAGAACAGAGTGTGACAAAAAAGGAGGGGTGGGGGGTTCTTATCATTACTTTTATTGGATGATGCCAGAAGAAATCACCTGCAAAACCACCCTATGGAAAACATATGGCATTTTTGATCAGAAGTAATCACCTATCTCTTGAAAGTTGTAATGCTGTTGACAGAGGGTATTGGGAGAGGTGCATTTGCATAAAGATCAGGTTAAGACAAGCTTTTTTTTTGGTTGTAATCATATTCGGCCGTTGGGCTGAGGAAGTTGTCTGAAAGCTATTCTATGAGTTTTTGTCATCACAGCTGAAAAGCTGCATAAGTGAGATTATATTCGGTGTATGCATGCGTATATGCATGTGTGTGGGGGTGTGTGTCAAAGAGCTAGAGGTTCTGAGTCAGCGCTTTATTCGGTCGCCTTGTAAGACAGAGTGAGTGTAAAAGAAAGAGAAACCGTTCTGCCGCAACAGTAATACCTCTCTCATGACAGAAAAGATTTACAGCCAGCTTATTCATCTACACGTCCCTTCACTCCTACACGTCTGCACTGAAATATACAGCCACTCTTGTCTCTCCTTACCTCATTTGACCTTCCTGATCTTAATAAGTGTGCACTTAAGTGAATTAAGCTTGTATCAATAGGACACTAAATGTAATTTGTTCACACACATGACTGTGTATGAGAACATTTGCCCTTAATGTTTGGTCAAAGCAGGAACTTTCCGCCAAACCTCTATATATTTCCTACTCTTTCTCTCTTACACACAAGCTCTACTACAAGCAATCCAATAAGCAATCAACCATCTCTCTAGGAGGGAGAAAATGTAATTTAAAGAGAATTAATCTATTTGCAGCATGAATTAATCACTGCAAACAAACTGAGGCCTGTGGGATCACACACCAAGACGATTGAGAGAGAAAAGATCTAATTCAGGCAATCCTGATCAGGCTGTCCAGTTCCCACACTATCTTGTAAGTGGAGAAAAATGCATCTGAGAGGCAAAATCTGAAAGCAAGGACAGGACTAACAGAGAATGAGAAACTATGACAGAAAGTGCTGACATAAGCAGTCACCAGGGCTGGCTGAGCAGCCTGCTATTATGTGGCGTCAAATACAGTCACCCAGACCCTTGTGATGAAGTACATTTAATTATTTTCCTATAAGTCCTTTACTATTTAACAGAGACATTGATAGAGAATATTCACTTAATCAGAAAATAGTGCTTATTTTTGGCTTTTCTTAGTGAACTGCAGCTGAATACATTTTAATATTCACAGAAATGATCAACTCATCTCACCTGAAGGCATTTCGTGTTTTCAACCATAATAAACTGAAGTTTCAAAGAGACATGAAATATTAATGCTTTGTGTGTTTGGGTCTGCGTTGCCACTGTTCCTCTTTTAATGATTTATTAAATTTGGTTGTATATTTTCTCATTGCCATTATCAATTATTTAGATCTTCAACAATAGCACTTAAAAACATCAGAATAATATTGTGCAAGCTGTTATTTGACTTTAATGTGGCGATCTTATCAACATGTAAAATGCTGTCTTTTTATGACTTTCACTTAGTTGAAACAGTCCCATCCTGATGGCTTATTTAATGGAATAAAATGACCAAATGTGTGCTACACCATAGGACTGGGTGATATGGCCTCAAATCAATATCAAGATATATTAAGGAGTTCACCTTGATAACGATAAACGGATGATAACTACTCCACTAGCTGCTCACCCCCTCTCAGATTAACTTCGTCTACTTCAGCCGCCGCTACAACTTTTGAACCGTCCTCCATCTCCTCACCTGTCTTTCCCTCTTTGTTGAGGACTGGATGGGGTGGAGTCACGTCTCTGACGTAGGACAGTGTCTTAAAAGGACATGAGACCATATCCTACCTACACACAAATCCAGAACCAACTTTTATTAGTTATTTATTTTTTGGTTTATCGCCCAGCCCGACAACACAGATATAGTTTTGGATCCAAACTACCATTCAAATCTTCAGAGGAAACAAACTAACCAGCCAGGGCAGCAACAGATGAGTTTCTTCTGTATTATTCAAGACACTGTGTGTGGTGATTGCAACATTTTTGGCTTTTAAATAACCACAGACTGCTTATTAGAGACGAATTATCTTGTTCATTGAAATTCAGAATAGACTTGGAAGATCTGACCATGTTTTAACAGGATACAGAAGGATGGATGCTGACTTGAATACTAATCTCTGTCAGGAGTGCAAGAGATACAGACCCTGCTGAGGGGAATAACACAACCTCTATAAAACTGGACCCTTGCCTCAAAAAGAACCCAATACAAAACTAGCAGTAAAAGTTTACACACACATACACACACACACACAAATAACCTGGAAAGTAGGAGAAAGAAAAACATCCTGCAGAGAAAATCTTTCTATGAAGGAGGAAAGTCTCAGCGGGTTACAGTGAGAATAACACTGTGGCAAGATACTGAGAATACTTGTTTAAACAGCACCCTAGAGCACAGGCGCTGGTTGGTAAAGTGCACAGACTGCTGCTATGTTGTGTGTGAATGTGACAGGTATATGGGCAAAAATGATTGCGAGATGAACAGCAAAGCAGCTCTGCAGGAAACCAGAGCTTTAAGCTCCATATTTTTATTCCTTCGTTAGTCATAATGGGCTTGGAGAGTGATCCAACACTTCCTCTGAGCCCACTGCTGCTGCCTACTCTCTCAGCCCTTCTGTCCCAGTGTCTCTGCGTGTGTGTATTAGTGTGTGTGTTCGTACAGTAAATGTGTTTTAGCCTGGCTTTTTACCAAAGGCGACAGCTGGTCATGGAGTTTCTGCAGTGAATGTGTGTGTGCCTAAATAAATAATCAAAATAGCGTGTGGAGGGATTAATATCCTTGGTGTGTGTGGAGGTAGGGGTGGGAGGAGTGGGTATGTTAGAGTCCTCTGTGCCCCTTTAGTCCCTGATTAATTTTTTACAGGTAGAAACATTGAAAAAATGGATCATTTTCGAGTCCATTTAAATTTGGTGGTTCATTATGAAGCTTCAGCCTCTAGCGCACTCATTTTGTTAGGTAACTGTTACAACAAACTCTGATTTTTCAGTTTTAAATGCTTCCAAATGTTTCAAAGGCTCCATGTATAATAGTATTTTCAGCTGTTCAAAGCATGTCCTTGTTGTTTTTTTAGCAGGGTTCTGCCTCTGTGGAAAATCTACAGCCTCTCAGTTTGTGGTTTCATTATCCATGTACTGATTTGAGTTGGTGGGGATACAATTATAATGAGGCACAGCTCTATGGCACTCAGGCTGGCTGCCTGAGAGTCTGAATGTTGTGTTAGGAGGTGGCTGCAGACCGATTGGGACGATTTGCAGAGTGGAAAACAAACTCCTCCAACTGACCAATCATTTTGCTTGACCTTGGCGTTCTGGGCTACTTGTGAGGGGAGGGAGGAGAGAGAGAAGTTGGACACCTTACGAACCCGAATGACTTTACCCCAGAGAGGTAAGCTGTAGTTTTCAGTCAATGCAAAAGTTTAAACGATTATTGCGTTGATTGGTGTTATCACAATACGATCTTTGCTTCCACTGGAATATTACATCTAAAGTTGTCAAATATAGAAAATAAACCAAAGTTAAAAACTTAATTTAACTAAATAAACAGGAATTGTTTTATTGTGATCAAACACACATCAAATGATGTGAAAATGATACACAACATCTAAATATTCATGCTGAAGCTCAGCTTTCATTTTGTAAATACATGTATCAAAGCTGTGTCAAATTCAGTCTGACTCGTGTTTAACCTTATATTTTATTGATATCATTTAGAGAAGTTCACTATGGGTTTGTTGAATATAATGATTTGCTGACGTGACTCATATGTTGTCTACACCTCCCAGTGTTGCAGCCACAATTTCAAAAGCATGGCTCTGAGTAGTGCACTGAATTTTGAGTGTTTTACCAATTTTTTTTGCCTTTTTTGTGACTTTTTGTGTCGATCCCTTGCTGCTGATGCAGATGAAGGTGAATAGGAAAAAAAATGTAAATCGCTCCTGCAGCACCACAGGAGCAAAATCTAGCCACTGCATAGAAAATACATTTCTCCGGTAGGTGAGCGGTAGAAACAATGCAGATGCTTTTCTGCTTCCACATTTGCTAAGCTAAAGGATGACTAGAGTACATCTGTTTAAGAAAGGAAAAATGGATTTCAATATATGGCACAATTAAACCAACTTGAGTAAGCCTGTTGGGTACATTTTTTCTTGATTTCAACACTTGGTTTATGTGTTTTGAGAGGAGGTAAATATAAACAACTTCGCTCCAAATACAAATATTATGAGTCATGAGTTCTAAGGAGCCATTTAAGGACTCAACTTGTCAAGTTTTTAGCCTTGTATGCCTCTACTGAGCTTTTTATACTTGTTTAATCCTCACTAAAGGTTTTCAAATGATTTCTTTTTATATCTGAATTGGATGTCTAAGGACAGATGCTGCTGTAGAGATTGAGAGGCCCCATGAGGCAAAGATGTGGATTGTAATTTTGAGGTATATTGATAGAAGGTGACCTGACTTGGCATGAAATGAACCCTGTGGTTATCCATGTGGACTTCTGTCAGGCTATTGTGGTCATTCTCCAGCAGGATGATTAATAACAGCTAACCCAAGTCATTCAAGACGAGGTTAGGTTACTCTAAATGCCCATGTAAGTCTCTAACCTTTGTAATGGTTTCCTCGTCCACAGTGTCTGCTCCTATCTCTTTGTTGACGTAGAGCAGAGCGTAGAGGTAGCCAGCCCGGCCGTACAGCAGCTCATCTGGCATCTCAGAGTCGGGACTCAGTACAGACCGCTGCAGCTGGAGGAGCCTGTCAGACACAAACACTCTGGAGTAAGTTCAACATTCACTGATAGTGCCCAGCTTTCCATTCAGATAGAGTTCAAAACACAAGAGCTCAGTGTTTTCCCACACAAATGCTGACACCATACTCAGAGATCCTCTCATCAAATAGAAAAATAGTTCTTTTTTGTGCACCATAAAACAAATACTGGAAAAAGACCTGTACCACAAACGGTGCTTTTGCTATCTGTGCCCAAGGTTCGTCTTGAGATGGGTTAAAGGAGTTTTAGGTAATCTGCTCCTGCAGCCTCTGAAATCAGCTACAGGAGACTCTATGTCTTGGGTAAGTAGTATCTTTAAACATGTTTAATTAAAGGCATTCGGGTATGATGTTCCTGGTTGTACATGTTTTGATTTTGTAAAGAGTGGATATTCTTTGATCCATCTCCTCGACTTCAGTATCAAGACTGACACAGCTCTGACAGTTGGATGGCGAAGTAAGTGGAGCCATGTTTACTTGACCCTATGCTGGGTTTGTTTCTCCAAAACTTTCGATGAAGACAGCAGGTTATTAATAACCCACACACATTAAAATTTCAACCAAGAGCCAACAAAACTCTTCAAAATGCAGCCTGAAAAGTTGCTTACACTGGGTCAAGTAAGTCAAAAGTCCCTTTTGATGTGGCGATCTCGCAGATTGACACAGCCGACGCCTGTGCAGTGGATTACTTAATACTCTCTGGATAAAATTAAAACAATGAACCAATGGATCATTTCCTACACTCAGTTTCCCATTATTTATTAAAACACACTAATGAGTCACATTATTTTTATGGCATCTTGTTCATTACCATACAGTCTTTTGGCGCTCAATCCCACATGTACTCTCCTGTTAGCCCAAATACCTCAGAGGAATTATTTAACACTATTTCTGATAAATTCTTATTTTCCACATAGGTTCACTGCTCCAGAGCTGTGAGGATTAACAGTATCATATGTCAAAATTAAAGACACAGAGAAAAATCCTTAATGATCCTTTAATGATAATAATCCTTTTTAATGATGATGCTTTTGCTCTTTCTTCAAGTGCTGTATTTACAATCCAGGGCCTGTATGCACGTTGCTTGGCAAAACGTGTTTAGCGGGCCCGCTAAACGCGTTTAACTCCTAAACGCCAAAAATGTCCGTATGTACGTCACTTCGTATAGCCGTTCCTATACGGATTTTCGCGTTTAAAGTTATTGCACCTCTGGGGGTCCAATAGCGGGTCTAAACGCGTTTAAATAAGACAGCAGTCTTGTTGTTCCAAGGAAGACAGCGGCGACAATTGCGTCGAAACAAGATTTTTAGTGACAGAAAACACCCCTTCGACACGTATGACGACCACGAAGTGTTCCGTAAATTTAGATTTCGACGGCACCATATTCTCGACCTCACACAGGAGATTTCCGCTGAAATTGAACTTTCGAACCCAGGATTCACCCTCACTCCACTACAACAAGTCCTCGTAACCTTACGGTACTGCGCCACTTCTTCTTTCCAAGACGTGTGTGGGGAGTTGGTAGGAGTGGATCAGTCGACAGTCACTCGAACCGTCACTCGAGCGTCACACGACCCGTTTAAGACACAGTAAACGCGGTTAGCTATACGGTTCCGTTTACAGCATTGTGCATACCAAAATCGTATAGGAACTAAACGCGTTTAAGGCCCGTATAACTAAACGCGTTTAAGCCCTAATCGCGTTTACGCTAAACGCTTTCAACGTGCATACGGGCCCAGATCACTAGGATGGTCTAAAGCAGGTCTGCTTTCTGCCCTTTAGAGTGAGAACCAAATATGGAGAAGCAGCCTTCAGTTTCTATACTCCAAATATCTGGAGGAACCTTTCAGAAAATGTCAGGTCAGCTGAAACGCTAAGTTAATTTCAATCCTAGTAGAAGAGTCACCTATTCACAGCTGCTTTTTGTCAGATTACTTTCATGATCCCATAAAATTCAATTTTTATTTTCATTTTACAACTCTACACTTAATTCTTCTATTTTTAAACTATCTAGTAAATCCATATTTTCATCTTCCATCTACTTTTTTTTTAGCTTTGATTTTTAATGCCTTGTCCTAAATTCGTTCAATGTCTCTTCTGTCTTTCACTGTTTCACTCTCTCACCTGGACACGCAGTCTTTGCTGTCAGCTGAGTTATCTAATTTGTGGTAGACCACTGCACCCACAGCTAGTGGTCCTGCATCACCGCACAGGAAGGTCACTTTACGTCCGTTCAGTATCCTCATTGTCCTCTTCACATAGTCCAGTGCCCTCTGCAGGTGGGAGGTCTCCTGTGTCACCCGGTGTAGCTGCAGGTACAGCAAGGCAATGCCTGCAGTGAATTTAACACAAAGGGACTAGTCATACCCTTAGCTTCAATCAATTAGTTGGCATTTTCTCACATCTCATAGCGCTCAGACAGACCTGTCCAGCCTGTGTAGGTGGAGAAGTCATGGGGGTCGGCTGTCTTCAGGCCCTCCTCCATCTGCACGAGGAGATCTTTGATTTTGTTTTGGACCTTCTTCTGGAAAGCTGCACTGACCTGAGGAGGAGGAGGAGGGAAAAATGGATTGAAATGTCTGCCTTACAAAGTCAACAGCAGCTCTGAGAATTTCACGAGAACTTTTCCATTGTTTTTTTTACATTATTAATTAAGACATAATCTGCAATTTATGCTGTTTATAATTCATACCACACTCACACGTATGCACATGTAAATAATAATAATAAAAAACTGATATTGATCCGATATTGGCACAAAATTGCGCATGACAAGTTTTGCACTCAGCTGCAATGTCTTTTTTTGGCTTTAATGAAAAATACGGCCACACAGCCGACATCACTCTTACTCCTTGTTACTCCTACTTTGTTAGTACCTTAGTACACACTGTTGTGATTTTGTGGGCTCAGCATGCTGGATTCCGGCGCTGCTAGATAGAGGTGCCATAGTGGAGTCTGGAATGGACTGATTGTATCGGAGTGCTAATATCAGAGATTTTAGATGCAGGCCGATATACACTCACCGGCCACTTTATTAGGTACACCTGTCCAACTGCTCGTTAACACTTAATTTCTAATCAGCCAATCACATGGCGGCAACTTAGTGCATTTAGGCATGTAGACATGGTCAAGACAATCTCCTGCAGTTCAAACCGAGCATCAGTTTGGGGAAGAAAGGTGATTTGAGTGACTTTGAACGTGGCATGGTTGTTGGTGCCAGAAGGGCTGGTCTGAGTATTTCAGAAACTGCTGATCTACTGGGATTTTCACGCACAACCATCTCTAGTGTTTACAGAGAATGGTCCGAAAAAGAAAAAATATCCAGTGAGCGGCAGTTCTGTGGGCAGAAATGCCTTGTTGATGCCAGAGGTCAGAGGAGAATGGCCAGACTGGTTCGAGCTGATAGAAAGGCAACAGTGACTCAAATAACCACCCGTTACAACCAAGGTAGGCAGAAGAGCATCTCTGAACGCACAGTACGTCGAACTTTGAGGTAGATGGACTACAGCAGCAGAAGACCACGCCGGGTGCCACTCCTTTCAGCTAAGAACAGGAAACTGAGGCTACAATTTGCACAAGCTCATCGAAATTGGACAATAGAAGATTGGAAAAACGTTGCCTGGTCTGATGAGTCTCTATTTCTGCTGCGACATTCGGATGGTAGGGTCAGAATTTGGCGTCAACAACATGAAAGCATGGATCCATCCTGCCTTGTATCAACGGTTCAGGCTGGTGGTGGTGGTGTCATGGTGTGGGGAATATTTTCTTGGCACTCTTTGGGCCCCTTGGTACCAATTGAGCATCGTTGCAACGCCACAGCCTACCTGAGTATTGTTGCTGACCATGTCCATCCCTTTATGACCACAATGTACCCAACTTCTGATGGCTACTTTCAGCAGGATAATGCGCCATGTCATAAAGCTGGAATCATCTCAGACTGGTTTCTTGAACATGACAATGAGTTCACTGTACTCAAATGGCCTCCACAGTCACCAGATCTCAATCCAATAGAGCATCTTTGGGATGTGGTGGAACAGGAGATTCGCATCATGGATGTGCAGCCGACAAATCTGCGGCAACTGTGTGATGCCATCATGTCAATATGGACCAAGCTCTCTGAGGAATGCTTCCAGCACCTTGTTGAATCTATGCCACGAAGAATTGAGGCAGTTCTGAAGGCAAAAGGGGGTCCAACCCGTTACTAGCATGGTGTACCTAATAAAGTGGCCGGTGAGTGTAATCCGATATTCGTTTTTTTGCTGATATCGGGCCGATATCTGATATCCATATCGCATCAGGACACCCCTAGTTGCCATAGTAACACAGGTCAAATCTTAACTTACAACACTGAATTTATACCATTGCTGCACATTACTGATGTAATACGATGTAAACGTGTGATTTATGCATATGATCCACTCAATTTGCGCTATTTGCACTGCTTAATTCACACTCCCTGACAAAAAGGTGTGTCTAATTGCATCTTTGCAATTCATTCATGCAAATCATTTTCTTCTTGTTTGGTATAAATACACCATTGCGCTGACTGAAAGAATGATGGATGAGAAGCTGTTTGAAGGACATGTTCATTTTAAGAGGTCCTTAAAAGTAAAAACTATTAGTAACTGAGAAACGTAAATGAAAAATTACGAGGAAGTAGGGGTGTCCCTAAAAGATATTGATATCAGATATCAGTCTAATACCAGCAAAAAATCAAATATCGGATTTTATCGGCTTCTATCTAAAATCTCTGATATCAGCACTCTGATTCAAGCAGTCCATTCCACACTCCGCTCCGGCACCTCTATCTAGCAGCACCCAGATCCAGCATGTAGAGCCCAAGTAATCACAACATCAGTGTGTACCAAAGTAGCAAAGAGTAGGAGCCATGTCGGCCCTCTGGCGGTATTTTTATTAAAGTCTGAAAAAGATGTTGCAGCTGAGTGCAAAACTTGTCATGCATAAGTTTGTGCTAATATCTGATCAATATCGGTATTGGCCAATATGGAAGGCTACAATATCAGTATCGTATCGGAGGTAAAAAAGTTGTATCCGGACACCCTTACAGGGAAGTAACACAAAAACACTCATATCAGAATCAGCTATTGGCTACACCAATATCTGATCATCAATACAGGCCCTAATTTTTTCAGCTGTTAAGTCTCTTTTGTACTCCTGCTGCCACTTGGCACTATTCACACACTCAAAGGTTTGACAAACAAGTAAAAAATACTGGCTTCAGCTTAAAAAGTTTCATAAATCCATGAACTGCAGGTCTACTGTGGTAAATCAAGAGGTCATAAAACCCTTGTTAAGGGTGTCCTCACTTCACATAGTTTCTGCGGTGAGCCCGATCATTTCTCTGATATCAGTAGGCCATGACCCGAACCCTCCATCATTACGGTTCATTTCAGGAAACACAGTATGTTAATGAGGTAATAATCCACATGGCTCATGGCTCTATTTACCCTTTAAAGATGTAACAGCATAGGTCAGACTACTCTTCAAAGCCTGGTTTGATCGTGCATATGGAGCTAATTAATCCTCAGAGGGCTCCATTCACATTCAGCGTACAGTGTGAACTGTAGAAGAAGAAAGAGAGGTGGGGAGATTCCCGGTTTAAAGCAGCTGCTGAGATTTTCACTGGGTCACCTCTCCAAACAAACACCAGTGGGAGTCTAGGATTTCACAAGAAGTGCTGCAGCTATTTATCGGACTTAGGGCCCATTTACTCAAATCCACTGGTCTGATAAATTAACAAGGACCACTTAGCGTACTGGTTTCTCAGCTCAGGCTAATCTGTCTTGCTGCTGGTGAAAGCCAGTCATGTGCAGACTGTTTTTCACACACTCAAAAGTCACTACAGTTAGGAACTGTAACACTGGGTAAACTAACAGAGGCCTGTAACTAACAATTGCTGTCACTAGTGATTAATCAGACTTGATGTGAAGTTAAATTGCTTTTCCTGGAAAGTCTTGCCTTTCACACATAAAAAAACACCACCACACTGTAATGCATGGTAAATGGTAGATGAACTCTGTTTGTGCAGCGCTTTCTCTACAACGCAAAGTGCTTTAAATCAGTGGTTCTCAAGTCCAGTCCTCGAGGCCCACTGTCCTGCATGTTTTGGATGTTTCCCTGCTCCGACACACCTGATTCAAATGATCAGCTCGTTATCAAGCTCTGTAATGGCTTCATAACGAGCTAATCATTTGAATCAGGTGTGTTGGAGCAGGAAAACGTCCAAAACATGAAGGACAGTGGGCCTCGAGGACTGGACTTGAGAACCACTGATTTAAATCACATCGCATTCACCCACTCAAACCACATTTACAAAGTAATGGCAGAGGCTGCTGTGTATAGAGTAGTTTTTGGAGCAGATTAGTCAATCTGTTAGTAAGTTTTTTATGTCTTTGTATAACTTTTTAGTCTTTGAATGAATTTAAGTATTCAAAAGTTGGTTTAAATAATCATATAATCATCCATAATTCCATTTGCTAGATTTAGATTTTTGTCAAAAGGAGTAGGCTCTATGTCCAGAGACACCGCCTTATACCTTCATGTTTCTAATGTAGCACAGAGAAAGGAAATTATAGAAGTCACGTGTGTGTTTGTATCTAGTGGGTGGTAGCTAAAACTGCACTGGTTGGAAAATAATGACAAAGGAAGGCGACAATGACAAAGACAATGAAGACAACAACAACACAGAAGAAAAAGACAAAAAATAAGAGGAAAATAGAAGAACAAAAAGAAGAGAGAGCAGTGGTTGTTGTATTGAGACATTTTTGATGGTAAAACCTTGAAAACAGAGGATCGTACTCTGAATGGAAGTTTCTGTCTTTAATGTTGTTTCACCAACAGAAGGAGTAAGCCTTCTTGTTCTTGGTCCCTAACACCTCAGGAAGACACTTTCCTATGATACAACTGTGATAGATGGCATTGGTCTGGCATCCTAAGAATCTGGGAGTTTGACCAGGATATATCCTTCAACTCACACATCCAACAAATCTCTGTACTGTAACTGCCTTTTATCAGGCAGCCCTAATAAAACTTGCTAAGCTGTTCCAAAATCCTGCAGCCAGAGTACTGACCAGAACCAGGAGACCAGAGCACGTCTCCGCATGTTAGCTTCTCCACACTGGCTTACCATTCAATTTAGGGTAGAGTTTAAATTTCTTCTTCTGACCTACAAAGCTCTTCACGGTCAGCAGACACTCTCTCTACCATTAAGAGTCGGCTTAAAACATTCGTCTTTGATAAAGCTGATAGCTGGGGCCAATACAGGCCTGGGCCAGTTCGCTGCTATGGACGCCAGGGATACTGGCACATTGAGCACCTTTCCCACCCTCTCCATCCTCTTTGTGTCTGTATTATTAACTTTGAATCATCATGATCAGCGTCCTCCTCTCTCTCCTCTCTAAACCCAATGCAGAAGCAGCAGATGACTATCTAACATGAGTCTGGTTCTGTTCAAGGTTTCTGCCTGTTGAAGGAAGTTTTTCCTCTCCACTGTAACTTGGTAAATGCTTCAACGTGCTACACTCATGTGAGTGAAGATGGGATGGGATAGTAGGTCTGATCTCAGTCTTATCCCATCTTTACATATGGTCTTTGTCAATAGAGTCCTGGTCCTTCTTTGTCAAGACAGATTGAAATACATTGTATAGTGTTTTAGTTGACTTGAGTATTGTGTGATTGATATAAGAACAGACAGGTCACTATTTTCAACAGTTTATGTTGCTAGTTTGGAGGTAAACAGAAACAGAAAACTTCAGATGATGAGGAGAGGTCGTACTACTTGAGTCCTGCAGCCTGATAAAAGAAGGGGGGATCTGGTCAGTTTCTTTTTATTTCTACTCAAAATGTTACCTCAAGTATCTAGGCCAAGAACACACCTAGGATACATTCTGGTGCAATGTATCCTGGTTGTAAGCACAGCCAATACAGAAGAAATCAGCTTTCTTGGTTTGAGAAGTACACAGAGAGGAATCATTAGCTTCAATTTACTACTTTTACTACCAACAAAGATCACATATCCACGAAAACAGCCCAGCCTGGCCCTTTTTGAACAGTGACGACAAATCTGACCAAGCAACTATGACAAAAACAAACAGCAACTTAAATCTTGTACAAAAGATGTGATTGTTAGTTTATAAACCCTGAGCAGCTGAAGGATCACCTTCCTTCTCAATGCTTTGCTTTGTCACTCTTAGTAGCTCTTTGCCAGGCCATTTGGTGTCGTTTTCATTACAAAACACTGGGATCACAAACATTAGGTCAGTCATCTGATCTGTTCAAGTTTGATTCAGAAATCTATGTTTTATCCAGTTCAATCCAAGCAGAGCGGACAGTCAAGGAAGCCAAACCAAAAGAGGCTGACCAGAGGCTGCCCTGTGTCCTCACACAGAGAGGATTATTACCGATCCAGTCTGATCTCGGGGCTCTGAGTCACTGCTGCAGTCATCCATGGACGGAGGGATTAATATTGAAGGAACGAGAACAAAGCAGAAGCAAAGTGACAGACAGAATTGTTTCACGAGAATGAATGCCAGTATGTGTTTCGCATAACAATGGTATATTCAGAAAGCCAGGGAGGAGAACGAGAGAGTGTCAAAAATGAAAGCACCGCATGAAGCCGAACACAACAGAGCATTATACACAGATCACAAATAGTTATTCACCCTATGGGGCCATGATTCATGTACAAATACATGCACTACTTGTGTTTGCGCTGTAGTATCCTTTGAGACTCGGGACAAATACAAATTTCCTATGTGATGTTAATAAAACATGTACAGAGCCCAGCATAAGTCAGTACACCCCCTCCATTAAAAGTAATGTATCACTCAATATCTAGATGAGCAAAAGTACAATTTCCAAAGTTTTGACAAGGCTGAGTTTAACATAACATTTTATTTACCATAAGATGAAAATATGGGTGATTTGGTAATTTAGCTTTGCTCCCAGAACTTTGATTGGGGTGTACTCATTTTTGCAATCAATGACCTACATTTGAGGGAGTATTTTGTTGTATAATCTGACATAGAAAATGTTGATTTTAAAAGGAAATTCAAGGTTTTCCGACAACTCTGAAGGGGTGTACTCATTTATGCTGAGCACTGTAAATAAAAGCAACACTTTTGATAATTGGGTTAACTCAGGTTAACACAAAGGGTCTCATTCATGAAGTGTGAGCAGGAATTTGTGTGTAAACTGTGAGGAGTACAAAATTTACAGGCAAACCAGCATTCATCAGTATCTTAGTAGTTCTGGTTTGTTTATAGCTACCAACAAAATCTACACCTGTTCCTGACCACGAGAAGAGTTTGTGTAAGTGCAGCATTCATAGAAAATATTACTCATTGGTAGAAATCCCAATTTTAATCCATCTTGTGATCTTTAATGTTCACATTAGGCGGATGCCTTTGAAACATGTTATATCAACGTGTCAAAATATTACATAGATGAACTTCAGATTAGGTTAAAAATATGAAATTGTGTGATTTATGTTTGTGTGTGTGTTTTATATGTGTTCAATGATAATCAAATTATTGATTATTGGTAATGGCTGGTAGTAGCTTCAAAGGTGTGTTGTTAATTTAAAGTGAAGGAGCTTTTAGAATGGAGCCATACCACCAAATATAACTAAACACATGCAAGTGGAACTTACAAGTAAATCCAGCTGAGAACCGGATTCAACTTTGCATGCTATTGACATAATCTGCCTTGATGCTTTACCAGATCCCTTATCAACGCCTCCTATCTAGTTTCAAGTGACTTGTCGAATGAATAAAGTGACATGTGGTGAGAGACAGTCGGCGCAAAGACAACAAAGAAGTCAAGGAAGTAATCATGGCAGAGAGGAGACAGACACAGTTCAAAATGTGGCAGAATTTGACAAAAAAATCGCTGTCAGCACAATATGCAATGTCTCTGGCTGTGTGGATGACGCAGCACAGTTTTAGAAATCAGTAATGCTGTGTGTTTGATGCTTTTATGCTGCCAGCATTGGCAGCCCTGTCAACTGACACCCACAAATACCTCCAGCTTTTATTGAAGCCTACTGTGAATGTCTGAGTATATTTGGACTTTGTAATAAAAACATAAATCAAAGATTCATTTGAGAGGACAATTTCAGTGTCTCAACAGTTGATGTAACCATGACAACTATGGATAGATTTGGAGTTGCCTGTTATAGGGTTGCAACGATTAGTTGACGTTGTTGATAAAACATGGATAATGAAAAAAGTCGACAATTATTGCATTGTTGACAATTGTCGTCAGACGTGTTTTTTTCCAGTGGAATGAGGCATCTTACTTCATTATAATCTCTGCCTAGAGTCACACATGCGCAATAACATCTCAGCCGAGCGGTAGGGTATTCAAACATGGCAGTGCCGCCGTCCCATACAGCAGCTAGTTTACACTTAAAAAGTTTGGGAGCACTTTAGCCTAAAGGTCCTAACACACCGGGAGTGTTTTTTCGTGCGATTATTTCGGACGTCAATATTTTTTTTCGAACCCGTATCCTGTCAATACAAGCGTTCACATAAGCAACATTTTCCCGTCCTGCGATATTGCGGCATTATTTTTCATATCACGTTCAAATTTTCTAAAGTTTCGCATACTGTGTGTCCACACCTGACCAATCAGATAGCGAGTTGGACCTGTTTAGATTCAACATACCTTATATATTTTTTACTGTTTCAAACTCAATCTTGTTGCTGTCACAGCACCATTAGGTCTCAGGTGTTCCTTAACGTTCATGGATTATAGTTTAATGTGCTTATCTGGTACTGGCCCCGACTCAGTGCATGCTATCATGACAGACAGACATCTCAACACTAGTGTCTAATCAGAAATGAAAAACAGTCAGTCTGCTGTTGTGTCAGTCTTCTCGCTTCCACCCGGGACGCATCTTTTACCCCCGGAAAGTCGCAAAATCGCATTGCACTTCATGTGTACAGTCAGACACCCAAAATTCGCCTCCAAATATTTCGTAATTTCGCAACGTATATTTGCGTCATTCCTCCTGTGTAAGGACCTTAATTCTTGCGTTTAAAATCATTGCCACTTCATTAAAGCAACCTCGTGTTAAATTTAAGAAAAAATTCATAATTATCTGATTAGTTGACTAATGGGTTCAATAGTCGTTGGCTAGTCGACTATTAATATGGTCATTAGTTGCAGCCCTAATCTGTTAACAGGGTTACTCTTTACACTCATTTGTTCTCAATGACTTGCTTCTTCTAACGCTGTAATATCTGGCAGATATATTTTCATCTCTCAGTGAGCTAAATCTGAGGCTGCGAGGACACCACTGCAATGTTTTCTAAAACTGGAAACATGATATTGCTTTTCAAAAATCCCTGAAGTGTGGCTTGTACATTATGTTCAGATCACACTACCAGTCTGCTCAGAGGTAAGGTCACATTACCTTACCTATGAGCAGACTGGAGAATGCAGTGTGCTGTCTATATCTGCAGAAGATGTAACAACCGTTAGCTTACGATAGCACAGATGAAAGTTAAAACAAAGACGTTTGGCAAACTGTTAAAGCACACAAACCATCGTCATATCAGAAATCTGACGCTATGACTCTCCACAAGTTGTCCTTCAGGTCGTTATCTTTGTGTAGTGTGTGTGAACAATTATACACAATCAGCTGGTCGGCCATGTTGGATCTGGTGAATCTGACGTTGCAAAAACACGCAATCTGATTGGTCAAAAGTGGACACACAGTATGCAAAACTTTAGAAAAATTGACCATGATCTGAAAAAATAAACGCCGCAATATCGCAGAACAGGAAAATGTTGCTGATGTGAACGCTTGTATTAACAGGATACGGGTTCGAAAAACAAATATTGACATCCGAAATAATCGCAGATAAAAACGGTCCTGGTGTGAAAGGACCTTAAAGACCAAAGAGAGAACTGAGTCAAGCTTTGCCTTTTTAATCTGGCTTTTAACCATTTGTTATGAATTTGTCATTTTTATCAACTGTATGTCTTATATTAATTTGATTATTTCTTAGCTGATTTGTAGGTGTTGTCAAGCAGTAGTTTTATTTTTGTTTTTCCTCTCAGGTTTTATCAAGTTTACCTCTAGTGTTTCCTCATGAACTCATGATAGTGTTTCCTCAATTCCTCAGTCTCTAGTTTCTGATTTCTTTTTTTAATTAATTTGATTGAATCGTGTATTTATTGTGTTTGTTGTTTGTTTTGCTTGTGTTAACGTGGACCATGAATAGGGTACATGATAGGCCATACCATTTTTACAGGGGGGGACGTTGAGATGGAGCACATTGTTTTTGACCGCTATTTTAATGAAAACTATAAACAAAAAAGAGGATGTTTATTTGAGAATCTATTCGAATACATTTTGAACATCTCCCAGTAGTCAGAGAGCCCAGTTCTGCCCCCCGACCCAGGGACCGGGACGAATGCCCCCCTCCTGTTGGTGGACTTGACTACTATACCAAACACTAGTACTCTCTACTTACATGCTTTAGCAGCAAGTGAGAGTGAGGGATAGTCCAACCAGTGTCCTGATAATGCTGCAAAGCTCGGTTAGGCTTAGCCCACCACCTACAGAAATACCACTAAAACATCATACATACACCCGAATTACTTAATAGGTACGCACAATTCAAATAGTGACGGATACTGCGACATAAAGTGCAATACTGGGCCAAGTTAGCTCTATTTATTAGCACGAAAGGAAGTTATTAAAAATATACTGTAAAAGCAAAACAGCTCACCTTGCCATCGGCATCAAAGGGCTCATTGTAATCCACATCTGCTCCTGAGTTGGAGGTGAGGACTCCTTGCTCCAGGTCGGGGTATGGGTTTGGGAAAGAGCGCTCCTCCATCTCCGCCTCTGTAGCCGAGATCAGCTTCAGCCGCTTTGACATGTTATCTCCCATCGCTACGGCGGCTCGGAAGGGATAAAAATCTTCAGGCACTTCAGTCAACGGCCATAACATTGAAAGAGAAACCGCGTGTCAGAAAATAACGCTCGTAGCATATCATACAAAATTAAATATATACACCAATAATGTAATTTTAGAGTAGGAAAGACGAGTATGAATACGCATTTTTAAAAGGCATAGGCATAGTAGGCATAGTTTATGGCATATTATTCGACTAATAACGTTAAAAAATGACAAATAAAAATGTTACTGAAATTTTAGACATCTTAACAAAAGGATAAGAATTGCAGATTGTCAGTTATTCGTACAAAGCGAAAGTTTGGCATGAAATTGATTTACAACAGTAATGGCATTATGAGCTATATCTACTTTTATTTTGAAACAATGTTAACCTGTACATCTTTTTGATGTATTTGCAACATTTACATAAAAAGTTTGAAGTATAACACTAAAATAATCTTAATGTTTCTGATTTACTCATGTCAATATCAGTGAGGGACAAATTGCCATTCAACAACAAAAATGGTTAGGGTTGTGGTTATGTCACTTATTCAGTCTAACTGAATAAAAAAAGAAAAGTTTGCTTTGTTAAAACTTGTTAAAAGCAATTTTTTGATAAATTTACACAGCTGTAGCTTATTATCTGATTTAGGTATAAAGTTTAACACAAAATGTTCCAAACTTCACATAATGAATGTCACCTTGAGTAGGCTAGCTGTCCACACAGGCCCATAAAATGGTTAAGATTAGCAGTCTAAATCAATACAAAGCATTTTAATCCAACCCAAAAATGAACATTTTTAGAAATCCTTTTGTTTTGTGATATGTAAAGAACAAAATGCAAAGGTAGAGTAAGCACAGTGACTTGCAGATGGAAATGCCTCAATGGAAACAATTGTTGCTGCACTGTGATTGATGGACCATTACATGAGCAGCTCAAGCAACAACACTGCAGGTAGTGACAGGTGGAGCCAGAATCTGTCTTACCAAGAGGCAGTGTGATCAGCAAGCTATCCGAGCAGCAGTCTGTATTGTCCCCGGTGTCTTCAGAGCTTGTTTGTTTGCACTTGATCCTGGTCAGTCGTTGCAGCAGCCTCCAGCTTCCCAGCAGCTTCTCTCAGCATACCCCCCTATGTCCAACCTCTCCTGTTTCCTGATGAATGGAAAGTCGGAGCCGCAGTCAGAGCGTGCAGGCAGTACAGTCAGCCATGTGTCACCGCATCACTGTGTTTCTCTCCGTCTCTCCCTCTGCACCCTCCCCATTCCCTCTCTCTGAGCGCACCAAACCATCAGAGTGCTGCTGATGCTGCTCGGCAAATCAGAACCCCCCACCTCCCCCGCCCCTCATCCTCCTCCCAGGCTTGAGAGACAGACCCCGTACGCTCTGAACAGACCTCAGGCAGTAGGAGGTGTCCTAACCCCCCATCACCCCAGTATTCCTAACCAATACCCGCCAGTTTAACAAGAAAACCACCATTATACTCAGCAGTCTAGTCCATGTAGCTGACACCGAATGTGAATGGTGACAGATGGTGTTTCTGTGTGATTCTGCCGGGGATTAGGCAATAGGCAATAGCAAACATAACAAATTCACCACCCCCACCCCTTCCACTCAGCCGCCACCTTCCCCCTGTCGCCTCTTTCATCCTCCCTCCTCTCCCTTTTTTGTCACTTTCCACCCTGGCTTCAAAAACCATAATTTTTGTGATTTGCACCCTCAGGAATACACTTTGCAGTGCACTTAATGCACATAACGTCAGGATCCATTTATTAAGACTTATTTAGTGAGCCCAAAAAGACAGTTTTTATAAAGATGCACATTTTAGCACCTCCCTTATGATTTCTAGGAGCACTTGAATGGTTTTCTGATTCTCCTATTTCAGGACCAAGCCAACCACAATTAGTGAGATCCCAGCACTAATGGCATTTGACCGAAATATTTCCCATCTGCCCTATCAGAAGGATACAACTGCAGAGGAGATATTCAATAATCTAGTCAAATAGACAACATAACCTTTAAAGCATCAGAGGCCTGACCCTGGATCTGCTTTCCAGAAAAGCTTTCAGTCTGGTCTCTTATCTGGTCTCTTTCTGTCACGCCAACATCCATCAGAGGAAATGGACAAGCTCTAAATGAATACACTGAATAAGTGAGTCTCAAAGTGAAACAGATAAGCATCCTAGTCTGTCTGTATGTGGCTGATATGAACCTTTTATTTCAAAACATAAAAGAGTCAGTTTTCGTCGAAAATGGGATTTCTGAGGCTACAATTAATTGATTAATATTCAGCGATATGCACTCAAATATTGTGACATTGTAGCTCCAGTACATAGATGTTAATCACAGTCAAAGAACTAGAAAAGAGAGTCACAGCAAAGCAAGAAGAGGGATTCAGAGATGGGGAAGCTACACTTTTTTCATTTGACTGGCTGTAGGTCATTTGGGGACATGTTTAGTTTATCTTGTTTTGTACTTATGATCTAGTTTTTGTATGTAATCCAACGCCAGAGCTTTTGTAGATGTTTTTAAAGTGATTGAATAATAAAGAATTGAAAAGTATTTCACAACCAATCAAATTTTATAACCACGAGTCCCTCAATTACCTATGTATTCATCAACATAATTATCCATTTAAACGCACTTGCAGATTACCGTTAGTGACCCATAGAAGCTGCCAAATGTATTTTTTTTTTTTTTAACAGTAACAATATGTAAAATAATTCTCCTTCATAAGTCCTGACATTTTACTGATTTTTGCTCTCTGTTGTATTTTTGCACGTGTTATTATTGGTGAAAATGATGACTTACAGTAAATAAAAATAGCCATGAGGACAATCTCAACATGATTACAAGCTTGTGCAGAGTTAACACCATCTGATGTTTGAACTTTTCATGGAAAAATGTCTTTCTTATAGTTTCACTGATCCAGATAATCATGTGTTCATTCATCAGACATTTGGAGGAAAAAGGTAATGCTTATTCACCCCCTGCACCACCTGTCAGCAGCTGCAACCAGTCACAAAAGAATTTGTTTACTTGTTTTGGCATTTGCACATGTTCCCACTTGCCTGAATACACCAATCTGCCCTTAATCTACCAGTGACAGATAGAGTGAATATCAGTGATTACCTCCACAGAAGACCTGCAGGGGAACAAGTCCAGAAAAATGGGAGAATGTACGAATCTGAGTAACTTCGACAAAGACCAAGATGGTTGTGGTTAGACGTCATAACTTGTCACTGTTACCAGTCTGCAGTGGGTAGTGCTTAGCAGAAGTGGTCATAGGAAGACAAACCAGTGAACAGTGTTTTTAAAGTGTTTCAACCCAATCAAACATCTATGGGATGTACAGGAAATTAGTCGCAGTCTACAAAAGCCCTACTTCACACCTCCTGGACTTGGGGGAACAGCTGCTTCAGTCTTCATGCCAGATACTACAGTAGTTTTGTGTCTTTAGCCAATGATTCATTCAAAAGAACCAAATCTTTAAAGTGAACGTACTGAACTGAATCACTTCCTCAAGTGACTTGTTCATTTCTCACAGCAGTTGAGCTGTAAGCAGCGCAGCTGACATAGCATGTAGCATTGCTAGGTGAGCAGCCAGCGAGCCAGGGACTGCTTGTGCCGACGCCTGAATCACTTGGTGAACGAATCACATGGTGAACTACACTCTCTGGAATCATTTTCGTCCGAGGGATACACTTTCATGGCGACAGTTGCTCCCCATTGTTTTAACAGATTGAGTCCCAATTAAAAAAAACTTGAAACATTAGGCTGGAAGTAATGAGGAGAGAGTGAGACTCACTGGCTGTAGCAAGCTCTTGACAGGAGTGGCGGAGGGAGAATATGATCTAAACTGAATCCTGATTCATTCAGCTGTATATCAGTTCAGAAAGTCGGAGTCGCAGGCTCCTCCCGCCATGCGCTGAATGTTTCAGTGAATGAATCTATTGAAAGAATCTTTTTAATGAACTGATTCTAGTGATTCAGTACATCTAAAAGAACTGCTGTGCCCATCACTATACTACAAAACACTGAGAGGTCAAGTGGAATCCATGTCTCAACATGTCAGGACTTTTTTGGTCCTGAGCTGATGAAGGGGGTGATATCAAACAGGTGGTCATTATGTTATGGCTGATCAGCACTCTTCACTAAAACATACATGAGAATCACTTCCAGCAAAAATGTGACGTTGTAAAAAAACAGCATTTCCTGTGGCATTTAATTTCACATTGTGTCTACTTTTCAAGCTGCCATAGGGTTTGGGTTACCCCAGTAGTGGTCTTGGGAATAGTTCAGATGAAAAGGGTTCATCCTCTTGGGAGCACTAATGTTGTCTTGAAAATTCGTGTCATGTCATGTTTTTATAGATTTTGGTAATGTTAAGGATAGCTCAAAGGTTTTCTCACAACTGGATGAACATTTGGTAAAAATACAAAGTTTCTGTCGCTGCTTCACAGTTGATGTAAGAAAAATCTCCAAACAGCAAACACCCAGGTTGGTTGCTAATTTGCAGCTGCATATATTCCATTAGGGACTCAACATATGCTATACATGAAAGAAATGTAGGTTGACCTATAGCATTTAGCCTGAGGACCTTGAGGAAGAGCACTATATAGAGCATGTCACGTTTCTGGAACATGTGCTGGTTGAGCAATTCACATGGTTCACTTGCTAAGTTTGTACAGCATCCTCAACATCTCAGTGTAAACAGTGTTACTGCTTGATTACCGCGCCCTCCATTTCCCCCTCTCTATCCTTTACTCAGAAAGAGGCTTCTGGTGAAATCATTAAGGGCCGTAATGGCGTTCTAATCCCTTGGTGGCTCGCTGCAAACGCATGTAAATGCTGTGCAAATGCAGTGTTTCTGTGGGAGTCTCATCACTTGCAACGGTCTCTCAGATGGTACCTTATAACAGCCCATGAGCTGGTCCTTGTTATCCTCTAAGAAAAAAGTAGTGCCAAACATTTCCTAAAGTTTTAATCAAGATTAGATAAGAAAATTGGGAAGAAGTGTGGATACTGAACATGGTTGGGAGAACAGATTGGGGCTCAGACAGGTAGGTTAATCATCCAGGGTCAGCACAATGCAAGGTGGTCCTCTGGGTTGCTGTAACAAATGCCTCACTGCTGTTTTGCTGAAATTAAGATGTCCTTCACTGGATGCTTGTTTCCATTAGAAACCTCTCTACCTCTCAAGTCTTGCGGCTCATTTGCAGCAGAAAAAGCTCAGACATTTTGAGACTCCTCTGCTTGATCATTATGCTGACAGGCGTGAGAATCAAAGTGGTGAATCTTGATTTTCTTCATACCCTGAATGTCACTGCTCTGAGAAGAGGGCTGGTATCAAAGAAAACAGAGGAGAAAACAAGACAAGGAGAATCAGGACATGGAGAAAAGACAACAAAAATATAATAATTGTTCTTGTATTTTCCAATATAAAGAATCTACACAGTGCCTCCTCTTTTTCAGATTAGGTCAAGTTTCATGCTGCCTTCAAATGAAACTTGAGAGGTTACAAAGTTGTGTTGTGAAGGCATGTTACAGTGGTAACCAATTAGAAGGTCCACTGGTGTTTTCATCTACGAATGACTGTTTTTTTGCTTGAAAGTTTAAAATGTTCGTCTTGTCTATCTGTGAACACAAGTGCAGCTGCCAGTTTTTATTAGACATTGGCAGGAGTGGATCACGTATGACTGCTAAGGTCTGCCCAGTGTGAGGTGAGCAACTGCTGTGTTTTTGTTTTCACAGAAACGTGGCTGAATGACAAAATCCCAGACTCCACAGTGCAGCTGGAGTGGCTAATATGCTACCCAGCTGGCAGAGCCCTCAAGGAGAAATCTCCACTTATATCCCTATGGCTCCTATAAGTTGAGCAGATCTTTTTAAATTCAGCAGATCTATAAATTCAAAATGATAAAAAATATTGCCAAGATCCAAAGTTCCCCAGATCAACCTGTGCACTTCCTAAATCATTCTGTCTACCATTATCAGATTTGAAAAAAAAAGTCTTTATTAGGAATCCTACCAATCATGAACAAAAATATTAACTTAAAAACAGGTATATTGCAACAGTTTTTTTATTATCATTATATACCTTGGACTTTGAATATTTAACAAGAAAAGTCCACTTACAAGTTTGTGAAAATAAAACCAAACAGAAAAACTTTCTCTCCTTCTCAAAATGATAGTTTGTCAATGAAAGTGAAGCTAAAATCTTGCCTTAGTGAGTAGAAGGAGCTGAAACACGTGGGTGCACATCAAACGAACATAGCACGCCTTTCATTATGCAAACTAATGCTTCCTTAAATCATCGCCTCCAGTGACCTGAAAATTATTCCCCCTCCATGACTGGGGATCTTTCAGCCCCCTTGAATGCACCTTGAGCAGATGAAATACAAGACGAGAAGAGGCTTGTAGAAGAGATGAGAGCGAGGGAACATAAATGTGTCCCTGTTAGAAAAGAGTGGGAGATATAAATTGTTTCAAATTATCTGCTGAATTAAGTTTGATGTCAATTTGGCTTGTTTTTGCTTTTATGCAAAGAGCCAGAAATGGTAAAAACATATCACCATATTTTAAATCACTTTCGTGCAAAGTTTTTAAACTCTTTACTGTCTTTAAGTGATCAGACAAGATTGAAAATTATTGTTGGATAACCTGCATCCTTTAATTTAAAGATGAAGATATTTTCAATTGTATTCTGTTTAGTTATATTGGAAGAGTGCTGGTCAAGTGATGTTGTTTCCCAAAGTCAAGTGACTACATAAGGGGACATACATAAGTGGATGTGCAGCCAGCAGAGTTGTCCCCTGTTGGGTTTAAAGCACCTCTTCAGTGGCTTGCCCTCTTATATCTAGAGGCTTTCCCTTCGTCTAAACTTCATCTCACATCAGTCTTACAAATCCTACCAACTAGAAACTAGCTTGAAGGGGAACTTTTTTTTTCAAGCAGGGCCTTATTAACAATCTGAGCCTGTCTAAAATAAAGCACTTGTAGTGGACACAGTTTGACAAATGCATTATTGCCCGGTCAGAAGACATTTTAACTCATTTTGTGGCTGCCAGCTGTTCTGCTCTCCCTCAATACTGAACACAGGAGAAAATAGGGCCCAGGTTGAAAAATATCAAAGTTCCCCTCTAAAACATGCAAGATAGCTAAAACTATTTGAGTGAATATATTTGGATCTTTCATGGGACGTCTGAAGTCTTTGTACAGAGTGAAATCTGTGCCAAATGGTAGTATTTTAAGGTGTGATTATCATTTGGCCTTTTTCTCTATTGCCCCCCAGGAAAAGGAGATCCATTCTCATTTCTGTTGCTCTGCAAGTGACATACATTAAGTTCTCATTTCCATAACAATACCTGACTCTTAACAGGGCCAGAAGTGCAGACTCTGCTTTTTCTCCTGCGGTGTTGTGTGCAGTGAAGTGATGCCTTACCTTGGTAATTTCAGAAGGTTCGCTTACTTCTCAGCGAAATCTGATATTGGGGGGACATTGCTGCAGTAACTGTGTGAGCTGTGCTGATTTTCCAGCCCGAGCAGAACATTGCTTTGCAGATCAGACAGATGCGGGAGAATTATGGCAGAGCTTCAATTTGCTCATTACCTCGCCTTATTAAAGGCTAATTTGTCAGCCTCTGTTGCCAAGCACGACACACACAACAGTCACACACATGAAGCCAACACTTTCTCACATCAAGCTGCACTGCTTAAACACATTTATTCCTCCATGTGCTTGTGTGTGTGTTTGTGTGCGTGTGCTTAAAAATGTGTGTTCCAATTCATCAGAACCCTGGAACTGGAATTGATCCAAAAAGTGGGCAAAATCATTTTATTCACCTCCTCACAGGAGGAAGAAAATCTCATCTCCTGATTCTTAGAGCATTTCCTCCTCCAATGCAATGAAGCAATCATATGTACACGCTGTAAGAGAGAGGGATGTGTTAAGAAAGCTTGACAACAACAAGCTCTCCAAATATTCCTGCAGGAATCCCTAGTTGTAAAGCGCCTTTTAAACCAATATTGCCCAAAGTGGTTCACATAATAAAGGGCATTAAGAGCTGATATTTGATTTAGAAACAAGGCAATTTCACAGAGATGTAAAAACTGGGGTTTAAAATAAATGAAGTGAAAGATGGAGCAGACCTCCAGGTTTCTCAGGGTTAGAGAGCTCCAGATATCTGCTCTTTAAAAATTGAATGCTCCTTTGCTATGTTTAGTTTTGACTCCAGGAACATTAAGTAGATTATTCCATAAAAATCTGAGCAGCCTGGACACTTCTCGGTGCAGCAGATTATTCATTCAGTGCCTCAGAAGCCGACATTAGTATCTACAATACTCTATCTCCTGACTCACGAGAATCCAGTGTAAGGATCACAGAACTGAAATAATGAGTTCCTTATTCCTACTTTTAGGATGGGCTAGCTGCAAATAGCTGCTGGGGTGCTCTAATAAGCTGCAGCTGTCTGATCCAATCCTTATACAGACCTGTGAAGATTGCAAATGCCCATGTGACTCCAGTAAAAAGAAAGGACTTGAGTTTTTTTGATTTGCTCATTGATATTAGATTAGATTTTTGAGGGATTTTCACGTTTTTTATATCAATTTATCGTCTTTTATTGACATATTATCACCTATAAAGTTGTTCTGGTGATGGATTACTGAACCAAGTTGTCAATTTACATTTCCAGAAACCAAATACAGTGAAAGTAGCATTCATATAGGGTCGTGTTTATCCACCTGATGAATGACAGTTCAATACTGGCTAAAACAAATGTAAAATGAAAAATAGACTACAATGTTTGTATCCGCTGCCTCACCGGCGTACACGAAAATAGAGCCCAAAGTCACTAACAAGGACATCAGCACCATGGACAGCACCACACATAACACAGCTCAGAGGGCATTATTTTACGATCTTACATTCACTGGATTACACCAAGTATTAAGCCATTTATCATCTTGGAACATTTACATGGTACTTTTTTAAAAGAAAAAGTACAATTTGCTCATCACAATATGATTATTGCCTATCTACCCAACCCTTACACTGACTCTGCTGAGCTGGGGGGAGCTGCAAAGCTTTGTGCATGGGGCAAAAATTTTAACCACAAAGCCAACCGTGCCCCCAAACTTATAAAGCTGTCTTTCAGTTATGTGTTCACTGCCAAAACAATCATAACTACAAATGCCGACCAATAATAACTTCATATTTATTAGAACGTTTCTGGAAGCATGGGCCCCTGTTCCTTGGGGCTTACCCAAATCACCAGGTGTATTAACTGTCTTTTGAGGACTCCTTGATAAGATATCATGGCTTTCAGCTGCTTCATCTTTCTGCTGTTTGTTACCAGGCAGGTAGAGGAAATTAAGATTAATCTGGATAATAATTCATGGCTTTGAAGTTTAAAGGGCTTGAGGTTCACATACCTTTAAACCATGTCTTTCACCACCAATTTTTGGCTCCAACCATGAGGATATTCTATTTTAGGTATATTTGGAGATATTTCTGTAATGACAACCATTAAATTGTCTCCCCAACCCAGCAGCAGCTTGGTGGCTATCTAGCATGAGTCTGGTCCTTCCCAAGGTTTATGCCTATTAAAAGAAAGTTTTTCCTTGCCATTGGCCCCGTTTACATGAGTAGTTTTCCTCAATCTGATTGAAATCAATCGGATTAAGTGAATCTGATTCCATCTGTATACATGAACTTTAAGTAAAGAGATCCACGTTCAGTCTGCGTTTTCATGGTCCCAGCTGAATCCAGTTGTATTGTATAATAGGAACCATTGTTTTAGTTCAGGATTTTTTTTAGGATTTTTGGACCCACGTAAACGGGGCCAGTGTCACTCATGTTAGATGACCCAACCATAAGATGGGCCAAATCTGTCCCATCTTATGGTCGGGTCTTGATAATTCATCAAACAATGAGCGTGGTCTAGACCTGCTCTTTGGAAAGCATCTTGGGATGACGACTGTTGCGAATTGGCAAATAAAAATTTGTTTGTTTGATTGATTGAATAATAACCAGGACAGCAGCTGGAGTACATCTAAAAGCTGTTTACTAATATCCATTACATAACAGAAAAGGAAAACCTAAGAGAGACTTCCAGAGCTTTGAAAAAGTTCAGGAGTGTACCAGATTGAGTACAGGTGTTGATGGGAGCCAGCTGGTCAAGACAAAAAGAGAGTGTATTGTTGGAGTAGTGTATTGTAGTCATGAATTGGCGCTGTATAAATAAAATTTGATTGATTGATTGAAATAGTGAAACAGGGGATTCCCAAGCATAGTGCCCTGAGGAATACCCTAGTTTGCGTGGAAAGTAACAAACACAAACTAGTTTCTTGCAAATAGGGTTGAAATAAGAGCTGTAGAGCTGAAGAGTATCAGTCATAACCAAGTAGAGCTTGAACTTGTGCTCATGCATCAAAAAGAGGGATTGAGAACAGTCGGTACTTGTGGTTGAGGTGTTGCTAAGAGTAATGCTCACTTTGTCTTCTCCCTAGTGGTTTCTAACTTTTTCCCACAGAGTAAGAAAAAAAAAACATTTAGCTCTGGTTGGTTTTAGAAGAAGAAAAGGAACCTTTTGAGCTAGATCCTTCTCTGCATTCATCCCACCACACAGGATGACATCACCTTACAGTATTTCTGGATATTGAAGTCCCAAAAATCCAAGTGTTTGGCCTTTTGAACCCCTCTGCTGAAAAAGTACTTGCTTGTGCAGCTTTTATAAGACTGACTCAAGCGTGATTTATCACTTTCTCCATATGCCAGAAAATATGATTGTGTTGAAACTCCAGCCTTTGCACCTCTTGCCTCCTGATACACTCTAAAAACTAAATATGCCCCACAGAGGCTGGATGTTGTCAGGAGAGGTTTTTTTTCTAGGCAGCCTTTCTCTTTGATTTGCTTACTCAAAGGCTTTTTATATTGGGAAGGGTAAATCCAGCCAATGTCTAACCTCAGTTTTATTGTTACAGGCCTTTTACAGTAATGAGTTCTGAGGTTTACAAAAGCTGAGATAAATCAAATTAAAATAAAAACAAGGCAGTTAAGAGCTATAGTTATGAAATAAGCCACTTACCAATAAACTGGTTAATGGCAGGACTGCACGGTGGAGCAGTGGTTTGTGCTGTTGCCTCACAACAAGAAATTCAATGGTTCAAATCCGAGACATGCTCATCAGATTGATTGGTCACTCTTAATCGCCTGTGAGTGTAAACATGAATAGTTGTTACTAGATGTTAGCCCTCCAAAAGACTAGCAACCTGTTTAGGGTGTGCCCTGCCTTTTTCCCGATGACAGCTAGGATAGGCTTCTACCCCCGGGGCCCGAAGCAGGAAAAAGCAGTGAAGATAATGTATGGACGGTTGGATGGAGGATAACAATTGAAACTAATAAAGAAGACAGATAGAAATAAACTAATCAATGCTCAAATAATACATGCTTAAAGAGACAAAGCCAACTCTGTAGAAATATCCAAATATTGAATGTTGAATGTGAAGACGACACTCTATAGAAGAGACTGAGTTTGCCTGACCAAAAACCTCAGACAGAGAGTTTCACAGCATACACAGAATGTAAAGAAAAGGATGTTACTCCACAGGTGGAGACTCTAAGGGAGTTTGGATTAGCCTTCAGCTACATTGGACCTGGCTGCTACCCCAGGGTAACCAAACCTCTCCTGAAGTAGATATATGTATAGGAGCTTCTTCTGCTTTGACAGTACAGACTGGGAAGTGTTTAAGCAAACAGCCACACACAACAACTACATGGACACTGAAGAGTACACAGGCGGTGTTACTTCTTACGTTGTGTTCACACGGGCACGGACAAAATTATCTCCTCGTGTAATTCGTATGTATCTGGACGCGTAAATGGTGTGTGTTTACTCACTTGGTTCGTGCAAATGACGTGTAATTCACACCAATGATTCGCTGAAGTCATTCATTGGCATAAACTTATATGATTAGTCACATTACACATCTAATACACATTTCTCACTTTTGCATTTTACACATCAGAAATACACTGCTGTGAAACTAAGACCAAAATAACTTTTCCTTTATTTGTTATCGTAAAAGTTTGCAATTCTACAGCCAAGTGAACACAATATACATAACATTCTTTTTTTTTTTTTTTTAACTATTATGGCATTCAGTTACTTTGAGATAAATACATAGATTTCTATCACACATACAGTACACTTACACATTGACCACACCCTTTCAATTCCCCAGCAAGCTCTGCCTTACGATGCTTTCATCACAGTATTTGTTAACAATACTGGGGAGATTATCACCATAGCAACAGTTCTGTCATTACCATGACTGGATATAATTTTCTAACAGGAATGTGACGCAGCCTGTTAGCTTTACGATGACATAACCAGACATACACTACTGCTTTCAAGGCCCACTGACACACACAAACACACATGCACATGCGTGCCCACTGATTAATCTGACTTACTAAGCCATGCAGTAAATCCGTGACCTCTGCCCAGTGGTCACTGAGACCACCGATGGGAGTGGATTTAATAAAGCAGCACTGTCTTTCCTCTGGGAACAACTCTGATTGTGAGGTCTGCTTATCTTCAGAGGTCCTAAAGTTTCATTTAAGGGCATAATTTCTTCTTTTACTTTATCCTGCCCTAATCCTCGTGAAAAAAATAACAACACTCGAAACAGTCTCTGTCTTCTGATCCCTGAATGAGTCACTGAGCCCCTGAAGACTGTTGTCTTTGGTGATGCTTACTGAAAAAAAATGCTGTCACAAAAATCTCTGAAAATGGCTTACATTTGCAGAGGCCTATTGTTTTGCCAAACAGTCTGCTGGAAGAAGATGTAAGAATCGAGGGGTAAAGAGGAGGGTTTATATGGTTTGCATTTGGAAAAAGAATATTAAAACCAAGGCTTATACTTTACTTTAATCCATTAAATCTTCCAGCACAGAAAAAAGAAACAAGTTTGATATCAAAGTGAGAACACAGTTATGAATAAGTGTTTTTTTTTTCTTTCTACGAATTGAATATTGGAAGTATGAGGAACTGACACAGGAATTAAGTAGTTAGACAGCAGTGGATCATCAGAGGCCACTTACAGGACTGCTACTCATCAGACTGTGTTGTGGGCGGGACATTAGGTGCCAGAATCTATTATCTTGTTAGGATAAGATATGATAAAATAAAATAAGATCATCAGATAAGATGTCCCAGAGGGAAATTCATTGTGGCAAGAAGTGCAGGTAGACTGTGTCGCTGTACAAGACAAGACCACGTCACAGAACAACACATAGTAGCACACAACAACCACAAGACAACATCACAAGCACATGACAACGATAGAGCACCAATCGTACGATGACATACAGTAGCAGCGAAAAGCAAGAAGGATAGACAGCACCAATAGGCAAAAATAAAACTGAAGTCCATCAACAAACTGTAGTTGGTGGTCTTCTTTTTTTTTGAAGGACATAAGAGACACTACTGTAAACGTAAGACAGTTTCATTGCTGGAAAAACATTCCTCAGGGGCTTTACATTTTTGATGGGTAATTAAAGCTCCTGTGGGGATCAATTTTGTATCAATTTTGGTACCCCCTGTGGACAAACCAGTCTTTGCTAGCCTACATGCTAAAGTGAAATAAATTAACAGTATCAATTAAATAAAAAAATTAAATACTTTAACAGTATTAATTATTGTGAGTTTTTAATGAGTAAAATGTAAGAATAAGGCTGTTCTCTTCAGATGCTTTGCTGACACCTACCCCCTCGCAACAGTTATTAAAAAATTGAAGTATCTCAATGGTTAATCTTGTAACTGATCCATTGTTTTTGCTTTTGTTTTTTATTAAAAGGCATCAAAATGAGTTTTAGTGTTTTTAATTAATGTCAAAAAACTCCTCAAAGGAGCTTTAAGTAATTTGTTTTTATATCCTAAGTTGAATCCTTAAAATCATGGTAGGCTATTCGACACAAAATGTTTTGGTTCCACTGGAATCCTAGTTTCTCTCACTTCTTCCTTCTCATTCATGCTTTTAATACATAGCAACCCCTATCTCTGGCATAGCAGTGCTTCATTTCCTACTAAACAAGTCATCCTTGGAGCAATAATGTGAACATTTAGTGGTCAGCTTGACATTGTGGTGAAGTCATAAGAGCCAAGTAAGAGCTTCAGGCACTTCATGTGATCTAAAAGGAGAAAACAAAGAGGCTGACACACAGACTTCCACAAAACGGAAATCACGCCTGCTGAGCCTCAACAATCATACTGTCTTCAGACAGCACTGCTTGATCTCTC